TACAATCTTGGTCTCTATCTTCTCAGTTTTGTCAGATCACTAAGTAGAAGTGTGTATTAGTTTTTCACATTTACATTATACAGCATAGTTTATATATAAAAACAATGACATTTTCCTGGGAGCTAAATAGATAACTAGTGTACTAGAAAAAACCTAACACCCAAAGCAGACAGAGTCATCCTGTTAACCTGACTACAAAATAGTAATTACCATTATTTTTCTTCCTTTGAATTCCAGAATAATACATGATCTTCCTACTTCTTGTCCAGCTCCACTGTAAACATTTAAGGGGAGAAACAAAAATGATTAAAAAACAACCAAAATCATGCCCAATAAATTCAAACTTTTTTACAACTTAAACTATGCCCCATTTGATGACAGCAACTCACTTGAGGCCGATGAGACTTCCACAAAATTATAAAGATTGGGAAGAAGAGTGTTAATGTGAGAAAAGATGAAAAGTGACCTTCGGGAGTTCAGGGATTTTTCAGTTGTTAAAACTGAGAGAAGGTGGTACAAATCCGAGAAGCCCAAAGGTTAAATTCAGTCTTCCGAACGTTAGGGTTAATTATGCCGTACTCAAAATATAAGCCAGCAGTGATACAGAGTATTCAATAATACTTTTAGAATTAGCGCTGAAGTATAAACCCATAAGCACTTCAAAATTCTTTCATTTTCTTTAAGGTCCTATATGCATTTGCCAAATAGCTTAAATTTAAGTAGACATCTTACTCATTTCTGTGAACCTCAGTCCCTTTCCCTTCTTCCTTCTGTTGTTTCGTATATTTGATACCAAGTACCTTCAACAATTTTCCTTTCTTCTTAAATGAATAAAACAGCCCTAATTTCCAATGATCACAACACTTTAAGCAAAACCTCACCTGGTTTTCAAATCCCTCACCTCCTTTGCTGCCTTTCCCCACCTACTCTAGGTTGAGTCGCTCACTCATGCAACATTAAGCAGCTTTTATTTGCCAAGCACTGGATTAAGTGCTGAGCCCATGGAAATGCCTAATACTAGGACCCTGACCTCAAGGAACTCAGTCTACTAGAAGACACACGTGAGACATCTATCCTCAAACCGAGGTCCTACCTCCAAGCAGGAAGGCGACAAAGAAAATCAGCCATGGCGCTACCATGAATTCCTGGCCTTTTCACTTTAATTGGCCCTCTCCGTACCCCCTTAAGTGTCCCTAGCTCAGTTTTCTCTTATAGTTTCCATAGCAACTATTTCAAACTTTCTCCCTTTTCCTAAATTTTCCAGCCCTCTATCCTCTTCTTCACTTGGGGCATGGGCCTTCTCTGCATCAAAAAAATACACAGTTCATTTGCCAATTTCCTCAATTTCACTTACCAGCCCACCCACATCTTTTCTCCTTCCATTTCTCCTGTAAGAGGAGAACAGACTCTCATTCTGTCTAAAGCAAATCTTTTCACCATGGTTCTACACTCTATACATCCCCTCCTTCTGAGGAACTGAACACTGCTATATCATTGACATTTCCCTCGCCATCCTCTCTTTACCACTAGAATTTAAACATGCTGCAGTCATTCTCATTCCAAAATTAAAACCCCTTAATTCTAACCTCATTTAGCTCCCACTTTATTCCATTTCCCAGCCTGCTTCCTAGAAGAGCTGTGTACACTCTCTGCCTCTCTTTCCTCACTTCCACTCGCTCAGTTCACTGCAATCTGGCTTTTCCCAGCCACTCTTCCGAAACTGTCCTTGCAAAGCAGCTCTTTGTTGCTAAGTGCCAACAGCCTTTTTCAGTCCTTATCTTACTTGTTCTCTTGGGAGCCTGTCACCCTCACTCCTCATTCCCTCTTCCAGCCCTTCTCCCTTGGTTTCTCTGACTTCATGCTCTCATCCTGTCCTGCTGGTTTTCCTCCAGTTCCTTCACACTCAGCTGCCTCTGCCCACCCTTCATATGTTAATATTCCAAGGGTTGTCTCCTCGGCCCTCTTCTCAGTCTTTGCAATCTTCATTCTCACGTTCTTGACACGTTGGTGATTTCCAAGTCTATATTTGTAGCCCTGATTGTTCCTCTGAATTCCAGACCTCTAATGTACACTTGGGGTTTAGGTATCTCTACTGGGATATCTCACAGGCACCTTACATTCAAACATGCCAAATGAGTTCTCACGTCCAGTCCCCTGTGCTTTCTCTTCTTTCTTCCTGCAATGCTCTGCCCTCAGATATTGACATGATTGGCTCCTCTGGATCATCTGGGTCTCAGTCCAAATGTCACCTTCTCAGAGGCCTTGACTACCTCCTCTCATCTGCCCTTCACGCCATTCGATCGTAACACAACTACATGGAATTATTGCATCTACTTACTTATGAGTTGTTTTTCACTATTAAAATGAAAGCTCCATAAGAGCAGAAACATTGTCTGTTTTGCTCACCACTGTATAGTTACAGTAACTGACATGCAGTAAATCTCAAGAAATACTTATTGAATAAGTAAAAACTCCCAAATTATGAACCTTGGAAACATTATGCTAAGTGAAAGAAGCCAGTCACAAAAGGTTACATATTGTAACTCATTTTTATGAATTGTCCAGAACAGGCAAATCTGTAGAGATGGAAAGTAGATCAGTAGTTGTCTAGAGCTAGGGAAGTTGGGGGAAAATGGGTGAGATTGCTAATGGGTACTGGGTTTCTTTTAGGAATGATGAAAATGTTCATTAGACAGCAGTGATGACTGTACAACTCTGTGTATATATTAAAACCCACTGAATCGTACACTTTAAATCTGTGAGCTGTATGTGAATTACACCTCAATAAGGCTGTTATAAAACAACAAAACTCCCAAATTTACCCCAGACTTGCCCCATCTCCTGTACTCCTTAAGTGACTAACATGACCATCTACCAGTTGCCCATCCTAGGAATCCGAGTCACCCTAACACTCCTCTCTGCCCTGCCTGCCTTCCACAACTGCACCTTCCAATGCATCGGATCGGTTACAAAGTTCTGAAGGTTTCATGTCCTTACTCTCTCAAATCTTTTCTTTCCAATCCATTGTTGCTCATTCCACTCATTCCAAACTCTCACTGCTTATCACTTGGGTCATTTCAATTTCATCCTACTGGATTCCTCCCACTTAATCCACCTTTTATTCATCTGCTGTACTGCTGCTAGGAGCGATCTTCGATCTTCCTAAAACATAATTCCCACTATGTCCCATCCCTGCTTAAAATCTCTCGTTGGCTCCATGTAACCGACAATAAAGTCCCCAAATCCTTAGTATGTATACAAAGTCCTTCATAAGGTGGACCCTGACAGCCTCTCACCTCATGTGCTCATCTTTCAGCCACAGCCATGAGGAAACTGGCCACAACCTGTGACCACTCTCATTTCCACTCCTGCCACTGCCTCTACCTGGACCATCCCTGCCCTCACTCTTTACCTGTGTTTAATTCCTACTCATTCTTTAGGACTCAGCCCACACATCATATTTTCCAGGACATATGAGATAGTATTTTCTTCTTAGTCTGTCAGAAATCCCTTTTCTATCCTCTCACGGCACTGAGTGCAATGTCCATCTGTACTCACTGAACAGGTACCATTTATTGAGCACCTACGTGATCTTTACTCCTCATGATAAGTGTTGCTCTATTATTCCCACATGAGGAAACAGGTTCAGTGAGGCTGCTGTCCTAGTAAGTGACAGAAGTGGGACTGGACTTCAGGTCTGACTCCAGAGTAATGCTCTCCTGCTATTCCAGACTATCCCTCCAGTACCTTCCACTTTGCACTGCAATTCCATTCAAAGGGTGAACTCAATGAGCTCAGCCCTCTGTGTCACTTGTATCCCCACGGGCTGGCCTGGTGCTTGACACCTGCTCAGTGTTCGCTGAGTACAGCGAGAGATGACAGGTGCCAACGAAGCAGTGGGAAACTTGTGTTATGTCCCCAGTAGGCGCTCACTGAGTCCCTACTGAGGCTGTGCAAAGGAGATAGGTTCCTCCTCTCGAAAAATGCACACCTTCGTGTGGGGCTAAGATCTAACAAGAAACACATGTTTGTGGATTCGAATTGCCCATTAGAAGACAATAAGTTCTCCACATTTATATTTCCCCTTCTAAGCAGCATTCCAGATCTGTGAAGTGCTTCCGACAGAAGGCCCTGTCCACTGAAAGACCAGCCTTCTTATGGACAATCAAGGGCTGAGTTTTTGTCCTTCTCTCCAACTTTCTACCTTCCTTATTCTGCTAGGGTCTGAAGTCAGAAGGTCAAAATCACAGCAAGTCCCTAATTTATTTCCTCTCTCTCACGTCTTGGCAGATGCTAAGTCCTGGTGGTAACAAGAAACAGACGCAGTTCCTCCTCGCACTACTATTGCCTTTTCAGGCCCTCATCTCACCCTGCCGTCATCAGCATCACGGGTTCCCTCAGGGTTTCCCACTCTTTAGGTACAGGCGCCCAGCGGCCCCAAAGACCTTTTTTTTTTTCCCGCCCCCCAACTCCAACACTCTCTCTCCTGAGCTTGAAGAAAAAGCAAAATCCCATTCAACCTAGCAGGCTCCTTCCGATCAACAGTTCTCCGAACCCCCTCAGCCAGAGAGCCTGGCCGCAGCCGCGGACCGAGGGCAGGCAGCCGAGGCACGCCGGCGCGGGGCCATCGAGGAGCCAGCCACCCGGCTACTCCTCGCCCCTCACAGCCCGCGGCTTCTCTCCCTCTCTCGCTGGTCCCTTACAGGGGTCGGATCAGCAGCTGGTCACTCTCCTCGGCGGGAATCGCAGACATCTCGGAAGTCTGAAGGAGCAGTGAGGCGAGGAACCGGTTGCCGGAGTCTGTCTAAACTGGAAGCACAGCCACAGGGAACCAAAGAAAGAACCCCATCCACACAGAACACAGCTTCCGGCACTCCAGCGCCCGCGACACTAGGCTCCTCCCCTCGACTTCCGGTCGGAGAACTCCGCTCGCGAGGTTCCTCCCCACGGGAGTCCAGAAACCTGGGGCGGGGTCAGGACTGCGCCTGCGCCACATGCCGGAGGTGGAGCCCGGTGGATGGGGCCCCGGGGGGCCGGAAAAGGTGGCACTGGACTAAGAACTGGAGTGCCTGCTGCGGCGGCGGCTGCTGGGGCCGTAGGTGTCTGACCCCCACCGCAGTTGACCCCAGGGATGGGCCAGCAGCTGTGAGGTGAGAGCCCTGGCTTCGCCGCGCCCGGGCGGAGCCAGGCCGGGAACGCGGGCCCAGAGGGCGGCGCCGGCGGGGAGGCCGCGCTGGGGCGGATGGGTGGGGTCGCGGGGGCGGCGGTCTCCATCCACGGGGACCTGCCCTCCTCGGGTTGGGGACCCGGGTACCGAGGTGGTGCGGGGTGGGCGGCCGAGGCGAGAGCGGGCCCGGCCTGAGGGAGGAGGCGGTGCTCCGGTGCCCGTTTCCTGTCTGGGCTGGGACTGCAGCACCTGTGACGACGGTGTCGTGTGCGGATCGGTCCCGTGGGAAGGGCGACGGGAGTGGGGCAGCCGCAGGGCCTCTTCCCGTGTCAGCCTCTGCTTTGTGGGGCGGTGAGGAGCACTCACTTTTGGGGCTTCCCCTCCGCTTCAACCCCTTTCCCTCACTGCAGAGGGCAGGCGTCGTGTCTGCCTTGTTTACTGTCATCCTGCGCACCCGCACGTGGCAGGCGCTCACGACAGTGAGGGATACGTGGGGAGCAGGGTGGGCTCCGGAAAGAGCTTTGGAGCCAGGTCTGTCTAGGTTCCAAACTTGGCCCACCCACTGTTAGCCTGCAGACCTTGGGCGAGTCGCTTAAACTTGTAGCTTTGGCTGCCTCGTTGGAAAGGGGCTGAAATAGGCAGCCTTGCGGGTCTGCAGTAAAGAGCGTTAGAGGTGTGAGGTACAGCACCTAGCGCTGGGCGGCGCCTGGAGGTGTTCAGTACAGGGGGGTTGTTATTTGGCGGTCATCTCCCAAGAAGTTTCCCCAGTTCTCTAAGCATGTCCTCTCCCAGGCTGTGCCAAGCATTGGGAATACAGAGATGAACAGCCTCGCTCCTGCCTTTGAGAGCTCACAGTTTAGAGATTGAGATAGAGGAGACCATACCAGACTTTACAGTGTATGCTATGATTATGCTGTGATCGGAGTGTATACCCAAGCTGTGGAGGACAGGTCCCTTAGCCCAACCTGGAGGTCCAAGGGAGGCTTTCTAGAAGAGAAGCCTGAACCGAGTCTTGAGAGCTAAGTGCATACAAGGTGGAAGGGCATTCCAGGCAGAGGGAATGGTGGGAGCAAAGCATGGAAACGTGGAGCATAGTGCATGCTGAGAACCTTGAGCAGCTTCACACTCCTTAGAGATTAATGAAGTGTGAAGATGAGACTGGAGAGGTAGATGGGAGCCAGGTCATAGAGGACCTTGCATGTCCTGGCGAAGAGCTTTTGACTTCGGTCTCTAAGTTTGGGGAGCAGCAAGAGATTTTAAGCAGGTTAGTGGCATGGGATTTGAATTTTAAAGAAATCATTTTAGCTGGAGCTTGGTGGAAGATTTAAAGTGGCACAGAGTCCGGTTGGGCCATGAATTCCTTAAACTGCATTCCAGACTTTGTGCATATGTGCATTTTTATGGGTTGAGGAGCCACAGCTTTCATCAGATAATGGAAAAGTACACAGCGATGGTCTAGTGATGTAGGGCCCTATTAGAGACGTGGATGAGAGAGCTCTTCAGGTGGTTTATGCAGTGGCTCTTGGTGCCTGGTTGGATGTGGGGCCTGGACGACAGTGAGGAGCAGATGATTTCCTGGTTTCTACCGGAAATAATATAATTTACTGAAAGGGAGAGGCGCAGATATGGAGGGGAAGCTGATGGGTTCCGTTACAGGCATTTTTGCATTTAAGTAATCTGTGGAACGTCCGAGTGACAATCAGTATCTTTAGCCTCATTTTTATGCATGAATAATTTAGAGACAAGAATGATTTGCTTAAGAGCATGCACCAAAGAGCAGCAGCTAGCAAAGGCTTCAGTAAATGCTTTTCTCCCCCTGGGCTCCTAGATTGCTGATGAAATGAAAGTCTTCGGGAGTTACAAAGTCTTCACAGTATAATGCGGTGATTTTCAAATCATTCTAGTATTTTAAGGATTTGAAGAGATGCTTCAGGATTTCACTAACAATAGAATCAAATTTTATTTTTAAATCACATTCTAAATGGTTATATATCTTGAAATATGTATTTACATATACTTAAAATATAATGTGCTTAAATATGCTATACACTAACATTTTAGCCCACAAGAGACCGCTGACGTGCTTCTTGATGCTGCTGGGTTAACCCAGTTTTGTGCAGACCTTGGAATAAGGCTCTCTTGCCATCTCTTTCTTACAAAGAAGTATCCACTGATGGCCAGGCTATCATTTGCAACAAGTTGTTATCCACGGTGGCCTTCTATTCGGTCTCCCTTTTTACTCTGAGCCTGTGTAGTTCGTTTCCTACCCAGCAGCCAGTCATCTTTCTAAAACAGAAAGATCATATCACTTGACTGCTTTGTAAAAAGCCTCTAGCGTCTTCCCTTAAACCCAGCCTGCCAGTCCTCCTGCGGATCCTTCTCCTTGTCTCTCACTCTCCCTCCTGCTCCTGCTCCAGTCCTGTTGGCCTCAGGCGTGTTCCCGCAGGACCTTTGTACTGGCTGAACTCTCTACCCAAAATGCTTTTCCTCCGCGTGTGTGGCTGCCCTCACTTTGCTCAGGTCTTCACTCCCACTTCCTCAGGGCATTTTTTTCTTCCTGAAATATTCCCCCTTCCCTCGGTCACTTGTGTCTCCTTGACTTGTTTTCGTTTCCCTCACAGGGATGTGTGTTTCCTGACAATGTGTTTTCTGTTTGGTTTTCTCGTGGGTCTGTCTCCTCTCCCTGAGGTCAGGGGCTTTGTCTGTCTGATAACGGATGTATCCCCAGCACCTGGTGGGTGCTCACTCACTACTCAGGACTGAGTGAATGAATCAGATTTTCCTGCTATTCCACAGATTAAGCAAAAATATAGAAATAGGTTGGATGATGAGGCTGATTAAAAAGCTTGGGCTCAGGAGTACGTCTAGGGTAAGTGGCCCAAGGTCAGACCCTAGTGAGTGGACTTACAGTGGGGTCTCCAAATACAGTGGGAGAAACTGTTCCCTGGAGCAGGGATATTCACTGATCACCCCTGCTCACCCCTTCTTCTTCCTTCACCAGGTGCATTGTTCTTCTGACGAGAATTGACCATGTCAGAATGAAAGGAAGCCATCTGTGCAGACTGCTATCTGTGGAACCTTTGAAGACGATAAAATAGTATTCGATTCTATCGTAAGCAGATTCCCTTGTTTCTTCTGCAGAATCCAATCTTTGGTAGAAATTTGCTAGGTTATCTTACTCATATATCCTCTTGAAAGATGGGTCACAGTTCCCTCATCTGTAGAATGGAGATGACAACTTACCTTCTCTAGGCCCTGAGGGTGGGGGCCTGGAGGCCTGAGCATACTATGTGGCACAGACAGACCCTTAGAAAACGTAGGAGCAAATGCATGTGACCCCAGGTTGCCGTGAGGATAAGATGGGACAGTGTATTCGGAAGTACTTGAACTATGAAACATTGTGCAGGCTAGTTAATAATCTTCCAAGTATAATGTATGTGCACCCATGAATTGGACAAGGGTAAATCATTCATTTAAAAAAAGATAGATGTAAGACTGACTCTGGGAACATTAAGGTCACCTCCTTCCCTGGCCTTACTGAAACAAGTAGGAATGTTCTTATGTCAGCTTTTACCTAAAGATAGCTCAAGACTTCAAGAAAAATACACGTTTCTGAGGAGTATGTATGTCTTCTGTTCTTAGCCTGACCACCAAAAGACTGTGAACCTGAGACAGTCACTGAATCTCAGTATCTTGGTTGATAAACTGATGTTACATATTTTACTGATGTCTTGAATTGATTAAAGAGAAGGAAGGCACTTGAATATCTTGAGGACTAGAGGACATATGTCTGCTACTTCTGAGAACGGGGCTTTTCACACCTCAAGATATAAGAAGGTTTCTGCCTTTTTGATTCATTGGATTAGATTTTTTTTTTTTTTTTTTGAGGATGATTAGCCCTGAGCTAACTACTGCCAGTCCTCCTCATTTTTTGCTGAGGAAGACTGGCCTTGAGCTAACATCCGTGCCCATCTTCCTCTACTTTGTATGTGGGACGCCTACCACAGCATGGCATGGCTTGCTGTGCTGTGCCATGTCCGCACCTGGGATCCGAACCGGCGAACCCTGGGCCGCCGAGAAGCGGGAACGTGCGAACTTAACCGCTGCGCCACCGGGCTGGATTAGATTTTTGAAATTTAAAAAGAATAAAAAAGAATAGTATCCAAATTTTGTGGTCAAAGGAAGATGTTTATGTCTTAAGTAAGAGGAATATACCGTGGAACTGGAAGGAATTGATGATTTTTATTCCTATTATGCATAAAGTGATTAAAGTTGTTTTTCTTGATACAGCTAACTAACATTTGTTCTTCTAGGGGAACTCTTCTGGATCAAGCTATGGTGGAAAATGTTTCGGAAAGGGAAAAAACGACACAGTAGCAGCAGTTCCCAAAGTAGTGAAATCAGTACTAAGAGCAAGGTAGGGGAGATGGAATTAGGACGGGATCATAAGTCAGTGAGAATTTTGTTTCTTCTAACTGATACTGCGTAAAGGGTACTAACCATGGCAGACCTGATATTCTTCACACTAGGTGTGTTTTAGCATCCATTTTGTGAGGTAGACACACATTCTGTGCTTGATTTAATTTTATTTTGTTTTGGTAGATTTTCTGAAATTCTCAAATCCACTAACCTAGATGGGACAGGACATATGATTTGTCTCACTGAAACAAACACTGATTTTAAAATTTTTTACACGATAGGAATTGAAGGCAATTAAAGATTTGTGGTGTGTGTACATAACTGTAATTGTTTACTTTTCAGTGAGTTAGTTGGATCCTGAGGCAAATGCTGCAATTAGAACCCTTGTAGGGTATTTGAATGTGAAGGGACCTTAAAGTCCTGAGTCCTAGTCCACTGGACCTGGTCCTGTGGTTCCTACATTTTTACTACTAAAAAGCCTCTTTTTTTTTTTTTTTTTTTTGTGGTGAGGAAAATTGGTCCTGAGCTAACATCTGTGCTAATCTTCCTCTATTTTATATGTGGGATGTGTCCACAGCATGACTTGATGAGCAGTGTGTAGGTCCATGCTCGGGATCCAAACCCGCGAACCTCAGGCTGCTAAAGTGGAGCGTGTGAACTTAACCACTATACCACCAGGCTAGTCCCTAAAGAGCCTTTTGATCATGTTCCACCCTTGTGAGCTCTGTGTGTGTGCTCAGTGCTGGGACTCGATGAGGCAGGAGGAGCCCATGGCCCAGCATATAGGGAGTAGCCCCCTCCAGGAGGATGCCTCACACTAGCCTGTGGGCACCACACTGAATAGTAATGGGCACACCTCAGTGAACGAATACACACATGATGGCCATTCGGAATTTCCAGTCAGTGCATCACTGATCTGATATGCTAGCCAGAAGCACAGACACTTGCATTTTGAAAATCCTTTGCAGTCTTAGGGTGGGAAAATTAAGTTTTCTTTATGGTTTTGAATCCTGAAGCCAGTCAAGAACCTCCCTGCTGTTACCTTACCTGTGAGGACCCTGGCCTGGGAGTCAGTGGTCTGGCCTAGCTTCGTGTTTTCTAGATCTGAAAATGGATAAAGGGAGATGTAATGACTTGCTGCTGGCCGAGTAGGACCAGAGCCCTGATTTTCTGATTCCTGAAGGCCCTCAATAACTCGGGCAGGCGGGGCGGTGGGGCGGGAGAGCTGCAGAAGGGACCACGTGCCACGGCGTGAGGGTCTTACCCTGAGCTGATGGTGAGCCTCGAGTGGTTCCTAAGCAAAGTCGTGACTGTTAGATTTGTGCTTTAGGATGACGTAAGCTTTTGTTGTTGTATTTCTGAACATGGGAAAAATACGGTTTCCCCCTTCCTCTTCTCCTTGCTCAGAGGGTCCCCAGCTGCTGGTGTTTCCTATGCGGAGAGGCAAGGTGCAGCACAAAAGCTCACTCTGCTACTCACTTCGGGCTCGTGCTCGTCCCGGGAGCCAGTCTGCATGTGTGGCAGCATCTCAGTTCCCACTCCCCTCCAGCCTCCCATTGAACATATAGGTTATTTCCAGTTTTACTACCACACAAACGTGATGAAAAGACATCATTTTAGTACCACACACAAAGAGATGAACATCTCTGTACGTACAGCTCTGTCCTCAGATTCCAAGACATGCAATTACGAAAAAGGGAAGAAGCATATTTAATACTTGATACATTTTTGCAATCACTTGCAATCACCTTGAGTCACTTCTTTTTTCTTTTTTGAGGAAGATTAGCCCTGAGCTATTTTTTTTTCTTTTGAGGAAGATTAGCCCTGAGCTAACTGCCACCAATCCTCCTCTTTTTGCTGAGGAAGACTGGCCCTGAGCTAACATCTGTGCCCATCTTCCTCTACTTTATATGTGAGACACCTGCCCCAGAGCATAAGTTGACACGCAGTGCCATGTCCGCACTCAGGATCTGAACCGGCGAACCCCAGGGCACCAAAGCGGAATGTGCAAACTTAACTGCTGCACCACTGGGCAGGCCCCTTGATTCACTTCTTAAACGTTGAAAAAATTTGAGTGTACTTTTAAAATTTAACTTTGATTTGAAGTGCAAAAAGTTGACCAATTTTTGAATCAAAAGTTTTCAGAGTGTTATTTCTGAAGAAATTAAGCACATGGAGAGTATAAAATTCTGTAGCACAAACCTCACTAACATGCGTGATTCTTTGTGTTTTGGGTAACAGTTCTGTTGGGGTTTTTTTTGCGATTCACCTTGACAGTTGTGCTCTGGTCCGCAGTCAGCCCGTGTGGCCACTGCAGGCAGTGCTAGTCGGAGCAATCGCAGGAGGCCTGCGCTGGAGAGCTAGGGTATTTCCTAGGTGTACCCTTGGGTACATCACTTCACCTCTCTGGGTCTCGCCTTGTTTATTAAACAGGATCACACTCCCTGCCTGCTTTCTGCACAGGGTTCTTTTTGGGTTCAGTGGAAATAATGTGAAAGCAAGGTGTAGGTTTCCACATACAAAATACCCAGTATCTCGTAAGGAGACGGGCAATGGCTTTGATTTAGATGGGAGTGTTGGAACACGTATCCAGTATTGTGTTACGGGAAGAGCAGTTGGGATTATCTATTTTGAAGTTTGTTATAGAATTTGTCTAGAAAAATCCATCACAGTCCATCTGCCTGAATAATTGACCTGATTTTGTATGTGTCGCTTCAACTATAATAAGTAATTTGAATGCTTGGTAGAGAACTTGAGAAGATAGTGCTTCTAATTATGCTTTTATTGGTATGTCTGTCTGTTAATTCTCAGTCTGTAGATTCCAGCCTTGGGGGGCTGTCACGATCCAGCACTGTGGCCAGCCTCGACACAGATTCCACCAAGAGCTCAGGTACAGCGCAGGGTTGGATCACTTACTGTCTACCTTTTAAGTGATGTTCATACAGTTTTACCAGGGTAGCACAAGGAGTTCTTGTGTATTTGGGGTTTTCTTTCTCTCCTCTGCCATTTTTGACAAGAGTTTAGAAACGGCTCGAGATCTGGTGGAACGTGGGTTGGGGGTGAGGAGTGATTGGTGAAAACCATTGCCTTAGTTGGCTAGGGCATGTGGGCGAACTGCTCTTAACTGGTCCTAGGGCAAATGTGCAGAAAACATCGTGGTAACAACTTAAGTTTCAAAATAGCTTTTTAAGAAATGGTGTGGCAAAGCATGAATTATGTTGTTTGGGGGGTGTAGGACAGATGTTGCTGATTAAAAGGAAGAAGAGCTGTTTACCCAGAGATCCACCAGCTCCTAGACATCAGGAGCACGTGGTAATTAAGGGTAGACTCTGTTACAGACCCTTGCAAACATGTATGCAGCCACCCAAAACGAGAGCTCTTTAGAAATCAAAAGATTGCTTCTAATCCACCTATCAGCTAGTGTCTAATGGGAAGTATACTGTATTCATTTCCTTGTCTAAAATCCTTCCACTTTTCCTTTTAGGATCATGGACTAGTCAATCTATAAAAGGTGGGGGGTCGGGTGGGTGGAGAGAAGAAACATACGATGTCAAAGAATACGGTAGTGTAAGGTCTATTATCTTTACTTCCAGATGCCTTTAAAATACTAAAAATGTGGGTACCTTTTTAATACATAAACACAACCTACAAGGAATCCCATAGTGTCCCCTGCCCGTGGCAGACATCGAAAATCCTTTGTGGTAATTTTGTATCAAACTGCATAGCATACGCACACTTCTTCCACCCGGTACCATCTGTTTTGTGAAGGGACTTACCGTCCAGCATGATTCCTTCTACGTTAAAAAAAAAATTGTCTGGTCTTTTCCTACCGAATGCTGGAGGCAGACCAGGAAAGAAAGCTAAAAGCTAACATGGTAAAGAGGGAGAAGAAACCAAAAAATCATTAAATGTCATTATGCTCTTTAAAGGTAATCATTACCTAGTTGACATTTTATTTTTGTTTTGAAGTGAAGGATATCAATACTTAATTTATTCCTATTGAGATTTTTATACACTTAGTATATTGTGAGTCACTGAGGAAAAGGCTAGTGAAATTTTAAGTTTTTTCCTATTACATCAAAAAATTTTGGATCAAAAAACTTGTTATTAAAGTGTAAGTTCTGATGACACAGTCTCTTACTTGGGAAGGGGTTGAGGATACCCTGTGATGCAGCTATTTCTATTGAAGTCTTACTATTATAATTTTTCTTTCATCTTTAGGACAAAGCAACAATAATTCGGATACCTGTGCAGAATTTCGAATAAAATATGTTGGTGCCATTGAGAAACTGAAACTCTCCGAGGGAAAAGGTCTTGAAGGGCCACTAGAGTTGATAAATTATATAGATGTCGCCCAGGTAAAAAAAACCAACGTTTAAATTCCCTAAGATTCTAGAGAGTAAACTCACAGCTTTGGAGAAAGAAGTTTACTCTTCCAGGTCTTCTCACTGTCTAATCCTGAAGCCACACTTTTCATGGTTAAAATATTTACTGAGCACTGCAGTTGTAGGCGGCATAAGGAGCCTTAGACATGGAGTCACACGGGAACACAGAGACACATTCCTTCTTCGAACAGGACTTTTACTTTTTCTGGGGCTGACTGACCTCCTTGTTTAAATGAGGAGCTCAGTGCGGTGACTGGTTACATACCATAGGTTTGTCTTTTAAAATAGTCTGGCAAGACCTTACTGTATTTCCAGTGAACTAGTTTCAGCTCTTTGAATAATCTAATTCACAGTGGTGTTGATGTACCATATCTATGTATTCGTACCTTGTTTCCAACAAGAATTAAGGTGAGGTGGGTTTCAAAAATATATCCTGGGGGCTGGCCCTGTGGCCGAGTGGTTAAGTTCGCGTGCTCTGCTGCAGGCGGCCCAGTGTTTCGTTGGTTCGAATCCTGGGCGCGAACATGGCACTGCTCATCAAACCACGCTGAGGCAGCGTCCCACATGCCACAACTAGAAGGACCCACAACAAAGAATATATAACTATGTACTGGGGGGCTTTGGGGAGAAAAAGGAAAAAAATAAAATCTTAAAAAAAATATTCTGGACAAGAAGATAATAAATCAATATGAAGGAAAATTAAGACAAATCAAAGGTATAAGGTCAGTGCATAAAATATTATAAGGTCTAGACACTTGCCAATGGTGGAAGTGGATAAACCAAAAGGCTTAATACTATAGGGTTGGTAAATTACTTGCCAAGTTTCTAGAAAATGGAATTACATTGTTTGTGTTCATTAACAAAGGGATATTACTGCAATGGGAAGATTCCTTTATCAGTTCAGTATCGGTTACTCTTTTTTTTTGAGGAAGATTAGCCCTGAGCTAAGATCCTCTTTTTGCTGAGGAAGACTGGCCCTGAGATAACATCTGTGCCCATCGTCCTCTATTTTATATGTGGGACGCCTGCCACAGCATGGCTTGATAAGCGGTGTGTAGATCCGCACCCAGGATCTGACCCAGTGAACCCCGGGGCACCAAAGTGGAACTTGTGAACTTAACCACTGCGCCACTGGGCCAGCCCTATCAGTTACTCTTAAGAATGTAGGGTCTCTTCAATCATGGAGAATGGGATCATTAAATATAATGTTTCATATCCTCATGAAAGTAAAAGAAGTCTTTTCTGAGGGAAATCAGCGAATCTAATTTGCCAATTAGCATAGAACTCTTGGTAGTCTGAACTAATATAATTAGTATCCTAGCCTTTAGTTTGGAATGTAAAGTCATTTCAACAGTGTGCAAGCAACAACTAATCTAAGTATTTTACCAAAACGCTGCTAATCCTGTTTCGCCTGAAAAGTGCCCTCGGATTATTTTGATGCTGATAAGGACTGCTCAATTTCTTGTATCACCATATAACTTGGGCTTGTTACAATTCCATTATTGGCAATAGCATTACTCCTATCCCATCTTTTGATCTTGGAATGCTTTAAACTACTGTGGGAAGTGACAGGCAAGAGGTGATGGAGCGGTGTGAGGATCCAAGATCAAGGTGTTTGGACACAGCTCATTTACTGTAATTTCTTTCATGTAGGCAGATTGTTCCACAAAAACATTCACGGTATGAAACGTCTACTGATTGCTAACAATATCTTCTTTATTTTAGAGAAGAGAAGTTGGGCAGTATTCTGACTTAGGAGAGAAAACTGGATGATTTGCTAGGGAAACCATCAGGTGTTATCTGCTGTTTTACTTAATAGCTCAAAGTACTGGTGATACTTTTGAGAGCTGAGTAACCACTCTTCAAGCACTGTTTACTTGCCTGAGGCCCTGGGGAGAACTAGACATATCAACACCTGGGTGAGATACAGAATGGCTGAGAAAAATAGTTCCTGCAGCTGTGTTCCCTGAGCGTTTCATGTGCTGACGTTAGTATAAGCTCTAAGTATTTTAAAATCTAAACACAGACCTTTATTTCTCTAATGTGAATATTTTAACCTCACTGGGATCTGTGGAAGTTCCGCAGTTTGTAATGAGGGTTAACACCAAGACAAGGGGATGGAACAGTATTCATGGAGTGCACGGATCTGAACTTTGCTGATTTGTGGGCTGAAAAAAAAAATGGGGAATATTTTTCTTTGGCCTCTTTGGAGAGAAATTCCTGCCAGGCTCTTGTGTACTCCGCATTCTTTAAAGGGTTCAGGCCAGATAATAAAATTGACTAATCAGACTTAACAATGTAACATAACTTTTACTGTATATCATGTAATTTTTTTTACTTTAAAGCAAGATGGAAAGTTGCCTTTCGTTCCTCTGGAGGAAGAATTTATTATGGGAGTTTCCAAGTATGGTATAAAAGTATCAACATCAGATCAGTATGTAAGTAATATAATTTATTAACGGAAAAATGTGTTTTAGGTATTAGAGCCCACTGGTAGTCAGGTGTGCTCATGTTTGCAGAGTGGTTGGTTTGTAAACCTTCCTGGCAGCTGGTCTTAAGTGACCGATTTCGTAGGGTGAATGAATAGGGGCTTCCTTTTGCCTCTTCTGTGTGGTAGAGCACAAGCCAACACCCCCACTGCTGGCCCCTAATGCATTCTCAACTCGGGACCCCACACCACTTCAGAGCAGCTGTCAGCTTGGAAGCTGGGCAGAGAGAACAGGCTCATGAACTTAGATCATCTTACTCCTATCTTTCCGGAATTTAAGTAGGAAGGTATAATGCTGACGGCAAAGTGCCCCATAACTGAGCATATGGAACATGCCTTTGGGTGAAAAACCTATAAAACTACTTCCTGCCAGATCCATGGATAGATATGCTGTTTGAAGCCTCACAATAAATTCTGCATGGGAAAATGTTAGAAGAATGGAGACACATGTAAAGTAGTCTCATCTTTCTTTTTCCCAACTTCTGCAGGATGTTTTGCATAGGCATGCCCTGTATTTAATCATCCGGATGGTGTGTTATGACGACGGTCTGGGGGCAGGAAAAAGCTTATTGGCTCTGAAGACCACAGATGCAAGCAATGAAGAATATAGCCTATGGGTTTATCAATGCAACAGCCTGGTGAGGTTTTAAGTTACCTTGGATAGTCTTTATTCATCAAACGGAGTGGTAAAACTAGAGACTATTTACAGTCTTTGCAAAGGCTGAAGAGATGCTCTCCATTAGGTATCTAATATCTGGTATAATATAATGAGGGACTACCAGGCCCTGGGTCAGCCAGCTGTCCAGACCTCCTGCAGGCCAGGAGCAGCACTCATGTGCGGGGATGGGAAGGTTCAGGGTGAACAGAAAGCAGATGAGGGAAAGTGGTGTGTCCTCCAGCTGCAGAGGCCCCCTCCTTTTCTGTACGTTGTTGTTCTGACTGGCCTGTGATGGTCCTAAAGGCCGTGGGTCCCATGTGTTACCTCCCGTGCAGTTCTCCAAAGGAGCACAGGAAGGGAGCACGTGATGTGCTGTGCTGATGCAGGCAGGCTGTGTCCTGGCCTTTTCAAAACTGGTGAGGTGCAGGTTTAGGAGAGCTGTGATGGGGGTCAGATCTATACTTTTTGCTGGTCAAATTAAGTTCAGGAAGAGATTTATGAACACTCTCTTACTGTATCTTTTCACTTAATGTAGGAACAAGCACAAGCCATCTGCAAAGTTTTATCCACCGCTTTTGACTCTGTATTAACATCTGAGAAATCCTGAATTCTGCAGTCAAGTGCAAGTCGACTTCATGTGCAAGTTCAGATGTCTTCTAAATAGTTCTGTTTTCAATCTGCGATGATGTACTAATACAGAAATAGGAAGTGATCCCTTGCTCTAGATTTTCTGAAGAAAATGCAGTGTAAAAATATTGATCTTTTGCTTTTCTATTAAAATGTCTTATTGAGTGAGTTAACTCTCAATGAAGTTATTTACTTTCTGGGACAAAAAAAGAAATCTCACTTGTCGCTTTTAAACACAAATAAGCTTAACGCCTAAGTGTCAGAGAAGTGCACTCAGTGAGTAATCAGCGTTGAGACTTTGTGAGGAAGACTAAGGCAGTCTGCTCGGCAGCGTTCCCAGTGACACGGTCTCACTGACCTGGAGCTCTGGTCAGGCAGAGGTCTGGCCTGGGGACCCGAGTCATGCTGGTTTGAAACTGACACTGCTAACTCAAGACACAAAAAGTAGAACTTTAAAAATGTATTGTCAGGAGAACAAGCTAGTAAACTACAATATTTATCTCAGCGTTAAGAGAACTTTAAAAGATTACTGCTCATATTGAAAGTAATAGAACTTAAACAACCTTGAGTACAGTATGCTAGTGTATTTTTTTTAAAGGACTGTTTTAATATACAATACTTTAAGGATTAAAAACATTAAAAATAACACCATGTCCATTTAAAAGTACTTTATTTTTTTCTAGTCAAATGACTAGTTAACAAGAAGAGTAGACTTAATAAACATGCTCTAATTATAAATCACTGCATTAAGGACAATGAAAATAAGAATTGATTTAGGTTATACAATATATACAGTTGCGCTGCAACTAGACCCAAGTAATCAAGTGAATGAATTGAATATCATACATCTCAAATAGCATTCCACGCTGCATAGTATGTTACCCACCCCTAACAGATCACACAGTAACTATTAGTCTGTGCACATGTTTCTGAGTCCTTATCCCCAGAAGTCAGATCTGATGGAAATGGCATGCAAAATGCCGGAATCCTGCAGCTAATTCATGAAACGTAAACTTTAAATATAAATAGATATCTACAATGTTTTCCTTTCTCTCAGTTGCTTTTTTTAATTTGCAAAGAGCAAATAACTAGGAAAGGATATTAGCAGGGAAGTTAATATAATTTCTCCTCTGGCAAGAGTAATATTAATTACTGCACGATAGCACCACCAAATTGTAGATTGGAAAAATATTTCCTAGATATTTATGTACCAGTGAACCTGATAGATTAGTTTGGGACTGGCATTCAAATGTTGATATGAATCAACTTTATTCCTTATGTAGCTGGCACCAAGTAGTCAAAAGGCCGATTGTAAGATAGAGATGTGAAAGGATTATGTTAAAATATACATAAGAAGTGCACTGTGCAAAATCATCTGTTTACTTTCTTAAATCTATGAGAGAATTAACTAAAGGGTTCAAACAACAGAAATTAACAATTAGTGAAAATAGATGTAGTGCTTTAAAAAAAAAGACTAATTACAGATCTAACACATTTTTACCCGAACTACGAAAGGCAAAAAAGCAATTGCTGTATAACATCTTAAAACATTCCAGTTTGTTGTCTTCCTTTATAATAGCAACAAAAAATACAATGCAATTAGAAAAAAAGAAGCTCTGCACTTAAAGAGTCTTGCATAATAAAGACAGGCTGCTTCAGTCAAATGTACCATCATAACAAATGCAATAAAAGCATCGTTACCTCGCTTTCCAAGCCTATATTTAAATTTATTCCTTTACTTTTGGTAAAAACCCAAGTGGGCATTATATGCCTATTTATTCTCAAAGAGCGCCAAAATTTCCAATATTCCTACTCTGAATCTTATGCTCACAATTACTAAATAGAGGTATGACAGTCAAGTTCATTAAACTAAGGAATTTTGATCTTATCAGGTATAACCTAATCCCCCCACCCCCAGAAGCTTAAGTTTAAGAATGATATGATGGACTTCAACAGTAAAACTGGGATGTTTGGGAGTATTTATTACCTGGGACCTACAGATTTCTGATATGCTCTTGATTACAAACAAATGGACTGATTAAATTTCAAGACAGTGTAACTACCATTCCTGTTGGTATATTATATAAACACAAGACACTAAACTGAGTAAACATTCTCAGGAGCTAGAAAGGGAAGGCAGTGGTACACTCAAGAGGAAACAGCAGGTGTGTGGTAACATAGCGGGGTCTGCGCCACAGCATCTACCTGTGTGATGAAGGAAATTCAAGAAGGCAAAACATCTAAAGCATATAAACTAGTTTAAAGAACTGTTTTGCAATCCATCATCCTTAGTTTTTAACCAAATTCAGGAAATGCAGTTTTATATAACCAAGAACAGAATTAACTGCGATTACTGTAATAAACCATCAGAAGTTTTGTATAGGATTGCTCACAACAGGTTACACGCACATGCAGAATACAGTGAGAGTTGCAACCTCACAAATTAGGGCTGGAAGGTAGATCACTAAGGTGTAAATTTCCAAGTTGCTTTAAATAAACATTGGGTGGATTTCAAAGGTATCTTTTTTTTTTTTTAATATCTTTAAAGGTGAACTGATAGCATTTTATCTAGAAAGTCCTGGCTGGCTGTGGACTTCTAAAGCAACAGTTTACTGGCTTCCTAAAACAAAAATTGCGCTAAAGGTCACCGACACCAGAAATGAGCCAAGGAAAGCAGGAAGAATTTCTTTCTTTCTCAAACATTTTTTGGTTCAGCTAATTCTGTAGATTCAGGATCTTGATTATGTAGTTAAAATAACTTTTCAGTTCACCTTTTAGGAAATTCAGTTTTCCCACTAAAAGGATAGCAATGTTTCATGAAAACCACAAATTATAAAAACAATCCATTTATATATATAAAACGCCTTTGAGTTTTTAAAACAGAACAGTGGCATTAGAGAAAGTGGGGCTACCGGACAATACAATTCATGAAACTGGTTATCTGGCAAGAGTTTTGGTACCAATAATGAAACAGGAACAGAAAAATTGCTAAAAGAAGTGTTTTTGTTCAGTAGCAATTTAGTCAACAATAAAGTGCACAAATGATACGGGAAATGCTCCTTTGCGACTAGGATCTCCATCAATGTGGCCAATCTGAAATGAATAAAAGTTCAGGTTGTTATAAAAATTCCAAATGTTTCAAACTTTGAAGGGCATTATAGCCTTTGGAGAGAAACAGATTTGTTCAGAAGAATCTCTTCTGAGCAAGAACTGCTTGGATAAAACATCTAAACTGCTTTTCCCTTTCTCTTTCACTCACATTTCAAACAGTGTGTGCCTCCTACCCGTAAAGAACGCCTGTCAGGTGCATCAGAAGTCTGCACAGAAACGTCGCCAGCACTGAGTCCTGGCAGTCTTGGGGCAGGCAGGACAGCTCTCTGACCATCACCCCACACTTGCCTTTTTTTTTAATGGATGAAGAAATTTAGTGTCAGAAGTTTGTGAGCTGCAAAGTCACAGGAGGTGGCAAAAGTGACTTGGTACTATTTAAATGTAGTCGAGCATTTATGGAAGACTTTAATAAATCCATTTATTTTGGCTCTGGGTAAATTATATAAGTTATACACCAAATATGATTTCAACAATGTAAATTATGTAGGTAAATAAAAGTCTAAAAGAAAATCAGCAGGGGCTGGCCCCATGGCTGAGTGGTTAAGTTCGCGCACTCTGCTTCAGCAGCCCAGGGTTTCACTGGTTCGAATCCTGGGCGCAGACATGGCACTGCTCATCAGGCCATGCTGAGGTGGCGCCCCACATGCCACAACTAGAAGGACTCACAACTAAAAAATATATACAACTATGTATTGGGGGGCTTTGGGGAGAAAAAAGAAAAAATAATAAATAAATTTAAAAATCTTTAAAAAAAAGAAAACCACCAAAATATAAATGGTGGGGTTTTTTGGGAAAGGGACCCTACGATTACGGGCAGCATTTACTTTCTTCTTTATACCTTTCTGTATTTTCTACAGTTTTTGAAATGAACAGGTATTTTCCAGATGGCTAAGCCTGTTGTCAGGCTGGAGCTCCATCCTTATGGTGGGTTGTACAAAGTGTGAAAACCAGACCTGCTTTAAGTCTCAGGGTGTGCGGGCAGTCAGGAGGGAGTAAGGTCAGGTCCTCACACTGTCCACGCAGGCCAGCACTCACTGCCTCACCTGGGCTGGCCATGCAGCAGGAACTCAGTAAGCAGAGGCCCAAGGAGCTTGCCTGAACCGGGAACCAGGAGCAGCGGCCCCTTTACTGCCTGTGCTGTACGTAGAGGCTGACAGAGGAGGGAGCTCTGGACCGACAGACGCTTTAATGGCTTACAGGGAAAGAGGCCACAAGAAGATACTGGAATCCAGCCATGCTGCAAGGCCCCGAGAGTTCACAAAGCCCCGAAGGCGGAGAACTGACAGTTCCCACAGGTGGGATCTCTGCTAGGGATGCCCACTGGCACTCCTCGCACTCAGCAACACAGAACGACTTCCAGGAGTCCTGTCTGCATCGTCACGACACGTCAGTGATGTCTGAGCTCCATCTACAGAGCTGGGCCGTTAGTGTCTACTGCATGGCAGACACTGCCAGATGCTCTGTGCACACACTTCATGCAAGTTATTTAATCCTACTATCCTTGCTTTATAGCAGAGGCCTCTCATTGGGGGTCTTCAGTATAATCTCTACACCAGTGCTGTGGCGACGTCCCTTTCATAGGGTGGCTTAGCGACATAAGTGACTTGCCCAAGGGCACCCAGCCCTGTAAATGCTGAGTCTGGATTCTTAGGGTCATCGGGGAAGTGCCATGCTCCTCCCATCCCAGCTTCCACCTGGATGCCACAGTTCTTTTCAGGACCAAGACTAACATGCAGGAACTCCGCCCACAGGTCTACTCTTTCTACGCGCCTCACTCCACAAAACCAGCAATGCTGTGGATGATGGAACCCTCTAGAAACTGAAGGCCTCAAACTCAGGGGCCTCATTTCAGACCCCCAAGTACGCTTTGGAAACTGCAGCCCAAGTGGCCTGCCCACCCTAATGAGGGAGGATCCCACCCAGGGGATAAATCAGGCCCACTCAGAAGTGGGTGTACATGGAAGACACATCTGAAGATAGTAAGCGGGAGAGCAGCCAGCAGACTTTCAGGCCTCACCTGGGAACAGATCTCTCAGACCAGGTGGGTAGGGATTCAGTTCTGCCCCTCCTGGGCCCATCCCAGGACTAGGCCCCGACTTACCCACCACTCTTGGTCCTCCTCCCCATCCACGATGATCACATCCCCCTCAGAGAAGGTCAACTCGTCTGGGTTGTCAGCCACGCAGTTATAGAGGGCTTTGACCCGCTTGGGCTTCAACTTGGTCTGCGTCAAAGAGAGGGGTCAAAGGTTAGTGTGGTAGGGAGGCATCAGCTCTTGGGGCAGAGAACTGGACCATTTTGCTTCCAACTGGTCCCAAGGGTCCTCACCGCAGGCCTGGGAGCCCACAGGTGTCAAGATGGGGGGTGGTCAGTGACGCTCAGGGGCCAGAGGCACTTCTAGGAGGAGGCGAGAAGAGGCAAGAGAAGAGATTCCAGCCAAGTGAGGCGAGCTGGGAACAAGGCAGCCCGGTGCCTGGTGTGCACGTGGGAGTCTTTCCCGGAGCTGTGGTGAGAGGGCCAAGCCCACGGCTGGCCAGCTCTGGGGCTGCGTTTGCTCAAATACAAATGACTAGGTATCCAGGAAGACTCTCCCACTCCCCAACCAGGGGAAGAGGGAAAGCGCTGTTTCCTCTGAGCCCTCAGAGAGTAACCCGCACACTCCTGGCCGGAGTGAAGAGGCAGAAAGGAGGGGCTCGTCCACTTACCGTCTGTGACTTCCTGGGCATGGGCGCTGGGGGCTGCATGGCCATGGTGTTGGACAGAGGACCCAGAGCTTCCGTTGCAGACAGATCCACTGCTTTAGGGCCAAAATGAATCAACTCACAAAATGCCCCCAGTCATAACCGTGAGATATAAACAAGTAACAAAAGCCACAGTGTCATGTCTGAAAGGTAAGTTTCCTGAGATTTTCTGATCTGTTGAGGGAAAAGTCCCCTAAAGGCCAAAGAACCTTGTGACTTCCATGCAACCTTTTAGACTGTGCAAGGAGTGCAAGTGTCGCAGAGTGAGACAGATGTCACCACCTCCTCCACAGACTGCTATAGCCCCATGAGGGGCCTCCCCACCTCGACCCCATCAGCAGAAGGGGTTAGGAATTCAGGGTGCAGCACAGAGCAGCCCCAGGAGGAGGAGCGCCAGAGGCTCTGTGGAGGGCAGGGTCGCTGCCACATGGGGGACAGCTGGGCTCTGATACAGGGTTGACCATGGCTGGAAACACCTCCCACTTTATCCCCAGAGACCAAGCAGAAACGAACCCCAGTTCCAAATGAAATAATTACCGGGTCCTCTTGGCTGGCCTTTGTTGGTCAGTGTGGTAGACTTGTCAGCCCTACAAAGAAAGGGAAATCACATTTACGGACGCCTGAGGCCTGAAAGGCACATTACCTGCCCCCACCTAACCCCTTTTTGTACAGGAACCACCTGTGTTGAAGTTGAAAACAAGTGAGCAGATTGTATTAACTGTCATTCAATTACTTCTTTCTTCGGGAAAAGGAAGAATGTGAGGCCCAGAGGACAGTGGTAGATCCTAGGTTCCTGATCCTAAAAGCAGGACTCTTCACAAAGTACTCCTGTCTGCATGCGCCTGCAGGCAACAACCCGGGCTGGGGCTGCAAGCAGCACCAGCCACCAGCTCTACCCCCAGTCTGCTCAGTACCTTCCCAGTGGAAGCCTCGGTCTCTTCCTGCGTAAGTGCAGGGCTGACTCAATCCCTGAAGGCTGTGCCAGGCCCCATCCAGGTGCCCTTGGTCAGCGTCACCCATGCCTCTGGACTCTGTGGTCCCTGCTGCATGTAACCCATGAGGCTGACCACAGCTCAGGCCCCATCCATGAGCCTCCAGGCCCAGCACATCCCAAAGCCACAGGCAGAAGCACACAGGTAAGGGAGCTGGTTCTTAGGGCCAGCACACAGGTTTACAACCCAGACTCGCCATCTGGCAGGCCTGGATAAACGAGTTTCTGTGAGTTGGCATTTTCTCCAGGAAAAGGTGTGATAGCAGTCCTGCCAACTCTCAAAATAAGGACAGGTGACAATGTCTGTGATAGATGAGCTCTCTTTCCAGTTCCCTGTCTCAGTGCACCTGGCACAGAGCCAGGCACACACCTGGGGCTTGACACATGGCGGGAAGGGATGGGAGGGCGGAAGAGAGGGGTGAAATTCCTTCCACTGCAGGCTCACTCCCGTTGGAATGCTTCCTCTGTGCCCTGAACAAAGCCCGGCTGCGACCTTGATGCCGAGGTCTTAGAAGGAAGATGAGTGCAACAGAACACTGATTTTGCTCATATTTTCAAGGAACTAAAAATGAGTAACAAGTGATGGCCCCCCAGTCTGACTGTCATTTGATTTCCATCAATGTCAAGAGAGAAACCATCACACTGACTTGCTCACCCCTTCGCCTTCAGTCATCCCCAACGACAAACACTCCCAGGGAAGGCTTGATCCTCTAAGATACCACTCAGCACAGTTTTTCTTCAAAGGGCCAGATAGTAAATTTTTTAGGGGTACGGGTTAAAAGGCCTCTGTCATGACTCTTCACCACTGCCATCGCAGTAGGACAGCAGCCACAGATGATATATGAACAAAGCAGGCTGCCCATGCTCCAAGGACACTTTATTTATGGGCACTGAAATCTGAATTCCATGTAGTTTTCATGAGTCATGAAATATTCTTATTTTGTTTTTTTTCAACCATTTAAAAATATAAAAACCATTCTTAGTCGTGGGCCACACAAAAACAGGCAGCAGGCTGGATCTAGCCTGCGGGCGGAGTTTGCCAACTCCTGCTCTAAGAGAACAGATGTGAAAATCCAGATTTATACCCAGGATAAAATTAGGAGAGTGGGGTACTTCCTTTAAAAGAAGATACACCGATGAATTCCTTTAAAAACAGAACCCACTGAGGGGCCGGCCTGGTGGTGTAGTGGTTAAGTTCATGTCCTCCACTTCAGCGGCCCAGAGTTCACAGGTTCAGATCCAGGCGTGGATCTAGCAATGCTCATCAAGCCATGCTGTGGTGGCGTCCCACATAAAATAGAGGAAGATTGGCACAGATGTTAGCTCAGCCACAATCTTCTTCACCAAAAAATCCCCACAGAACTCACAGGGCAGTGACAACACAATGCCATCCATCCAAAGTTGTCTTGGAGTTACTCTACCATCACCTGCTTTGCCTCCACCCACCTGTCCTTTTGGCCAGACTGAGATGAGAGAAAGTGATTCCATGAAACAGGTACAACCAGGTGAGTCTTATACTAGAGAGGAAACTCTTCCAGCAACCCTGGAAAGAACTCTCCTGAGAACCAGAGAAACAGCAAAGACTCAGAGCAACTAGAAAAACATGCCCAAGACCATGGCAGCCAACACCCACTGTTCTCAGAGTCCCTGATGATGGCTGGCCGCTGACTGGTGCTCATCTAGAACTTCAGCACCTGATTTGGTCTCTTAAAGAAAAGCAGCTCAGAAAGAGCAAACCCGAGGTGTACAGGAAGAGACACGCAGCTGGTGCAAGGCACAGCCTGTGGCCATTTGGTGTGAAGTTGAGAGCAGATTCCTTACAGCACAACTCAGGAACCGATGAGACTTCATACACGCTGCTTAACGATGGAAGGCAAGGGTGTGCACGTTACATTTTAGAGAGAGAGCTTGCAAAGCAGCATTAATAATGTTCTGAGAGTCTTCTGTTAAAAACAGCAGACAGATACATTTACTTCCACTTTCTCCCGGGGGAAAAAAGATTTTTAAAAAAACTTGAAACCAAAAAGAACAAAGAGAACCAAAAAGGAAACAAAATTTTAGAAGCTGAGAAGGGAAGGATGAATCATAACCCTCCTGGGTCATCTGAGGAAGGGGAACCCTAAGCACAGCAAGGGAATTCCTGAAGACCCCAGCTGTGCTTTCGAGGCCTCCCACTCAACTCTGGGAGTACGGGATAAGGCAGGGCAATAAACACAAGGATTGACCAAAATCTCCTTAAGGAGCTACTGAATCCTGCATTTCCACCCCAGCACTGAATAGCCTAGCAACTGGCCTCCCCCTACCCCACTGAAGCCCAGAAGCTTCTATGCTCGGAGAGGGTAGAATAGAGAGCCTCTGGACTGGTGGATGCCAACTGGTGGATGTTGGGAGTATTAAGATACCTAAGTAAAAGCTTAACTCTATTTCTATATTCAACTCCCACAAAACCTGTTCCCTTCAGGCAAGAGACTAGAAGACCGATCTGTAACGAACCTGAGTTGGTCAGCCTAAATTCAGGGTTCCCCACAAAACAGACCAGGGAGATCACTCCGCAGCGAAGCCCACACTGGCAGCTCCATGCAATAGGGCGCGGCCTGCCAATCAGCATTAACGCCTCACCTGAACCAGCAACTCACAGGCAGGGAGCACCACATTCACAGGGAAAAGCCTCTAACAGAACAGACGTCAAAACGAAGAGAAAAGAACATGGAAGAAACAATTTATGCGGAAGAATGAAAGCTAAAATTAAAAAAAACTCCCCAAAACCCATCATTAATAATCTGAAATGAGAAAATGATTCCATGAAATAGGATACCATTAACTTGACCATTATAATGATAGCAGAAATGAAAAAAAGAGAACTAGAAAACTGAGAAAATCTCCCAGAAAGTAAATTTAAAAAGCAAGCAAACAACGCAAAAATGGAAACGTGAAGGCGGCAGAGAGCTGGCCCCTCCGCAGCGCGGAGCGGCCGCGGGAGCAGCTGCCTAGGTGGGGCTGCACTCCCAGCCCCGGCCTCTAGGTGGGGCCGCGGGACTGGCTCTGGTCAAAGGAGCAGGAGCGTCTCTCCGGCGTGCCTCCAGCTGCGGAGGTTAGCACACCTTCCCGGTCTCTCCCTTCGGAAGTGATTCTGGGTCCAGGGGATAAAGATGGTGGAGTCAGAGGTAGAAGGGCTCTGGGTCTCCGACTCACCGGACTGCTGTACAAGCAAGAATATGGACACACTCAGTTTCGTGTGGGCAGCGAGTCAACCTCTACATATTAAACCACTGAGATTCAGGGGCAGGCTGCTAGAGCAGTTAGCTTACGCTAAGAAAAGAGAGAAGATGACACATGTAGAGGAAAGGCCAAGGGATTTGACATCTGAATAGTAAAAACTATGTTAAAAATGAGAACAGAAAAAATAGAAGGCATTAAAACGAATTCATGAAATCTCTCAGACCTGAAGGATGTAGTCTATACCCTGAAAGGCCATATTATCTACCTGGTGGCTCAGATGAAAACAGACCCCCCCCCCCTCCCCGGGGAGTCCGAACCCCATCCATGGAGGGGAGGCCTGAGAGAGACAGGGAAGGCATCTGCCTGCCCAGCGACAGGGGAGGCTTCTGCACAGAGCAGGAGGTGTAGGCAGAGATGGGAGATTTGTTTCACAAGGGTACTGATCAAGAAAGTCAATGTGGGAGCCAGATTTCTCACCATCAGTCAAGGGAATAACAGGTACAGACAGGGAGAAAATTAGAATGAACCCTGAGATGCTTTTAAAACATTGCCCCCAAATTCTTTCCTGAGCACTGGAGACTATGACCACCTCATGCCACTGCACCACCCCCACCCCACCCCACCCCCGACTGAGTCTGGGCTCTGCCACTAACTGCCCAGTAGCATAAGGCAGAAGCGATGCCCTGCCAGTTTCCAGGGCCAGGCATATCTCTTGGGACTTGTTCTTGGGCCTAGCCACCATGATGGGAGGAAGCCCTCGCCACATGGAGAGGCTGCATATGTGTAAGTATTCTAGCCAACAGCCCCAGCTGGGGTTCCAGCTGACAGCCAGCATGTGTGGAAAGGAGAGGCCTCCGAGGACATTAACCTCTAGCTAATAAGGCACTTTCTGTGTCGTACCATCCTCAGCCTGAGTCTTTTCAGCTAAGGCCCCAGATGATGTTAGGCAAAGACATGCTATCCCCACTGTGCTGATCCAACTTCCCGACACAGGACATGAGCATAACACGATGGCTGTGTCTTAGGTCAGTAAGTTTTGGTATGGTTTGTTACTAGAACAATCAAAACTGGAGACAGTGTGAACTCACGGATTTCAATCAAGACAGAAACAGAAATATAGAGCTAACTGTGTTTAGATGTGTATATATGCATGGATATATACATATGTATCCATGGGTGTGTGTATCCCTAGTTCTGAACACTCGGAGGGCCTGGGAGCGGTGACACTCCAATAGCAATGAGCACACACAGCACCCAGATCTTGGCTTCCAAATATCTTAATATCATTTCCACTAAAAGGAACCATTTCCCACTATCAGGATCCAGACTGAGAGCCATGAACTGGATCCCTTTGCAATTAAGGATGTTATTTGAACAAGTGGCGAAACTTGAATGGGGTCTGAGAACTGACAGGTAGTAATGTATCCATGTTAATTTCCTGATTTTGGGGGTGGTTGTGTTTCTGTAGGAGCACATCCTTGTTTGTAGGAAATACACGCCCCACATTGCAGAGGGTCCATGTATTCAAGATAACCTGTGAGTGAGCAACAAACAGAACTCAGGCCCTGTGCCTTGAGGTCTTTAACTCCCAGAATCCCAGCGTCTGTACTAAACAGAAATCTAAATTCACTAAGTGGGTAGAAGATATACATTTGTATGAAATTTTTACAGTTTAAAAATTCTTGATAAATTATTAAGACACTTGAAACCTGATGAATGTAACACTTGACCTCAAACATGACAGTAGTGGAAACATGGTGGAGATTTCAAATGCTCGCACAGAAATCTCAGCAAGTGAAGCAACGGGGTCGTTGCTGCTTGGAGGCCCCTTCAATGCAAGAAGAAAAACAGCCAATGAGGCTGGCCCTGAGGGGAGGCGGAGAGGCAGTTACCCAGGAGCAGGCCTCTTCTGAGGGGGGCGGCTGGGCGGCTGGGGCGGCAGGGGCGGGGGCGCTTTGCTCAGTGGGCCCCCAGATGGGGGCGGCTTGCTCTGCTGGCTCAAGGCTTCGATCACACTGGGCGTTTTTGCTACTGGGGGTGGTGGCGTGGGAGCCAGGGGATCTGTGGAGAGAGAACAGAAGAGAGAGATACGGAGGATCAGAAGCCAGGAGCCACAGTCCCATCTTCTCACCGGAGGCTCTCCCCATAAGGGCTTCCTTTTTTTCTATCGCTATTTCCTAAAGACAAAACCTACTTTCGCTGCAGATTTTCTGAAAACAGTCTTGGTGGGCAGTCCTTCCCAGCCTCGAGTTAGGGTTAAAATGTGTCTACGAGCCTGTGAGAATTTTCTCTGCTAGAACCCCCTGTGGGGAGGCCAACATGGTTTTCAGGTGGAGCTCTCCACCCTGACGCCTGGGGGACCGGCAGCAGGAGGCTGAGGCCTGGGCAGGGTCTGGTGCTAGCCCTGCCCTGGGCATCTGGGCCTTTGGGGCCAATTCTCTCTTTGCTTCAGCAGACCCACCGGCCCCGACCCATTTCATGAGGCTGTGAGCAGGTCGATCTGAGGAAAGGCTGTGAAGAACTAACTGCAGAGGCTCCACATCTGTGAGCGGCAGGCTGAAGAGTTGCCTCTTCTCTGTGTTTTACAGAGAGCAGGCTAAGGCTAGAGAGGTGTTGTGCTCCCACCAAGGGTCATGGAGCCAGCAAGCGGGGCTGGGCCTGGGGCCCGTGCCTCCTGCCCCCGTCCCCTTCTCTGACAAACATCAGCGCTCTCCCTAAACATCCAGCATTCTCATCCTGTTGTCCTCGTTGAGGCAGCAACCTGCCTCAGGACGGGATGCTGACACCTAAGGAGTTAGCAGCTCCTCTCTCCCAGGATAGTCGGGGGTGGGGGGCAGCAGCGCGAGGGGCTGGCCGACCAAGAAGGGATCTTTCTTTTCTCTTTATATTTGTATCCTTGTTTCCTTTTTCTGCTTTAAAGGAAAAATCAAAAGGCAGACTCTAGTAGGCAAATCTACAGCTCAAGGGACACGAGACTGAGAGGCAGAAAAGTGGGTGTCTTGGATGTGCTGGGTGACCCTCAGGACCTGCCGGCTGCTCCCTTGTTGTTTGACCTGAACGTGTCTGAGCTGGACACCGTACACACCACCTCCACCCCCCAGGAAGACCCTCCCAGACACAGCTCCCTGCTCTGCTACCAACATACACACATATGGCACTGACTGCAGCTGGGGCTGGGTGTTCTCTCATCTTAAGTGAGGTTTAGGAAGGCTGGGAAAAACTCTCAATGCTCTCAAGCACCCCCAGAGATGCCGGAGCGCCTCCCTTCCACAGCGACACTGAGCAGGAAGGGCATGGCAGTGTCCAGGGCTCGCCTCATAGATCCAGTAAAGACACTCCTGCTCTGCAGGCTGGAGAAAATCCTCTTCCCCTGGCCCCTCCCCTAGGTTCTGGGACTTTCACCCACAAGTTGACATTGAAAAAAAACCTATGTGAGATTATAATCCAAAGGACTGCACCCAAATATTAACACCAAACGGCCAAAAGAAATGAAGCCCTGGCTAATGTGTGAAAGGAAGAAATGTCGCTGAAATGCTTGGGAAGACAGAGGGAGAGAGTGAGTGAGCCCCCCTGGGGCTGGGTGCGGGACAGACAGGAGTTTGCAGCTGGGAAGGAGGCGGCTGGAGGGCCTCGGGTTGGGGCTGTGGAAGAGCCACAGATCTCCACACAGCGCCAGCCAGGCAGTGTCTGCCGGTGGGCGTGCGGCTCGGCAGCCCTCTCCCCACATGGCTGCCGAATGCGCCCCCCAGCCATCCAGATCTACAAAGCCCACTGGCAAGAAAGGAAAAAGGAAAAAACGTACTGGTAGATGTCACGCGAAGAGGGGGCAGCGGTGGGTGGACAGCTGGCGGATCTGACGAAGATCGCTGCCTGCTTACACCGTCCACACTTACAGAGTTTGTCTTCCACAAGGCGTTAGCTGAGGAGGCTGTCTGAACTGCACACACGCGCACACACACATGCACACACGTGCACACGCACACGCAGGCATGCACACACACGCACAAGCACAGAACAAAAACAGAAACAGAACACTGCATTATTGATCCTCTCCCTTTTAAATTGGTAAATATGACCCTTCTAGAGTAGCATTAAGACCACACATAGAAGGCCGATTTTTTAAAACTCTTGTCTCTGGTATCTGGAAGATAGATACTGATACATGCCAAACCAATGACGCTTCTGGGAAAATTCCCAGCTGGTTTTCTCAATCTTACTGATTTTATTTCTCACATATAAATACTGTTTGAAGAGAGAAATGAGTAACCACAATGACATGTCCTGAGCATTGTGCTCAGGCTATGGAACATCTGGGCCTCTCCCGTCAAGTCCTCCCCCTGGGCCCGTGGGGGTCACTGCCTTGCACACAGGAGCACCTGTTCTCAGACAGAGCAGGTGGAGAGAAGGGGGCACATCAAAGACATCAGGTGAAGGACTCTCTCCCACCTCCCACAGACATATTTCTGGCTGGAGGTCGGCAAAGATGACACCAAGTGGGCTCAAGTGACACGCCAGGGAGATGGCACTGTCTTGGTCACAGTCCTTCCTCTGCCCTGAAAAGCTCCAGGCTCTTCCTTGTTGAGGGGCATCAACTCGGGTGCACAGGGTGACCCTGTCTGAGGCTGTGCATGGCCCACACAGGGGCTTGGGCTGAAGATAAAAATGGGCCACACTGTACAGGGCTGACCCAAGGGCCCAGAGGGAGCCTTCGCACTTCTGCCGGGGACCAGGTCTGCCCCAGGACAGGGCATGACAACGACAATTCCCTCTGCTATGTGTCTGTGGGGACTCCATGCTGGACCAAGTGTGGACTAGATGGAAAACACGGGAGACCGTGGGGGAGACCAGCGGGGATGAAGTGCAATCTACATCATCAAAGGAAGAATTGCAGCAACCACAGGAATGGCAAAAAGAAATGGGAAGGAAAAATCCAAACTGTCTCATTCCAAGACTTTAGGAAAGCAAGAACTAAAGATAAAGAGCTTCTCATTCCTTTCATATGACCCAACAGAGCAAAATATACTCTCTCCTCACATGACACACACAGTGAAAGCCACCTATGGGGTCGAAATGAGCAAATCATTTTAACTCCAGTGTTACAAAATTAACACCCATTCACAGGAGACGGGAGGAGGATGGGAGAAGACAATGAGATGCCCCCACAAGGACCCAACTACCACTGCTGCCCTCACCAGCCCTGACCCGCCTGGCCAGCCCAGTGAGGGTGACAGGGAGCAGGCAGCAGCTGTGGGACTGACTTTTGAAGCTTCCTTCCTTGATCTGGGGCCTCTCCCTCAAGCCTAGCTGCGGACATTACCTGGGATGCAGGCACGCATCTGGGATGTGATGGGCTCTGTTGGGGAGGTGAGTGGGCTGGTTCTGGGGCGGGTTTCCTCCTGAGGGGGGTATGATTCAGTGACCCATCAGCCTTCTCTCGGCTCCTTGAGTGAGAGGGTCTGTGAGTACCCAGGACAGCAGGGGTTGGGGGACCAAGCCACAGTGTGAGCATAGATTCAGCGTGGTGGTCTGCTGCTGTACCCACTCCTCAGCCCAGGCCTCATGGCACTCACCACCAGCAGTCGCCCACAACCCCTCCCAGAGAGCAGCTACTGCACAAATGCAATTTGGACTTGCTTTTGTGACCTCCCAGATGCCTGGACATCTGCGGAGGCTCCTGTCCTGCCCTCCCATGGGAAGCTTGCTGGAGGCCACTGGCCATGTCTGGCAGCCTCAGCCCAGAGCTTGCTAGACCTGCCTTCAACGGAGCATAATGGCCAGCTGGCCTTCAGTGCTGAGCAAACTAGTTAACTTTTGGGGGCTTGAGTTGCCATTTTTATAAAAACAACAAAGATCACCTGTGGAGTCAAAGTTGCTATGTTGTGACACAGCGATTGAGGTAAGAGTCCCAAGCTCTGGCACTTCAGGCACTGGTAAGACCCACAGGGATTATTTTGTGTTTTTACAGTTAGGCTGAGCATTGTTCCCCAGATTAGCATCTTTTTATCCTTCATTTCAAGGGGATCATAGAGAGAAGAAATAATTGCAGGAGCCACAAGCTGGCTAGTGCAGGCAGGGGAGGAAAAAAGGAAAGAAGACTGAAGGCAAAGGGAGGGGTAGTGAGTGGAGAAAAGCAGAGAGAAAAGGGCCAGAAAGAAGGTCTGTAGGCCAGCACCTCAGAGGCCAGCGTCGGGAGCTGACCCGTCCACCTCAGGCCCACCATGGTGGTGCCCCTGCATCACCTGATGCCACACATGCAGCTGCCACACCCCTGCCCAGAACAAGAACAAAGATACTCTACCACGGTTGGGCATCCTAAGAATGAGGGAGGTCCTTTAGGAAGCAAACAACATAACTGCAAAACAAAAGACCCACATGAAAAAACCATCCTGATGCTGGCCCAAATGTCGCCTAGTTGGGGGCAAAGCAATGACGAACTTCCCAAAGCAAAACCCCAAACCGCACCCCTCACGCATCGGCGGGGACTACCAACAGCTCAGTACCTTTGGCAATGTTCCGCGGGGGAAGTGGGGGTGCACTGGCGGTGCTGGGGGCTGCAGGCTGGGTGGGCGGTGGGCTGCCGCTCAGGATGGCTCCATATGTCTCGTTCTGCAAGATGCTGGGCGCAAAGCTCCTCTGCTTGTCCTTGGCCAGGCTGGCGGCGTCTCTGGCCAAAGAGGCAGCATTAGACTGCAGCTGGTTGGACCCCAGCTGGTAGAAGCTGATGGGCCGGTCTTCTCGCCGACTGGGACTGGGCTGCAGAGGGGTGGTGGGCAGAGCATGTGAAACGCGGACACACTGATCTCCTGGTCACAGCATTCAGTCTCCTAGTGACAACCTCGTGTACACCACTTCTACTTGGGCATGGTGCACTTTGGCTCTCAGCCATGGCATGAGAGCTACAAGATTTGAAACTCATTCTTATCATGTCTCTTAACGGAAACACACAACAAAAAAGCCATGACTTACAATTTACAATTCTCCATTCTGTGGAAGATTTAAAATATGGACTATAGAGTTATCTCAGCCTAGCTCTGCATTTCACTCTGCTTCCCCTTCATAAACATGCTCTTACATTACAGAACAGTAGAGCTGCTCTGAGCACCCAGCTGCATTCAGTCCCAACAGCTTCATGACTAATTCAGGCGAGATCAATATTTTCTTTCCACAGAACTGGAGCACTTGATATTCTTCTAACTTAGGGGCAAACCATGGCCCACAGGCCGCTGTTTTGTAAATAAAGTTTACTGGAAGACAGCCATGCCCAGTCGTTTGCATGCTGTCAAGCCACCCTGGCAGAACTGGGTAGTTGCAAGAAAAGCTGTGATATTTTAGAGCCACAGCCTAAAATATTTACCACCAGGCCCTTTAATAGTTTGCTGAGCCCTGCTCTACTTGAACCATGCCTGGAATCATGATTCGAGTAAATCAGAGCTAACTCATAATTTCAAATGTCAGCCTTCGTTATAACAGTTATGACGTTGAGCAATTAACCTTACTGACCCTATTTCTCATCTGTTAAACAGGTATAACTTCCACTGCTTCTCTAGCACAGTGCCAGGAGCTTAGCAGGTATCAGTGTCTGCTGTCGCACCCCTCGTCCCCTCACAGGACCACCTGCCCAGTCGAGGCTCTGCCTAAAACCAGGCTCAAACCCAGCCCAGGTGTGCAGAGCTCGAGGGCTGGTGGCTCTTCACACATACTTTTAAATTCCAGCAAAGCCCAGGGCTGTGTGAACTAACCATGCCATCCACTCTCTGCTGGAAATAGCGAGTGGGTGGGTGAGTGTTGGCACTCGCTGCTGGCCTTTCACTTGGACTGTGCTGGATGACGCCACCTGCCGTGTCACTTGCCCACAGGACAGGCATGCGATGTGCGCTTGATGAAGAGGTACTCGCTCTGGGGTGAGTGCTTCAAATCTACTTTTTTTAAGGTAGGTAAGCATAAAATTCACCTGCTCTTCTCACTTTGATACCATTTTATAGCTAACTTAGAGAAGAAACTTCTTATTCTAAGAAACAGTAAGTACAGATCTTAACTGCTCCATAAATAAGGACAGTCTAACAGGTTTCAGAAATGCCACATATATCTAGTTAGACATCTTCCATACACATCAGGACACTAAAGTCCTACAGCAAAGATAACAAACATGACATGGCATCCCCACCAACTCCCACACCAGCTACAAGTGTGGGCTTTGGAGTCAGGGTGAGTGTGACTCTCAGTTCTGAGCCATGTCAAGGGGGCAACCTTCAGGGGTCCCCCCCAAGTGTGCAAGACAGTGAGTCATGAGAAGGGAGCTGGACTAGAAGGCAAGAGCCCTCATTCTGGCCCCAGGTCAGTCTCTGCACACCAGCTTTGCTGTGGCCAAGACACCCTCTCTTTTGAGGCTTCACTGACCCCATCTGCTAAAGGGAAGAGCTGGACCCAGTGACTCCAAGGGTCATTTAATGATGTCACTCAAGGTCTGAAAGGTTGTCTAGGTGATAGTAGCGGAACCTGAACCCACAGTAAGGGAGCTTCCTCTAAAACCCACTGGAATCACTTTTCTTCATCTCTTTCCTTCATAGCAAAAGGGGAGCACAGCTGCCTAGGAGTACACAATCAATGCCCTTTAAATTAAAGTGTGTAGGAACTGGGCGATAGGGGATGGTTGTGGGAAGGGTAAAACCAAAAACCTGAGGAGATCAATGGAAGCAAAAAGTAAACTCTATTTCCTTCTCTACAAAACAGCTTTCTGCCCTAATTGCAGGCTAGAACCCACGATGCTCTGAATGAAGCTTATCACAACTCTTAACATTTTACCACCCGGCACAGACCTGCAATTTCTCATCCATGTCGTCATCGCTTTCATCCAGGTCTTCATGGAGCAACCGCCATTCATATTCAACATGCACATGAGAGTTAAACCTTCCTGATAAGGCTTGGGTGAGCTGAGAAGAACAAAGGACTGTCAATGCTGCTGTGCAGGCGCTCGGCCCTGTGACACGGGCAGCCACCAAGACGGCCAGAGACAGCAGGCGGGCAGCACACAGAGGGGAGGAGAGCGCTGGCTGGGGAGGGAGAGCACCCAGGCTCCAGTACAGGCCAGCTACTTAAATCTCTGGGTCTCAGGTTAAGACCCCGCCCCCAATTCACACATGACCTTGAAACCCAAACTTGGTGACTCCCAGTTAGTACTTTGTAAACTGTTAAGTGCTGTACGCAGGCAAGGGGTATCTGTGATCTAAAGGATGATGGTCAGCCTGTAGGTGCTGACAACTGCGCCTGGGGGCAAACTCAATCTGAGAATGAACGTGTCCACAACTGTCACCTGGGCCTTTCTCAACCAGCACGAGAGAATTAAGCCCTGCAGAAAAGGATGTGAATGGCTATTTTCTCAATTATCTCAAGGAAGGTAAGACAGCTAGGTCCATTCTAGATGCACAGGAGAGAAGTTAATTCATTAGACACAATGGGCGTCTTAGCACATCAGGGCTTAATCTTTCCCATAGCCAGATAGTAGCTGTGTGACCTTGGGCAAGTTACTTAATCTTTCTATGCCTGTTTCCTCATCTGTAAAATGAGGATAACAGTAGAAACCCTGTTATAAGGTAGTTATCAAGATTAAATGAGTTAATGAACATAAAGTGCTTAGATGAGTCCCTGTTACTTATCCTACACTTCTACAGCATTTCCTATCAATAGTTCTATTTATTGAGCACTTACTAAGTGCCCATTGCTTTACATTCAACAATAATTCTCACAACCACCTTGCAAACTGGTACAGCTGACTCCACTGTACAAATAGGGAAACAGCAGAGAGCTGGCGTGACTTTCCCAAGGCACAGCAGGGGAGCCCCACTGCAAGCCCAGGTCTGCCTGACCCTGGTGGGCTCTGTCCACCGGCCACACTGCCTAACAGGACAGGAAGAGATGGTGCAGAACAACCCAAATGATTTGGGGTTGGGGAACGAAACAAGAAAGCCAGCTTTGGTGGGCCGCTGCAAAGGGATTAGCTAACAGCTCAGATTCCAGAGAACAGCCAACGTTGTGGTGGTCCCCCCCGCCGCTGTTCCACCCGCCCAGATGATGCCAGGGCTGCCAGCAACACATCCAACCAGCAAATACCGATTTGAGCTCCAAGCAACACTTGGATGGGTGGTCACCTCCTCTCTAAAGACTCCCCAGTACCTTTCTCCAAGTCACCCCATCTGGATACTGGGATCTGCTCAGGACCCATGCTGGGAGCTCAGAGAAAACCCTGCTCAAGGAGGGCAGGCAGGAAGGACGCCCTGGCCCATCCACGCCAGGTGGAGACTCACCAGCTCCTCACAGTGCTCATGCCTGAGGCGCTTGGCGATGTCCAGCGGTGTCTCTCCTGACTCGTTAGCTAAAAGGAAGGGCCACAAAGGGAGGTGTCATGGCAAAAAGAAGCAAAGGTCTGGGATTGAGAGGCACTTAAAAAAAGACACAGTGGAGCAGCACTAAATTAAACTGAATGTAACTAATGAAAGCCACAGCTTGTCTGACCCAATTGGGGCGAATCTGTTCAATAATCACATACAACTGCAGCAGTGTACCGTCAGTAAGATTTTAAAAGGCAAGGTTGGAGCTAAGCATGAAAATAAAACTGCTGAAGTAGCCAGATAATGAAAATCAATATCCAAACAGTAAGTCGTTGAATAAGGCAGTTCACCATAATTCTCTAACCAAAAGCATCGCTAGTCTAAGTTCCGGGCATCTGATCATAATGAACTTTACACCTCCTTTTAAGCAGTCCATAAATTTGAAGCTATATTTTCTTCTACGTAAGCCTCAGTCAATGAGGTTTGATTATTAACTTTTAGAAAAGAAACTCGGCTCCCCAGCAGGTGAGGGCCTTCGTTCTACTCTCTCTGCTCTCTGCTCAGCAGTTCTTCAGAAACGCTCCCTCATGACACGGTCACAGCAGCTGCCCTTGGCTAGACCGTGCCCGCCGGCCCTCAGGACCTCAGGGTCCCATGGGGAGGGAGGGCCAAGAAGACCAAGGGTCCCTCATGGAGGAGACTCGGTAGTTCCTTTCCATTATTATTTTCATTTTTCTTTGTGAAAAATATTAAGTGAAGGCTTAGGAATCCATGGTCTAAGAAATATAATATTACTAGAACTTGTAAAACTATTATTTTAAAATTCACCTCCTGTTCCCTTCCAACGAAAGGAGGGGGAGTAAATGGTGTCTCCCACCAGTAAACCTTCGAACCCAGAGCCAGGAAGGGGCTGAGTCTGATCCTGGGTGGGGGTTATAAATAGGAGGGCAAGAAGCCTCACACCATGTCCCAGTTGACCTCAGCATCAGTGAGGGCCTATCCTCTGCCTCTCATAGCCCACAAAACGCCTGCGGATGACGGAGAGTCTACGTAACAGACCGAGGAAAACTGCTGGTCAACACAAGACCGCAGCAGCCCTACAGAAGGCGCAGGGAGAGGCCCCTTCTCTTCAGAGAGCAGGATTTACTTCTCAGCTCCGACAGAGCCCAGTGTCTGGACTGTTTCCAAGAGGAGTGTAGGAACGCAGACAGGGGACAGGCCAGCAGGCCAGTGTGGACCGCCTGCTCACCGATCTCGATAGACGCCTTCCCCCGCAGCAGGAGCTTGAGGCATTCAGCGTTGTCCGTCAGACAGCAGTAGTGCAGGGCCGTGCTGCCTTTCCCTGTCTGTTTATCCAGGTTCCCACTGGCCGAGAACAGGACCGAGAGACAAAGAACAGTGAGTCACAGGACAGAGGACCAGGGACTGCCTGGGCAGGGGACCAGGGCACGTGTGCAGGGGAGGCGGCAAGCCATCAGACTGAGTGGGGGTTTCTCTCATCCCCCCATGAGGTGGGTGGGACACAGCGCCACCCCACTTGTGTGGATGAGGCAGCCTGAAGGCCATCAGGGAACTGACAACGATGGTAGAGGAGGCCAAAAAGGGAGCGAGGCACCTGCGCTGCTGCTGAGCAGGGGCCGAGGGCTGTATCCTACCTCCCGGGGGAGCCCTGAACCACCAGCATCCCTCCCACTTCTCTGTCAGTGTCCAGAGGCCACAGTGCCCATCTGGGCATCAGGAACCCTGTGTGCCTTGCCCTTCCTGTCCCACAGAAGGACAGAGGTGAGCTTTTTTCATCATATTATTGACACTCTTGCCAGAAAGGGGAAAAGCCACTTTTCCAAAGTGCAGAGTCCCAAAGCTCCTCCGAGCCTGCTCACTCCCGACTGCCCTGCAAACAGCCCAAGGGAGAATCGTGCAGAGACTGTCTTCCAACGTAAAACAAGGCCAGCTTATCCCACAGGCACCTGTGCTCCTCAGCAGGGGACACTCCATGCAACCTACTGGTGGAGCCAGCCCTGAACCTGTGGCCACAGGTTCACTGTCCCCCTCTGAGGAGGAGGGACAGTGGGACTTTGTGCTGCCTGGACAGACAAGTGGGTACAGGAGAGTGACCACCAGAAGGTGATACCCACTGCTCCCATCAGGACAGAACCAGCTACACTTTCAACCTAAAAAGGGGCCTCATTTTCTGATCTCTCCTCTCCTTCTGCTGTCCTCCCTCCATGCTGGAAGGAACTAGGCCTTTCCTTCTCCTGCCCACGGAGAATTTACACTGAAGGAGGTGGCGTTGTTCAGCCTTTTAATCAAACGTTCACTGTGCCCCCGTTACGCTTGAGGCGCTGGGTGGTCCTCCAGGCTCCAGCAGAGGGCAGGGTCGTCTGAGCGGCTTCCACTGCGAGTGCAGCAAACCCCCAGCTCCTGTGGAATGAGCTGACCAGCCCCAAGCTCCTCCACCTCTGGCCATTTCTTCACTCCTCCCCCAGGAATGGCAGGGAAAGGCAGAAATGCAAAATATCCCCTTGCCTTTGCACTGTGGAATTTCCCCTTCCATTTGGAGCACTATCAGTGGCTTTTAACCAGCACCTCCCCCTCCAGTACACACCCCCAAACCATGATTAGGGGTCAGGATACACCTCGACGGGTCTGCAAGTCTGGCCTTCTGCTGCCAGGCAGGTCACAGAAAGCACCCAGCAACGGGGCTCCTGGGCTGGGTGTGCTGCACACCCACGTGCTCTCTAAAAGCAACTTCTAACTAAACATAAAAACTTTTCAAGCCAAACAAAATGCCCACAACCCGGCAGTGTGGTTTACAATCTTGGCTTAGACCAGAGACGAACGAGTGGGTCTTCACGTGCCTCCTCCTCCACCCACGGCTTGGGACACACTCACTGGGTCTTGTGGGACACCCACTCACAGGACAAGCCCAGGGATGGCCCTGGCCACAGAGGGAGGTTGTGGGGGCCACAGACAGTCTGCTTTCCAGGGGCATGGAATTCAGCAGACATACCGACTTGGTGTCTCCCTGAGCACCAGAGACTAGGAGCTGGATCTCGCAGATACCACGAGGGCTGTCATTCCTCACACTCCAGGACTCTCTGGGATTGCCTTGGAACCCCCCCCACCCCCCACACCTGGCAGCACTCTTCCTGTCGCACAATTCATGTTTAGACCTGGGAAAATTCCACCGTCTTGGCCACACAACTGAAGCAATGAGGCAGCACCTGAGTCCTTCCTCAGAAACATAATGGAACAAAATGAAACACTCCCCTAATTTTAGAACACCTACCTGTTCTGAACTAAAAAGTCTACAATGTGAAGAGAAGTCCGGTCTACGGATCTGACTGCAAGATGCAGGGCTGTTTCATCTGGCTCCTGAAGACCAAACAGAGACATTCCAGAATTCCACGGGGAGCATTCAATTTTGTGTCCAACGTGAGTGAAATTGTGAATCTCTCTTCCAAAAGCCTTTTTTATCATTTCTTTAAAAAACTTATCATTAAGATATATAGTGTCCCTTTAAACTCCATGGCAAACTCTGCCCATGGGAAGCTACCGTGTAGAGCCTGGGCATACTCCTCCTTACTCCATGGGAAATAAGGAGAAACTCAGAGGTTTCCTTTCAAGTCCTCTCAATCTTTCTGTCCCTGCGTCAATGACGTGAGCGGTTGCCTGTAGGCAGGGCTCTCAGTTCAAAAACTATGGGAAGGTTCCCTGGGCTTGCTGTACCTTAATCCTCTTATACCTGATCCCTGAATAAATATAAATGTATATTTTTCAAACAGGGTTAAAGTTTTTCATTCTATACTTACAGATAAGGCTATCAATGCCAATATCCAGACAGTCTTTAATTCATACTAGGGGTCCATGAGTACCACTGCCTTTTCTGAAAGTAAGTTTTGGCAGGAGAGGGAGAGACCAAATGGGGGTTGTTTCAGGCAGGAGGGTGGGTGAGAGAGCTGGAGGTGAAGGAAATATCCACAGAATGGGGAAGATGGGGCTGAGAGGGGCACTGCCCATTCTACCTGCCCTGCTCGCTTGGTCAGCCAGGGCCACTCCCCTGTCCTCTGGCTGTGCCATAGCTCAGAGCAAAGCACTGCCCTGGACCCCCTTGACTTGAGTTCTCTCTCTCAGCCTCAACCACTGAACAGTAAGTCTCCATATAATGTGCCCAGTTGCTGAGGGGTGACCTGCAGCTGCATGTGTCTTTATGCTGAGGGTAAGGAGGTTTCAAGGAGGTGTGAGCATGTGTCCACAAGGACACGCATGGAAGAGAATTAGGACACACACCAACCTGTGACACTGGTGGTTTCCTGTGGCCCGGATCCTGGTAGCAAGTCCCCATCCCACTTGAGACCCTACACTCTCGACAAAGTTCGCTCAGAAAATTGGGGGATGTCTCTCCCACTCGCGTTCCCTCAGAGAGGAGAGCTTGGGGAGCGGTGCCCCAGGCCATCAGAGCTCCCCTCGCCACGTGGCCTCGGGAGCTGCTGCTGAGGCCTGGCTGCCAGCTCCCGGCATGCCCAGGAGGCGCTAACGCCGTTCACGGCTGCTCACAGACAACAGTGCTTCTCTCAAGTGCCAGGGGCTCTGGGAAGATGCTCCCTCACCCGGGTGGGCTTTCTTTCCAGGGCCAGCATTACATTTCTGGTTTAAGAATAAACCACCAATTTCTTCCCCCAGAACTCAGCGCTGTATCCTTTCAGAGTTACATGTCAGCATTTCTGATTACATTGCTTTGCCACGTTTTCCCCCTCTTTCTTTTCTTTTTTTAAAAGTAGCAAGCCACACTCTTACATGTCCATTGGCCAGTGGGATTTTTTCCGTAAGATCCACACCATCAGCGTATGCTTGGAGTAATCCAAAAATATCTCTTGTTTTGACGGCTTCACAAAGGCTGTGGAGTTTTGCCGTGTTATCCGCGTGTTTTTTCCTTGCATATTTCCTCTCAATGTACTTGGCAGTGATGTAGTCCTTTCTTGCATTCCTGAAATCACACATAATTGCCTTGTAAATGATTAAGGGCCTCTATTCAAATATAGCCAACATCCATTCATCTGCAACAACTTTTAAAAACTCCTGCCCCCACCCTCCTTGTAGGAAGCACCGGCAGGAAAACATGGTGGGGAAGCAGCGCCTTGTGGCTCCACTGCAGCTCCCGCATTCACTGCCGGGCCTCGGGCACTTTCAGTAAGCCGTGAACTCCTCTAGTTTCCGACACAAGAGGCAGCAAGGTCCAGAGCAGGAGTCCCGGGGCCTCACCCAGGTTCCCAGGGCCAGGTGCACGCCTCACTCAGCCCCTGCCACTCTGGCCTCGTCTCTCCACTCGGCCTCCTGAAGCTCTGTGCTCCAGCCTCACCAAGCCATTTCCCTCACCACCTTCTGCGTATCTCCCTGCCTCTGCTCACCCAGATCCCTCTCCACCTTCTCTCCTAGGTAATCCACATGCCTTCAACATCCTTCATGGGCCACCTCCAGACCTCCTGGCCTGACCTCTGTCACAACGCTCTCTCTATTGGCCTACCTGCCCGCCTGCCCAGTGGGGCTGGAGGAAGTCTACATCTTCTCTTTCATGGGTACCATGCCTGGCAGAAAAGGGACTCACAACACATCTGATGAACCAAAACAAATGTCAATCTTCCCCATGGTCTATTTTCCAGCCTTCCCATGACACTGTGTTTATAGACGCCCCCTCCTCTCCAGGAAGCATGGAGGGGCAGCAGCTCCAGGGCAGCCAGAGACTGGCCTGGTTCAAGTCCTACCCCCACTACAGACTGATGCATCAGACAAGCATTTCATCTCTTTAGGCCTCAAGTAGTCTTATTTGTGAAAATGAGAACAAGACATCCTCATGGAACTGTGAGAAGTACATGAGTTGACATATCTGCTGAGAACACGGTAGCTCCTTAGGACCTTAAATAGTGCTGATGGACTTAAAAGAAAGCAAGAAAAATAGTAGCTCCTGGTCAAGACGCCTCTCAGCATTTTACTCCAAGGTCCTAAACAGCAGCAGCAGCAATAAAAAACATAAGCAAGATTTTTGAGAGACACAGTAAATGCTAAATTATCTTTGACGATCAAATCAGAAACGACAAGGAACAACCCCAATACCCGTCAGCTGATGACTGGATAAGCAATGTTGTCTATCCATACAATGGAGTATTATTCAGCCATAAAAGGGGATGAAATACAGATTCATGCTACAACGTGGATGAACCTTGAAAACGTTATGCTCAGTGAAAAGAAGCCAGATACAAAAGGCCACAGATTGTATGATTCCATTAATAGGAAATGTCTGCAACAGGCAAATCTGTAGAGACAGAAAGTAGATCAGCAGTTGCCCAGGGCAAGGGGGGTGTGAGGGGACAGAGGGTTGAGTGTGAACTTAATTTTAGCCAATAGACCTACCAGAGATGTAGGGAGAGTGACACGATAGGATTGATCCCCTTGGTTTCTCTTGCCCACGCTTTCTGGAAAGTGTGAAATGCACTGAAATTTCTAATGTTCGGGCAGGGGAGGGCAGGCTGAATGAAAAGGAAGGTCCTGAATCCCCCACGGGCTGGTGGTCGGCTCTGAGAGGGTACAGGGCCATTCAGAGCCTGGACCCTCGGTCAGATGGCTCCACAAGTCCCATCTGGGCGACTTTGGGCCAGCTACTCGACCTCTGTGAGCACTGGCCTCCTTATCATGACAACACCCACTCACAAAGCTGTGGCAGGATTAAATGAGGTAGCACACTTAAGCACTGAGCACCACGTTCTGGAAACACCAGCTATAATTACTGTAATGGCGCGGAACGAGGAGGGGCGAACAGTGGCCCAGGACAAGGGGAACCTGGCCAGCTCCTTTCAGCCCTGTCACTTCTTGTTCCACCCTGCCACCAAGGCCATGCCTCCGGTGTCTGCTTTGACTGCTGGTCAGTCACCAAGCCCCTTACGTCAACATCATGGGAGTCCTGGCAGAAGTGCACAGGGTTCAGGAGTGGGCAGGTCAACTCCAAGCCCCCAGAAAGAAACACCACTACTGACTACCTTACCGAATAAATCCACCGCCCGGGTGTTTATAGAACACAGACTCTGCATGAACTGCGATGATCGACTTTTTCCACGCACTCCCTCATACAGGTACAGCTCCTGTGGGCTTACAAGTCGAGTTGAGATAAGCTGTCTCATTTGATCCTCACGACAATGCTATGAACTTTTTTCTATCTCTACCTTACAGAGAAGTAAACTGAAGTCCATCAAGGTGACATTAAATTTTGTTCCCTCAAATAGCTGGCAAGCTCCCTGAGGGCAGACCCCATGTTACTGGTCTAGGTTCTCCTCGCAGGACCGCCTCCCATAGCGTGATGCTCAGGGAACTGCTCAGTGACTATGTGGCTTGACGACGCCTATCTGACAACCTGTCTAATGATTTAAACTGTACAGGTCTCACAATGGGTGACCGGACTAGACAGCTACCAAGTTTTAGGCAGTTTCCACAATCACTGTGGGACAATCAATCATCACTGTGACGTCCCCAGGAAGGAGCTAGAGATAAGTAAAGGATCCAGTTTATCTTTTCAATGTATTGTTCGTCTGTACACGGCTTTGGGTCCCCTGAAGGTTGTCCTTAACATGCATGGGCACAGAGCACAGATCTGTTTTACATAACACCGTGCCCCACGGCTTCATGAGGGACATTTACTGCCAGTGTAAGCCCCACCCTTTATTTTAAAAGGCGCAGGATTTTAGAGAAAAGCAATGAACTTAATATAAGGATACATTTGGCATGTGTTCAGAAGGTGGGGCTTCTTGTACTTCTGAAGGAGAGGGCATGTTGAAGGGTCCCAAGTCATAGAAGAGAAACAGCTCTGGCCTCTGTAAGCAGACACAATCTGGCTGCTTCCCCCTTCCCACCTATTTATATTTCCCAACACCTCCAGAATCCATCTGGGGATTCACAGGCCACCAGAGGGTCTTTGGCTTCCCTTTCAACAGATTTAATCTGTAGATGGTGTGTTGTTCCGAGATAAAGCCAGAAAAGTACATTCCTTTTCATCAGGAAGTCAAATATTAGCTTATTTAAGTAGGCACAGAGCTGGGATTTTATCTTGAATTGTTGACTTATTAAATATGTATTTCCCATCATAAGCAACATATTGTGGTGGGAAATTCAAAAATGAGTAAGAAGCAATTTATCAAAAAAATACATGTAAATACGTAGGTATAAATATAAAATGGGATGAAATGCTTTAAAATAGAGCCAAATGCTACAGAAGCACAGAGAGACCAGCAATTAATTTCAACTAAGGAGGTATGACAGTAGGTGGCATTTTGCCATTGCATTGATCACTGGCCCTCATTTTGAAAAAAAAGAAAGGAGTATAAACTTCCTTTTCATTTGTGCCACGGTTGGTGGGGATGGGTCTCAATACAGAGAGAACATTTATATTGAAGGATTCCAAGCAGACAGAATTCATCTTTTTAGAATCATCTAGCCCCAAAATAAACTAATTTTCTACTCTTATAAAGCACCGCTGGTACTTGGAAGAAATTATTTATCACATGCTGTGTTCAAAATTGATCAGTATTACAGCTTCTCAGGAGACTGGTACCTTCACTGTGAGAGCAGGTGTCAATTAAACAGTAAACAAACATGTCATTCTGGACCAAAAAAACCTCCTTTACTAAACAGGATCTTCTAGCTATCCCAGGAAGAGTCAGTTTCCCCTGTAACTCTCCAACCAAAACCTAACTTGAGAGGACCCAAATTTTTCAGGGGATGTGGAATCGGTGCATGGCACTTATGTTGCCTCTGCTGCCCACACCCACAGTGACTAAGCAGAGTGGCTGACACCATCTAAGCACCACACGCTCTACTCACCATCCCACTGACGTCCAATGACTGTGAGGTGGGTGTGCTGTCTCCCTGGTTATCTTAAAGGAAAAAAGCTCAGAGAGGTTCATGAACCTGCCCAGGTCCCATGATCGGGTAAGGACTGGAATTTCTATGTCCCATACTGCCTCTCCGGGTCTGGGTGAGAATATAGATCTGGAACTCAGATCTTCATCAAGAGAGGATAATAACTCTGTAAGCCTCATGCCTGGTATGAAGAATCACACATTATCCAATCTCGAGGAAATGCTACACCACAAAAATCCGCTACACGACTCAAACATGAACCGACTCTAATCAACACCAATCGAAGGCTCACCTCAGACAGCTGATACCCGAGAGGGTGTCGAATCCACACGGTGCCTGTCGTTCTTTTAGCTGTCTAAGCTCCCTTCCTGTATTGAGTTACCTTACCCGAGCAAAAGAACACAGGCCTGCAACTTCGTCTTCCCAAAGACATGCCCCCACAAAACGGTCAGAAAAATCTAAATTCTCTGCTCCTGCAAAGGGCCCATAAACTACCACCTACTTAAGAGTAAAACCACTCATAAAGCCATTGTTCACTGTTCCCAGTGTCCTTTAGGAGAACTGGTACCATCAATTCTATCTCAGGCTTATTCCAAAGAAAATGCTGTCTCTGTAAAGAAGTTTTTCTATTCTCTCTCATCACACATTTCTCACTTTCCCTCACCTGCCAGAACACTTTGGTCCAGACTCACCACTCAAATGCACGTGCTGTTTCTTTTAACTGACCTGGGACCCCCTCTCTCTCCCCTTCCTTCTGTCTGCTCACTTTGTGTCACACTCTAGTGGGTAAACCACTCCCAGCCCTCCTGCAGGCAGACCGGCCGCCCACCAGGGCTGAAGTCGAAAGTGGGCAGCCAGGAACTGCCCTGACCAGTTGGTCTCCCACCCACCTCTCTGAAGGCCCAGTGTGACCTGGTGATTTATGCTTTGTTTGGTAAGACTGGCAGGAAAACCCCCTGTAGCAAGCTCTGCCTCAGTGGGCCAGCTGGATGCATGATGAGGCACAAAAGCTTCTCAATCAGGTTTTGTGTCAACAGTAAAATGAAAACAAAAAAATTTTTTTGAAGGAAACAACACACTCCACATTTGCAAGGACAGTGGGAAAGAGAATGATACATAATGTCATAATATCTATGACAACTAACCCTCCCAGTGGCTCAGAAGTTATGCGGAAAGAACTAAGGTGGGAGAGTGACAGAGGGTCAACGGCAGAGGCAGAGGCAGAGAGGCAAGGGTGCACCCACACACCACCAGCAGAGGGCGACACTCCCCACACCGCCCTCACATACACAGTGTCGGCTAATGGGCTTTCCTGTGGCCTCTTCCTAAGAAAAACAGCCACACCAAATTTCCATTTGGAAACCCAAAAAGGTTAAAGTGACTTAAGAAGAAAACAACTTAGGCTGACATATTCCCTAAAGAAGCAACAACTGACATACCCCAAACTCGTCATCCCCTGCCTCTCGGGGCTCAGGTTAACACCACCAACCTTGGAAGCAGGAATGGCCAGTCCCATACTTACATGTCGCTGCCTGGGCTGGGTTTGACCGAGTCCTCAGCTGGAAGGCAACACTCCATGATCTCATTAAAGCCTGCATTCCCAATATTCTTGGCAAGCTGCAAAAACAAAAGCCTATTTCAGGGTACTCAATTATTAATACATTCCACTGCCTCACAGTACTCAGACATCTGATGATTTATTTAACGGCCACTAAGAAATAGAGCAATAAAGTGGTTTGCCTTTAATGAAGACAGACAAAGCCCAAACCCCCAAGGTACCCATAAAACGAGAAGCAGCAGCAGGCCTATTACAGAGGAGCGTGATCATAAAACGTCCCCCAGATAGGATGCCTGGACGGACGGACGGGGAGAAGCAGTAACTTGGTCCAATGTGAGTATCCATCCTTACCTACCCCCACAAAAACCCTGTGCTCCGACTGCCATGGGCCTCGAAACCTTTATTTACGCCAGTGAGGAGGTGGCTCCCAACCCGGGAAGCCAAGATTCTAGTTCAAATCCTGGTTCTATTTACTGGCTTTGTGACCACAGGCAAGTCAGTTTACAGTTCGATTTTTTTTATCAGTAAAATGGGGACAATATCCACCTCACTGGGTTGTAATCATGATAAAATGGGACAACTTAGGTGAAAGCATTCAATAAACTGTAGCACTAAAAATGTAATGTATTTGTTCCAATGTGAGGTCCTCACTTGCCAATCAACCTTCTGACTTGTTAAAAATTAACACATTTTAATTAATGCTTACTGAACACCAGGCAGCAAATACTGAGATAAACGTCACAGTTTGTCTCACCCAGGCTACCCTGACAGTACGACAGCTGGCATCCTTCTGAACAGAGGCATGAACACGGACGCACTGGGAGTCGCTCAGGAGCAGGGATTCACTCCTCACTCCCAGCCCTCGGCTCAGCACGCAACAGACCGGTTTCCAGATCCGATTCTTCCGTGTTTAATGAGACAAAGAAAACCGAAGGGGAGCACCTCGCACTGTGCTTTGAGAGAACAGATACTTCATTTCCACGTTGGAAACGATGCAATGGGGAGAAGCGACAGTTCTGATATTAACTCTCAATGAATTACTCGGACAAAGGCTTACGGGGATGTCCTGAGAGACAAGGCTGCTGCCTGAATGGCCTCTCCTCTCTCCAGGGGGACGTGGCTGAAGGAACCACCACAGGGATCTGGGCTAGAGAAGGTCGGACTTCCTGGTGGCAAGTAACGTAAAATAGTGAAAGGGTATCGTGAGGGATGCCAAAGGATGAAAGAAACATGGGGGACAGCTTAATAATCGGGCGATGAGCTTTCCTGATTTTACCTTGTCCTTGACAAATGAACAAAGCTTCCTAGCTGGCCCAAAGCACCAAGCACTAACCTACTCTGTCTCAGTCCTCAGTCCTGGCCCGGTGGCCTCAAGCCAATGTCAGGTGGCAAAACCCTAGGTGCCCCACTGCAGTTTCCCTAGAGACAAGGCTGATGGTCAGGGTGGTACACCACATCAGGTGACAGGGGCTGATGTACTGTGGAGCCAATGCCAGCTAAGGATATCTTCGGATTTCTTTCAATATCATGGACACTGTCACCTAGCCAAGCACAACCGTTTTTAGAAGGTGAGTGACAGAACAAGCCACAGCTCCCCCTCTGTGAGCAAGGGGCCCTGATGCCTCCTGGTCTGTGGTAAGCAGATGGGAGAGAACGTGAGGAGGAGAATTCCCTGGGAAATCAGAAAGCTGCTTCCCTTCTGCTTGGACTTGGCTGGTTTACTAGGGGACAGCTGGTCCAGGGAGCCACCACATCCATGCGTCACACTCGTCCAACACAGAGAAACGCACCACCTCACAGTTTTGCCAAGTTCCAGTGAATCTTTCAGCCTGCAGAGAACCCCTCTGGAATCATCAACAAAAGCAAAGCAACTGCAGATGGAGGCTGCAGGGTCATGTGAAGAAAACGGGGGCCCCAGCAGGCCAAGAGGGCAGGAGCCCAGGAAGCAGGAAGGCTGATGCTAAGCAGCCCCCACACAGAGACCACCACCCAGGACTCAGGGCTGCGCCAAGGCAGATGCAAGGCCAGGTCAGATGGAGGAGGGTCAGGGTACTTAGGTACTGCACCACTCAGAGAAGGGAACCCCAGCCCCAGGTGAGTCCACACATGCACGCTGAGCCTGCAAGTGTGCTGGGCCCTGGGCATGAGAAATGATGCTGCTCAAAGGGAGGTCAGTCTCGAGAGACAGAGGATAATTAAAAAGAAAAGAAATAAGGGCTGGCCCCGTGGCCGAGTGGTTAAGTTCACGCACTCCACTTCGGTGGCCCAGGGTTTCACAGGTTCGGATCCTGGGCACGGACATGGCAGTGCTCGTCAGGCCGTGCTGAGGCGGCGTCCCACATGCCACAACTAGAGGGATCCACAACTAGAGGGATCCACAACTAGAATATACAACTATGTACTGGGAGGCTTTGCGGAGAAGAAAAAGTTGGCAACAAAAGTTAGCTCAGGTGCCAATCTTAAAAAAAAAAACAAAAAAAGGAAAAGAAACGCACCGTGATGAGGCTGGAAAAGAGGTGTGCACTGAGCACTACGAGAAGGGAGGGTCGGGGCGGCAGCAGAGCAGTGACCTGGTCAAGACGGCCTACAGGACACAGCGCTAGGGTCAGTCTGCTCCTGCTGCCCGTGCCCGGGGGGCGAGCACTCGGCAGGCTGGCACACTGTCACCACACGGGTGAACCACCACATGTGTCAACCAATTCAGCTTCTTCCAATAACAAACCAGACTTTTGAACTCTCAATCAGCTCCAAATTTGTGTAGGGAAATGGTTTGTTCTTTATTGGGCCCCCTCAGATCCCACAAGGGTGGAAGGCTTACAGAGCACGGCACACCTTTAATACATAAAAAATCTATGCTTAGCAGGAGGTTTTCTGAAAGCAGATTGCTTTAAAATTGAAAATATTAAGCTGGTGCATGCTAACATAGTGAAGGTGGCGCGACTGCCCAGGACTAATCTAATTAATACTTCAGTGACCCCAGCTTCTTTCCGCTGAGGAAGAAGGGTGTCTAAAAGCAGGTAAAGAGAAGAAAGATTACTACTAACCAGCCACCTTCACGAATGCGGCTGACACCCAGTCAATTAACATGGAAATCAAGCATGCTTTGAAAGAAAAACAAATTTAAAAAGAAATGGTCAAAGTGCCACAGCACATCATCCAGGGAGAGTGTTTGCAAACTCGAGGCCAGAAAACGATTTACAGAATTAAGCAAAAGACTTTTATCATGAGGAATATGGTGAGACCATATGGGAGGACAGCAGTGACATTTTATGGGGTGAGCTTCTGTTTATTTAGGAACACAATGCCAGCCAGAGAATGAAAATTCCTACTCATGGATCTGCTGTCTCTGTCATTTAAAAATCCCTTTCCTGTCACAGCACATCACCCTGAGATGGGGCTCTATTACTGACCTACCTGAAGACAGAGAAACACCACTCCCGTAAAACACCTTTGTCCAGGCTGCACCCACAGAGATGCTGGAAAGTTACTTTCCAGTTCACCCTCTTACTTCTTTAATAGGGTACTAAGAGTCTAGTTAACATTTGCTGCACAAGAAAACATACGATAATGAACAAATCAGCCAAAGACGCTGACATCACTGCCCTATGAATCTGAAAGGTTCATAAATGGAGCAGACAATCAGAGTGAACTTTCCTGTGGATTCACACATTAGGACACATGGATCATTCTTCTGAAAGGATTTTGTTAAAGTCATCTTGGAGGAGGAGATAATAATGATAGCTAATATTTTACAGTTTTTACTACATGCCAGACATAATTCTAAATACACAAGCACAGAGAGAGGGAGAGAAAGAAAGTGGGGGAGGGGGTGTGTGTGTGTGTGTGCGCGTATCAAGCCTTCAGAAAATCCTTTGTTCAGGCATCTGTCTAAGCAAAATAAAATAACTAGGTGCTTTGAAAAGGTCTGAAATTCCTATGCTTTACAAATGAATACTCACACCTGACACGTACTCTCCATCTGTTGCCTAACTTAATGGCTGAGGAATAAGGGTTTGGGACACAATGTCATACCCGCAGCCCTGGCACACAGTAATGGGGTGGGGTTGAGAAGTGGGGAGATGGATGTCTGCCTCCTGTGAGCAACCAGACAGGCAGAGTTCAGGGACAAGCAGAGGGTGGAAATAAATCCACATGATTCATGGCCTCCTGCCCTTTGTTTTTCTGATAACCGCCCAGGAAAAGACTTAGATAGGGAGACTTGAAAACTACAGCAGAGACCAGACATTGAAAGATCTGCAGACGCTGACTGGGAGGGCTCTGCCTGATATCTCCATAATGGTTGCGAGTTGGCCAAACTTTACTCTCCTATGAGAATATACAGACAGAAGCTCTGGGAGACAGAAACCAAGATCTAAGCCAGGGATCAGAGCCACCTCATCTTTTCATCAAAATGGAAACGTTTTCCTTTCAGCCTTCTTTGGTGTTTTCCTCTTTGGTAGGCAACAGAAGCTCATGAACATCGTCAGTTAAATTTTTGAGACACATTTAAGCAGGTGTAACAGACGTGTTGGAGTCAGGCTCCTACCAGATCACTAGAGCCATTATTAAATGCTCACATGGCCATTATTAAAATTACATCATATAAAATCATAATTAAATAAATTATATTAAAAACAGTAATAGGGGCTGGCCCCATGGCCAAGTGGTTAAATTTGCGTGATCTGCTTTGGCGGCCCAGGGTTTGCTGGTTTGGATCCTGTGCACGGACCTATACACGACTCATCAGGCCATGCTGTGGCAATGTCCCACACAGAAGAACTAGAAGGACTTATAACTAGGATATACAACTATGCACTGGGGCTTTGGGGAAGAAAAAAACAATAGTAATAAATACTCAACACTCATCACTTCCTAATTATTTTACTACATTTTACTACCCTCTATGTTTTTGAAGTTACTTATGACTCTTGTATTTGTATGGTGAACTTACTATAAATGGTGTGCTGTTAAACATCTCTTTCCCACTGCACACTCAGTAATTCACACTGGTAGCCTGAAACTGGCCATGGTGGGAGTATCTATATCATGGGAATAGGGAGACTGCAAAGCAGGGCTTTTTTTTTACCCCGAGAGTTGGCTGTTAAACGTTTGTTGGGGTTGGGGAATGGAACAGGGATGAGGAGGGACAGCAGTGACATCTTGCCACAGGGCAAGACGACCACCGCAAAGGCCAGTTTACATCCCAGCTTCCTCAAAGGTTAAGGGTGTGAGCTCTGGAATCACATTAAAGGGGCCACCGCCCCAGACCAGGCTCTTTAATACACAACCTTGGGCATATTTAAACATTCTAAGCCTCAGTTCCCCCTTTGTAAAATGGGGATAATATACCAAGGTCATAGGGTTGTAGTGAGGGGCAAATGAGCTAATGCATAGAAAGTGCTCTGCAAAGTGCCTCGCATAAACTAAGCAATTATTATTTCACCGTAAATCACAACGCTTCCCAGTGTTTTAAGAAAATTAGTACAGCAGTATAGCACATGCCATAGTTTATCAGTGCTCAGTGAGAAGCAATTGTGTTTCTTTGAAAATAGACTGTGAGAATGTCAAATCTACGGCCTCATCAGTTACGCAGACTACTACGCGCGCACACACAGCTCTACCACACAGGCAGGTTGTGTGCATCACTACGTTAACAATAACCACAGTGTGTAACCAAAAACACACCGCTCAGGCCTCGCTGAGGGTGGCTTAGTTTTAAACTTGAAGTCACCAGGGATATCACTAAATGGGCTACCAGAATCCACTCTAGTTTCTCCCAACTCTGTCTTTCAAGACCATAAAGAAATTCCTCGGAAAGACTGGAAGGATTTGACAGGATAGTTCAAAATGCATTACAAGTTCACACACGTTGGATCCAGAGTAGTCATCAATGAGATTTACGGCCTCTTGAGAGGTATATTGACCACAACAATTGATTTTCTGTCAAGACTACTGCTCTTAACACTAAAATCAACGGCAATCAATATCCACTTAATATTTACTGTCCAATGCCCGGCTACCCCAAGAAAGAATTACCAACACTGCTTTCTAACCAGCAGTCATGGACTTTGAAAACAGCTCACAAAAGCTCACATTTTAGGTGGCCCCAAAGTACCACCTCGGTGTGATGTGCCCTGTTCCTCAGTGGGGCCACAGACTCAATACTCTGAGAGTTAGTTACTTCACAGAAAATGCTTCAACCTCCTAATAACGATATATACTGCATGGCTCATGTGCTATCACTGAACAGAGAATGAAAGATCTTTTTTAGAAACAAAGGCAGTAAAAGCAAAGACCAATATCTCTCCCACAGAGTGACAGTAAGGGCAGAAGAAAAGTCCACTTCAGGCTCGAGCCAGGTAGTGACCAGACGTGGCAGAAATCAGCTGATGACTCAGGGAGAATGAGTCCTTTACTGTCCCTGGGCTTCAGGTTCTGCATCTGTCTACGAATGGGGTGAACAAGAGCATACCACCACCCTATTCCAGAATCCTACTCTAGTCTCAACGCTCCTTTTTGAGTTTCACTTCACTTTATTCATTTAAAAATAAAGTTTTGCAAGAAGAAGTGCCCTGAAGTACTAGTTAGCTGAGAAGGAGGGATTACCAAAGAGCTTCTAATTGCCCAAATCCATCTGGCAAACATCAACACCACCAGCCCAGTGGAATTTCAAGAAACCAAAATGGATTTAAAGACCAAAATAAAAACTTAGCTTTCATCTCATTTAGTTCCATTCCAAAATCAAGGATCTGAAAATTACCAGCAGCTCAGATGTTCCCAATACATCTAACGTCAGGGACTGCATCCTGGAGTAGTGAACCCCCAGCTCTCGGTGGATTCCAGAACACTCGATGCAGGTCAGAATGCCCAGATTGGTGGAAAGCCATGTAGGATCTGTCAAAGAGAACAGGGAAAGTTGGAGCTTGCAGCCAATAGGCCAGGGTCAGAACTTTATTCCTGCATAATTTCTAACCAGGGAGTTTGGAGCATGAGCATTTTTTTGATACCTAGTGCAGCCAGAACCTTCATTCATCCATGATTACCACTAGTTTACACACAATACACATATACGCACATGTCTGTTCTCTCTCCTCTTCCTATCCCTCCACCTCCCCAGCCTTCCATTCATTTATTAAGTGACAGGTGCCATGTGCACAAGAATAAATAGGACACAGTGCCCTCTAGTGGCCATGGGTCCCTGGAGGGCCATCCTGAATACAGACACACCCATCACCAACCTGGTCTTACTAGTAAAGGGGAGGGAGAGGAAAACTGAGGCCCACCAAAGTCTGGTTCTATAGGGGAACAGACTTAAAACATACATGTCCACAGGTTCACAAAGATGCTAATAATGACAACAGAGAACACATACTGTGTGCTGATGCCATGCTGTGTTCAGTACTTCGGGAGCAGCAATGACAGCTCACATTGTGAGAGCTTCAGAAATTACAGACCCTTTCATATAACACCTCATTTACTGCATACGAGAGGCCCAGGAGGTGAACAGGGCAGGTGTCTTCACAATGCTCGGAAAGGAGAAGGGCCCTGCTCGAGGCTGCAGGTGGATGAGAGCCAGACCACAGTCTTGCCTTCATCTGGGCTCAAACCCATGCTTGCACCAGCCACCGAGTTTCTCTTCAAATCATGTTTACTCATTCACTGAAGCATCCTACTATGCCTTGGCACATATCTTTCTATGTGCTTGGCACATAGCAGGTACTCAAGAAATGCCTGACAGATGAATGCTGAATTTACTGAAAATGGGGCATTCAAAATAAAATGGCCATTATCACGGCCCATAAGTACAATTCTCTTTAGAATTGCTTGTTTGCCCTTAGAAACTCACATCAGGTAAATATCACAACCTTGGTCACTAGACAATTGTGAAGTTATTCTTAAAAAGTTCACGTTAAACATATAGACAGAGAACTGATCGGTGGTTACCAGGGGAAAGGGGAGGTGGGGGGAGGGCACAAAGGGTGAAGTGGTGTACTTACAACATGACTAACAATAATGTACAACTGAAATTTCACAAGGTTGTTAAATATCATAATCTTAATAAAAAAAAAGTTCACATTAAAAAATTTTATCCATGCTAAGAAACACTTCCCGGCATTTGTGTGTTCACGCCACTAGATCTGTTCTATGGTATTGACGGCACCATGCTTTTGGTAGGGACAGGTGTACATTTTAGACTACTTTACATCAAGTTTTTACAACACCCATATTGTCTTAGCATTTAAAAAAACGTACATAGCTTTGATTTCTTTATAAAAATGTTTTAAAAGTCTAAGTACTATACTACCCTTATCTTTTCTTAAGAAAAAGTACAATTCACTACTTATCAATCCCTAAAAGGTAAGATCCAAAAAGATCTTAAAAGATGCTGCCAAAATGGGTCAAGACGCCCATGAGATAATTCCTCCAGTTACCCCCAAACACAGCCCTCAGGGTAACAGGAACCTCGTGGAACTTCTCAACTATCCACTCTATTTTTGCTGTGTTTGTTTTCAATAAAAATTGTCAGAGAATTAGAGGAATGAAAAGGTAACTGACAATTCTAGCCAAGCCACGATCTCTCTCACGTTACGAATACTCAGAAAACACTCTTCTGTAGCTCCCTTGCCCCAACACCTTTCCATCTTAATTAGAAGACTGTCAGCTCCTCACACTCTGAAATCACTAGTTGTTAAAATCTGCCGCGATACGCTCTGTCCATTAGAGATGAAGTCCCTCACAAGCTTTATCAAAACGTGGAAATAAACATCTCATTTTATAGAATGTGACAGCTAGCAGGCCTGGAAATAATCCTGACCTGTTTGTTCATTTTCCATAGAGGAAAACTGGTACCTGACAAAGTGAGCGGCTCTTCCAGGGTCACAGACTAGACAGCGGCTTCAAGTTACTACAGAAGTTCCACCAAGCAGTACAAAGGGAGGATGGAGTAAATCCCAGGAAAAGCCGCCCAGACGCAGCCTCTGGAGCCAATACAAAGACCAGATGACCCTGATTTCACCTCAGCCTGTGCTTCAGTTTTCACTTCTCAGCAAGCATTTAAATCTTTTCAGCTCTATCAGGCCATCTTCCTGAGGTCCTGTTCCGAGGGCCAGAGGAGCCATCTTCCCACCCTTCCCCCCACACAGTCTGAACACAGCTCAGCAAGCATTTGTGTGACGGCATGGGATGAGCTCAGGCTGAGCGGCACTGAACTCTGTGGTGGAAGTGAAAGGGAAAATCAATGACTGGATTCTGTGACTCAGAAAGGGATTTAAACGTCAGAGAGTTCGGGGGGGTGCGGGGGGGTTGGGTCACCTGGCGCCCCGCAGTCGCAACACACGTCATTGCCCGTCATCCTCTGGACTTCAGAGATGATCTCCTTGGTCAGTTCTTGGACTATGTTATTTTCTCCAGTATTGTCGTCTCCCTTAAATGCATTGTTTAAAGCTTCTTCTTTGCTGTTTTGCAGCACAGACATCCATCTAGAAGAGTCATAGTGACACTGTGTTAAATCCTAAGGACAAGTGCTAAGTCCCAGCCTGAATCCCACCCGCAAAGAACTTACATGTGACATTCCTGTTCGTCTTCAGCTTGGAAGTGGTACGTCCTGTCATCTGCGCAGCAAGAGGAGTTTCATCAATTGTGAGCCCAGACAGTAATCCATGCACAATTCCAAAAGAAAGTGGTTTACAACTAATGTCAGGAATAACCTTGACTCTCTGCTAGGAAATCAATGATTTGTATAAAATTGAGCACTCGCTCCCCTCCTTCACAGACCGGCCTCCGCTTGCTCCAAGACTGTGGCTTTGTAATGCAAATTAGCGAGACTGCCCCTTCTTCCATTCAAGTCTAAAAAGGCACAGCTTCCAAAAACTGAAGCTATTCAATGAAAACCATCACTACCTTTTCAGAAGCTTCATTTTGGTAACTTGCTACAGAGTTGGCCCCCAAAAAGTAATTGTTAAAGACCTCTGAATAGTAAAAGCTTTTTTGAAGCGAGTTATCTTAGCAGTTTTCTGGCCTTCTTAGAAAAAGATCATTAGGAGAAACTCTAGCAACATAATGCTATGGGAGTGCTTGTATTACAAATATAGCGAAATCAAGAGGAACTGCTAACGATGGAACACAAACTCTTATGCTCACACAAAGCTGGCGTCAGCAATGTTTACAAGGGTTTTGCCAGACCGCTGACCCCCTGTATGCACAGGAGAGAGGAGGGGGCACGTGATGTGTCAGTCTTGCCAAAAATACCTAACCTCAGTCCAATTGGGGGAAAGCATCAGAGAGACCCAAATTGAGGGACGCTTGACCAAAAAATGGATCAACAGTCTTCCAAAAAGTTATCATGGGGGTCAGCCGCAGTAGCCTAGCAGTTAAGTTCAGCATGCTCTGCTTCAGTGGCCCAGGTTCGGTTCCCAGGTGGGGGCCTACACCACTCGTCTATCAGTAGCCATGCTGTTGCAGCAGCTCACATACAACAAGAGGAAGATTGGGAACAGATGTTAGCTCAGGGCAAATCTGCCTCAGCAAAAAATTTTTTTAAAAGAATCAAGGTCATAAAAGACACAGAGAGACTACAGAACTGCCATAGACCATAGGAGACTCAGATAAAATAACAACTAACTGCGAGGTGGGATCCTGGAGAGAATCCTCGAACAGGAAACAGACATTAGTGGAAAACTGGTAAAATCTGAGTAAGATTCCTCACTAACAGCATCATCCCAATGTCAATTCCCTGGTACTGATAGTCGTACATCAATGACAGATACAAAAGGTAATATGTACTATCGGAAAACTGTACTAAGATGTTGACATTAGGGGGAGCTGGATGAGGGATATACAGAAGTTCTCAATTCCACAATCAGCCCAAAACAAAACAAAAAATTAAATATAAAAACAACAAAGAAAAAAAAGTGAGGTGATCCAACTTCTCCAGATGGCAGAGCAGTGACAGGCAGGGACTGCTCTTGGGGACACATAATAAACATCTGTGCCCCTCAAGATGAGCTAATACGTCATCTTCCAATAGTAGTTTTTATACTCCTGGAAGCACTTTGGTTCTTAGAACAATTCTTAGTAAGTTGGCTGGGAGGAGATGGAGGCCCAGAGAGGTCAAGTGGCAAAAAACAAGCGTACCCAGCAGTGGACGAGTCAGGTTTTCTGATTCCTGGTCTGAAACGCTTCCTGCCACACCATCTCACCTTTACTCTCCGACACCCAGCGGAATGGAAATACACCCTCTCTCATCCCCACCCTGTTACTGAGGAGAGGAACAGAGTTTAAGAGACCTGTTTCAAGATCAGAAAAATGAATTTGATTTTGTGAACTAAGTATTAGTGACTGCACCAGGCTGAACTGTTGGGAGGAGTTTCCACCACGTGCTGGAAAGAGAGGAGCGAGGCCTCTCTCCCTGCTCCCACCTTCTCCCTGATGAACACAGCCTCATCTGGAGCAGGTAGCGGATGGCAGGTCCACATCCCACACTAAGGGGATCTCGGAGTTCTCAGGAAGCTGTGCCGATGGCAGGTAGTACCTGAGACGTGTCTACCACTGAGCCACTTCATGGCCAGACCAGGAACAGCTCAGGAGGAAAATCAAAGAGGCAAGGGGGAGCAACCCACTTCCTTCGGCTCAAGGAATTCTTGCTTCTCCACCTGAGGCTCTGGCCCCAATTGGCCACGAACCTGTCGTGTGGACCCGGGAAGTTACCAACTTCCTGTGGGTCCATCCTACTCAAAGGACTGACCTAGATCATCTCTGAATTTCCTGCATCTTCCAACACACCTACGGTTACTGAGTGACTCAAGGATAATGGCTTAGGACTTGAATTTGCAAAGGGTGGGGTCAACCCGAGAAGGGCTGGCCTTGCCATGAAAATGTCCTCCTTGAGAGCATGGCCTGTTTATAGCTTGATCAGAGTGAGGAATCCCTGCCTAGTGGAGAGAATGGCAAAGGGGGATCTTGCAGGAAAATAAGTGAAGCCAGTGGTCTGTCTGTTATTCTTCTGGGCTCTCTAAGCAATTCCAAGATGGCTTTACAAGGTAAGGGTCAGGAGGGCGCAGCGGTTCCTGGTGCCTGGTAGACCCACACCTGAAATATCATCCTCGCTGCCTATCGTGCAGCCTTTTATTTCTCCAAACACCCAAACGTTTTAAGAGCGCAAAGGCATCTTGGTGATAGTGTCCCACTAGCCCGGTCAGTAGGAAGAGGAGGAGTCAGAGAGGGTAACAACCACATTCCCTGGTCAGGCAGAATCAGACTCGAACCCAAGCCTGACCTTCTCAGGACGCTCATCGAATCAAGGCTTCAGCACCTTGCAGTGCCTCCCTTGACGACTCCTGGGGGAAGTTTCAAGTTTCTCTGTAAGAACTCAAACCCACATAGCACTGCGACAAAGCATTTTCACTGTAAATACCTGGGGGAGGAACACCCTTGGAAAACTAGCTGAGGAAGAAAAATTCATAGGACTGGGATTCATTCTACCCCCTGGAAGACAGTGGGAAGAAGAAGAGATGAGAGCTTTTTTCAAAGATGACAACGGACTCTGGCAAATTTACGACAGCGCCTCAAACCAGACTCAGTAAACCTTCTGGGTATCAGAGGCTGGAAGCCCTTGCCTGAAGATATTTATTTCGCATTAGGTACTAGAGCAAAGATACTGATGGAATCTAGGCAAATGACAGCCTGCTGGAGCGTTCACACAAAACCAGACTCACACAGACCACCTTCCCAGACGTCTGAGGAACACAACAATTCATGCTTGGTAGGTAGGTAGGCACACTTACCATCTACCAACCCTCCTCAGTGCCTGAGCTGTTGCTAAAAATGTGTAGGTTTGGCAACGCTGTGGAGTTGTTCACAAGTCTGAAATAAACGGTTCTACATAGGTCTACTTGGGGCTCCCACAAGGGGTGACGGAGGTGACGGGTGAGCTGAGGGAAGAGCTCGCACCCACCTCCACCTGTGCAGAACTCAGGAGAGCTTAGCGAACTAGTAAGTGTCAATCACTTATTGAAGGGTGACATACTGCTTATTATGGGTTATTGCCTCAGAAAATGGCAAGGCCTAAAATCCTCCAAGTGTTACCTAGCCACTGGCTGACATCAGATTATACCATCAAGGTTTTTCCCTTTAACGAAAACTTTTTATTGTTCTCTAGAGGCAGATAACCCCTGTAGTGATCACACTGTAAACTATAGTCAGTTCTCCACATTCACACCACCTTGTATGAAGGAAGGATCTGAGACCAAGCTTCGATGAGAAGGGTAAATGAATTTGGGGGCCTCACTAGACTGAGTTGGGACACAGGGTTCGAAACAGGATAAAGTCAGTTTTTATTTTACAAATCAGTCTAGAATCTGAAGAACAGAACAAACAATATCCTTCCCCCACAGCACAGTGCTCAACACTCTCCTGTAGCTCAGTACAGTGCACATCAGAAGAGGGAAATGGGGGTTCAAGAGGAACCCCCCCTCCAGCCTCCGTCTCTTCACCTCACCCAGCGAAGCCAAGACAGTAAAATTACCTCACGAGTTTGCTTTGAGCATTAAACTATCTAGTAAGTAACTTTCTAGCCCTCAAAAATACAGTCCCACAGACATCGTAACAAGCAGCCACCTCGTGCTCAGGGAGACTGAGGCAAATAAGACAGTGCCCATCTTCCTGAAATACACGGTCAAGTCTTCTATCAATCTCACTCTAGAGCCCAAACCCCTAGGGACTTCCTTTTGAAAGCCTTTTGAAAAAGGAGCTGGCCCCTTCTCTTCCCCCAAATTGTAACCCTGCCACCAAAAATTGCCAAGAACAAGAGGCCAGCAGCCTATTTTCTTTAGGATTTCTCGCTGGTCCTTTTCTTTTTTCCTAGGGGACGCTGGCTGAACGTTCACCACAATAGACGGTTCTGTGGTAATCCCTGTGTGTATGCCGGAAAAAAGAAAAGCAAACAGAAGGGGAAAGACCAATTCTGTGGTGGGGAAGACAAACCAATTTCAAAAACCAAAGTTTCAAGGGCCCTGCTGAAGACCTTACCACTTTAGTTGTGCAGCATTTCCAACATCACCCAAATTAGGGAAACTCTGACAAGAGAATCATCCTTTTTTTAGTTAAGTGAAGGGATTCAGGCTTGAGGACTGATCTAGTATAACCTCCTTGCTTACAACTAGGAAAACTGAGGCTCAGGGAGCTGAGGCGACGTATCTGGGTTTACAGACCCCACGAGGAGAGGAGGGCCGTCCTCGAAGTCAAGTCTCAACTGGAGGGACCGGCAGGCGAACAATTATGAGTGGAAAGAGAAAGCACGTATGTCACTTGAAGTAAAGTCATTTCTCTTTGAAAACCAATTCTTTAAAAGGCACTGTTTGAAATGGGATGGATGCCCTAGAAGAGAGTTTAACGCCATTTCTCTGTGGTGCAGCATCTGACAAACACACTTACGTGAAATAAGGTCAAAGCACTTTTTCTCCTCAGGGTTGGTCTTCACTTGGCAGGTTAATAGGTTGAGCTTTGCAGGAGGCCGGTTAGCCTGTTTAAAAAAAAAAAGAAAGAAAGAAACAGAGCTGGGTGGGAAGGAATAGAAAACCATAATGCGTCATTCCCCATTAAAACAGGGCAAGATCAGGGGTGTCACTGGTTTGCAAAGATAGCTTTCAGAAGGCAGATTTATGTAGGAAGGCATGACAGAGGCACATCACAGCAGGTCCCTCAATTTCAGCTCCCCAGAGGGCAGCTGTCCCTCCTGGCAAGGGATGCTGAGTGGCCCACACGCCCATCCAGACACGGGGACAAGCGATGCTCGTTTGATACTGATGGCGGTGGCCTCCTTGGGATCAAAATGCTCCATGGCTAAAGCTCTGAGACATTCTGTCCTTATTTCTACTGACGACAGAGGCAGTTGGCGGGGTGACTTGGGAACCCAGCTCAATTTCTGGTGATCTTAAGTGTTTTGCTGTGTGTAAACACTCACTTCCAGGGAAAGTAATCTCACAGCACAAAAATGCCAGAGAAATAAATTTCTGTTACTTTCTGAAGTGGTGACAGATAATAGACTCACAATCCTAAATACCAACCATCTGTCACTCCAGTTTCAACAAAACCCACGTCATTCACATCCGTATCTCCCCCAACATCCCACCTGCCAAAGTGGTAACAAGAGATCACAAAAGATTTTTGTCAGAGATGTGTCAAAAATGGCTATCTTATTACCATTTCAAAAACTACCATATTTGGTCCAAAAATGCAAAAGGCAAAGGATAAGAAGATAATTTTAGAAAAAAACTTCTGAATGGTAAAATGCCTCTCAGAAATCTTGGAGAAATCTCCAAATATGAATGGGCTTATCTTACCTCTTACCAAGCTACTAAAGAAAAGATCAAACAAAACGTCTTTGACTTCAGTTGTTCTTGTCTGCCCCTTCCGGTGGCCAGTAGATGTGTCACGAAATTGTAACAGCTTGGATTTGGGACCGAGGTACACATACACAAGCAGCTACACCTGGGCAGACCTGTGAGACCCACATGCATTTACAGACCTCTCTGCACTAAACTCCCAGAGTCAGGGTGAGGGAGGGTGGTCTCCATTAAAACAGGACTGATCCTTGCACTGGGAACAACCTGGGTTGGACAGAAGGAAGTGTAGATACGCAGAAGTTGGATGAACGCGCAGTTGTAGCAGCCCCTCCCGGTGTGTCGCCATGTCGACCTCATCTCTTTGATGGAAGTCACTGGATATTCTCTACAACCTGCAGATGTCTAACAGAGTCCCTAGATCGTCGGAAATCGGTACTAGAAGACTGCAAGCTCTGCCTCATCTTGCAAACCTTGACAATTCCAGGTAAAACACAATCAATCCAATTTTGGATCTTTACCAATGCAAGTACCTGGCTCGTCCGGGAACCAAAAGACCAAATATTACATTTCTGCAGTGCCAAGTAGGTGCCCACACTACAGATGCAGCCAAATGCTTTGCCACAGGTGTGGAGCCCAGAGAAAGTCTGCGTCTCCCGTGACCACACAACTGCATATGCGCATTTAAATGACGTTCTTGGCCTACTTCCAAAGTGCTGGGGTCCGCTAAGTCTTACACACAGGAGCAGTAGAAGGGGTTGGTGCACTTTGGTAAGTACAGAAACACTTCCGTGGACAAGAAGATGATTTTGCATAATAATAATAATACCTATATTTATTCAGCTATTATTTATTATTATTATATTATGTGCTTGTATGAGGCAAGCACTGTTCTAAGCATTTTTAATGAATTAACTCATCTAATTGTCCTAACTGCCCTTTGAGGTAGGAACTCCAATTTTATAGATAACAACACTGGCCCAGACAGACTAAATAATTTGATTGAGCTGATACAGGTTGGGAGCAGTGAAGCCAACACTGGAACAAGCCAGCCTGGCCCCAGAGCCCAAGCTCTTAACTGCCACTCCCTCTTGCCCTCGGCATGCTTTCCATGGAAAGCAGAGTGACGACCTGGATGGGCTGTAAGGATCTTTCAGTGCAGCAAAGACCCATCCTGTGAATTAACACCCCCCCCCCACTACTCCTCCCTCCTCCCTCTGACTTGTATTCCCTTTTTCCCTTGTGCTATGGGGAAAGTTGCTCGTTTCTGCTGAGACAACTACCCACAAAGACAGATCCCTTACTTCACAGTGTATGAACACAAAATATGGAAAAATATTGAGTGCCTATATTTGAAGTAGGAATAATCATAAAGGCACAGATGTGGCTACATATTAAAAAATGATGACCCTAAGAATGAGTCCACAAAACACACAAGCTGACCATCTTAAGCAATATCAGCTGTTCTAAGCTTTACATTAATAATTGTTTGCTATTTGTCCATTCAGATTAAGTATTAGCTGACAGCAAAGCTATGAGAAAAATTGACGGGAGAAAATTTTCAGAGAAATAGTCTATCCATTAAACTCCCTCCCTGCTGCAATTTGGGAAAAACAGTAACATCATTTAATGCAGCTACAGAAGAGTACTAGCTAATTCATCACATAGCAGTGCTCCTAAGAGCCTAATCTGAGAAGCGCCGATTTAGTAGAAAACTCAGGAAGGAGAGAGAAATAGACCTACAGACTTAGTATTGGTGCAAAGGCATGGATTCTTTGTGATACTTAATCAGGCCGTTGTATTTTTCCCAACTTGTCGGGCCTTTAAAAGGAAGTTTTTCTTCTTCTTTCCGCATGATTGATGATCATTTAAAAAAATTTTTAGATTGTGTGAGAACCAGCGGACATTTCTTCCAGCTTAACACAGTCCCTAGCCTTTGGCGGTGTGGCAATGCTATGAATTTGGCAAAGAAGATACCTAATTAGGGTTATTTTGTCCCAAGGATCACTTCTTCCCAGTGCCAGAAAACACGATTAGCCTTGGCTAACGGGGAATACCATCTTGGGCTTTCACTGAATTCATCCCGGATGTTAGCATTATCCCTCTGCTAGAGTAGAGAACACAACAATCTCATTTCCCAAAGGCTGCCAGCTTCCTGGGAAGAAATCAGTTTTGCTAACAGTGCAAATACACCCTGTGCTACTTCCATGCTGAGTGCCAGGTACTGCTCTTAGATTCCCATTTGCTCAGTCAAGACTTTGAAAAATTGCACCTTTTCCTGACAGTAAATTAGCATACTCAGGGAGATGCTGGCTAAACAGGTAAGCCACCCAAGAAGCCAAATCAAAACAAAGCCACACAAAAAAGGCATCTCTCAACTCTGGTTCTCGGTAGCGGCTAATGCACATCACCGCATGCAAACGCTCTGTGGATGCGGTAGCACAGGGCGTGTCAGGATTCTGCCTTCCAGAGCATGCAGAACAGAAAGGAAAGAAAAGGAGTGCTCTGCTCTAGAAGGAGGGCTGCTACATGAACCCACTTATTTTCCTGGCAAGACAGAGGGACGGAGCCCTCACCTGCCACTCCTCCAGGTAGGAGGGAATGGCTGCTCCGGCCGCTACTAACCTAGGCTGCGAGGCAGGATGAGGCATCAGGAGAGCAGAGATTCCCTAGAGATGGTTCCCCCAAACACAAAGGACTTATTCAATATGCAGGTGATGTGACAAGCTGAGTTGTCAGCAAGCTAGTGAAGCTAGTTATAACTGTACTTATCGGCCAAAAACTGGGGCAACCCGTTGACATTTAAAGAGAACTAAGCCTCCACGTCTTTTGGGAGGAAGCTCAAGCAATGGAAGTGATGGGAACCAAAGTTTATGCTGCCAGCAGAGGCTTACCAGGCCTGTTTTCATTTCTGTTGTGGAGGGAGGACCGCTCTGGCTTAAGCTGAGACCCTGGGTCTAGGGGAACACTTTAATAAAGCAAATATACCAAACGACTTAAGAGCTGTAAACAAGCTTGAAATGAAACTCAGTCTTATTTTATGAAATTTTCTGGACTGAGGCAGTAAACCTGAGTTAAAACAACCGAGTGGAAAACAACTTGAAAGCAAATCACAGAATCACAGGTGTTTAGAGCCGGAAGGGAACCTGGCCATCATCCAGCCTAACATTCTTAATTTTAAAGAGGAGTGGTGACTGGATGAATTTGCTTCCCTTCCTCTACAGCACTCATACGCAGACACACACGCATGCGTTTATATGGGAAAAACATGCATCAGGATCCAAACTGCACGGCCCCATGAATGACGAGGTGATCATAACGCCAGTGAAGGCCGGATTTTGGAAAAGAGAAATGACCTTTACTTGCCCAGGCAAGAGACACATTCAATTCCCTAGACCAGAGGTCCCCAGAGATCCCTATAGATGACCCTTGATATCTGATAGCTCTGCCGTCTCTCCTTTCCCAAAGCACAATCAGTGAAAGTGAAGAGAGCCCCAGTGGAACACAATCCACACTGCAGGGCCGTCCTTCAAGTAGGGTTTTACTCTATTTCCTTATTCCTAAGTACTGAGAAGGGCTGTTTCTCTGGAATCCCCTTTGAGCCAGGACTTTCCCATAGGGGCCTCAAAAGCCAGTCTGTGCTCCTGCCCAGCTCCACCTGTCACCAAGGGAACTGGTGGGAGGAGGGAAAGTAAAGACGAAGATCCAGGCTATCTCCACTACCATCCACTCAGAGGACTGAGGCTGCTAATACACACCCAGCACCCGGCCTCCTGCTTGGGCAACAGAAATGCAAGCCACCACCAGTGTCTCAATAGCAACAAAACAGCAACCAACTCAGCCTTTAGACTTTTTCAAAAATCTCTACCAGCCTCCGTGGCTTTCACCAGATCTCGTCACACCAGGAAAGCTGATAACACGCCTCTTGCCACCGTGGAAAAGAGGGTTGCGGTATGAAGGGCTATGTTTGTAACTGTGGTTCAAATCCCTGGTCTCCAAAAGCCAGATGAGTAAATCATTTAATTCTGATTGGTTTTTAATAGGCTCAACTTACAGGGCTCAGTTTTCCTGCATGGGAATTAAACATGGGATGATACAAAAAGGACTTAAGGTTGGCGCAGTGTGTTAGATTTCTACAATAAAATTACTGAAATCTCTCTTCTCTTAGAGTTCTGATTCCCAGAGTCTTGACCACTTAAACGTTTTTACTTTAATGGAGAAGCAGAAATCTCTCCAACTGCAATGTTCAATTTCTAAAGACAAACGTAGCTGGGGAGAAGTTTGCTGGGTTTTTTCGTTTCTGGAAATCACAGGCTTTTAAATAAAGACCATCTGGCTCATCAGGTATTCCTGACTGCTCTTGTGAAGCACCACGGCTCTCTCTGGCTGGAGACAGCCTGAGAGGGTGCAGGCGTGCAGACGGAAAGGAAACCGAACAAGCTTCTCTCAGCAGAGGAATTCTCTAAAATGCACCCTTAATGCTGTGACACATGCAGAACCACCTGTGTCCTCTTACTTCGCTATGTTCTTCACTCTCATGTCACCGTAGCAGAGACCACAAATTAAGAGAGAATACTTACCGTGCCATGGGAGATGGTCAGAAAGCCATTTTTAACAGAACATTTCCTTTTCTGCCACACTTTTCGGATCCTTACAGATAAATGGGAGAAAAATAAGAGTTCAGAAATTTTGGACACAAGAAATAATGAACACACGTGCAAATTCCAGCAACACCGTTCCACGTACCCATCGCTCTTCTTGTAGAGGTTGCCATTCCGCTCGGTTCCGTGTTCTTTGTTTCCCTGAGGCTGATGTAAGCTATAGGCTGTACTCTGGCGAATTTGTAAATCCTAAAAACAGTCAAAAAGTTGTTTTTAATCCTGTCCAGATTTCAATTTTTAAAAAAACAGTACATAAAGAAAACTTAGCCCCTTAACTTTATCTTTAAATTAGAAAAATTTCCCCTTCTCATTACACCAAAAAAGGGACAAAAAATTTCATATCCAGGAACTCATAAATGCCACCTACTAGGCTGGAGAAGAAAATGTCAAAAATCAGTATTTCCAAACTGGCCGAAAGAATGAGCCACCTGGAAGTTACAGGTTTTCCTTAATTATAAGCCTTGAGTCCCTGATAATTGCAAGAAGCTCCTAGTGTGGCAAAAGCAGTCCTCAAAAAGGAAGGTGGCACGATGTGTTGGAAAAGACAGGGCTTTCAAGCAAAACACAAACTCACCGCTCTGCCTCTTACTTTTGGTGAGTTACTTAGGCTCCCTGCCTCAGTTTCCTCCTTGGAAAACAATACCCAGTAAGGATGGTAAATACCGGAAGGCTTGCGTAAGATCACAGGTGTGAACACGGCGCATAATAGGTATTGAACCACATTCCCTTCCTGATCTCATCAATCCCAGCAGAGGGCCCCGAGCCTAACTGCCTCAGCCTCAGGGTCGCCATCCGCTGGTCAGTGGAGAATCTGGTTGAGTCCACCACAACTGGGAAAGTCCAGCCTTCAGGTTCTTAAGGGCAAGGACCAGTGAAACCCTGGACATCCAATAGGTGCTCCACTGTGTTTAATAAGTCGCAGCAGGAGTCCTGAGCTGAGAGCGGAAGGGGCTGCCAGTGCTGGCCCTGGAAATTCTGACAGATGTAAAGGAAGCAAAACGTGAACAAAGAGTTCACAGGTCAATCAGGCAGGGCTAAGATCTGCCTCTATCTGTTACTGAGAACCCCTGACCCAGTGCCTTTCATAATAGAAGAAAGAGAAGCACAATGAAAAGTGATTTGCTCAAGATGCAGAGCTCGTTGCAGCCAGAGGAGAGAGTGAGGAGAATTCCGCCTCCCACTGACGCTCCTTCCCTGACACCATGTGCCCTTACCAGGGGATGGCCCAAGAGACGAGGGCCAGTCTCATCCCCACCTTCAAGCAGCTGACCACCATTGGGGAAACTAGGCACTGCCCAAACAATGAAAGAACTAATGCACGACAATCAATGTGATCCCAACTGCGAATAAGAGGGTTCAAGAAGTGAAGAGTTGGGGGCCAGCCCTGCGGCCAAGTGGTTAAGTTCGTGCGCTCCTCTTCTGCGGCCCAGGGTTTCACCGGTTCGGATCCTGGGCGTGGACATGGCACCACTCATTAGGCCACGCTGAGGCGGTGTCCCACATGCCACAACTAGAAGGACCCACAACTAAAAATCTACAACTATGTACTGGGGGGATTTGGAGAGAAAAGGCAGAAAAAAAAATTAAAAAGTGAGGGTCCAATGGAGAAGACCACAGGAGAGTCTGGAGGAAGTGGGCTTTAAAGATGAGGTAAGAACTGGCAGCGAATGAGGGGAGAGTATTCAAGGCACAGGGGATGCACACGGAGGCACAGAGAGAAAAAGTGGCAGCTGTGGCCACCCTCCAGGGAAATAAGGACACAGTGTAGCTAAGATAAAGTGGGCCAAGTGGGAGAAAGGACAGATAAGTTCGAGTCAGAATTGAGACTTATTTGAAAGCAACAGTGAGCCATCTGGACTGAAGCACAAAAGTTTTCAATTTTCATGAAGTCCCATTTATCTACTTTTGTTGTTTCTACTTTAAATGTCACATCTACGAGATCATTGCCTAATCCAAGGTCGTGAAGATTTATACCTATGTTTTCTTCTAAGAGTTCTATAGTTTTAAGCTTTTACATTTAGGTCTTTGATCCAATTTGAGGTGTTTTTTGTTTTTTGGGGGTTTTTGCTGAGGAAGATTTGCCCTGAGCTAACACCTGTTGCCAACTTTCCTCTTTTTGCATGTGAGCCACCACCACAGCATGGCCACTGACAAACGAGTGGCCAAACCTGGGTTGCCACAGTGCAGCATGCTGAACTTAACCACTAGGCCACTGGGCCTGGCCCTGAGATAACTTTTTTATTATGGTGTGAGGTAGGGGTCCAAATTTCTTCTTTTGCTTGTGGCTATCCAGTTGTCTCAGCATCATTCGTTGAAAAGACTATTCTTTCCTCATTGAATTTTCTTGGCATTCTTGTTGAAAATCAATTGACCATAAGTGTAAGGGTTTATCTCTGGACTCTCAATTCTGTTTCATTGATCTATGTCTATCCTTATGCCAATACCACACTGTCTTGATTATTATAGCTTTGCAGTAAGTTCTGAAATCAGGCAGTGTGAATCTTCCAACTGTGTTCTTCTTTTGCAAGATTGTTTTGGTCATTCTGTTTCCCTTGCATTTCCATATGAATTTTAGAATCAGCTTATCAATTTCTGCAAAAAGACAGCTGGGATTTTGATAGGGATTGCACTGAATCTGCAGATCAATTTGGGGAGTAGTGTCATCTTAACAATATTAAGCCTTCCAATCCACGAACATGGGCTGTCTAGCACTGACTTTTTAACTCTGAAATATATATGAGATAACAGAAAAAAAAATTTTCATCTGAGAAATCAGTAATGTGCTCAGGCTATCCATTATTGAATTGACAATAGAGCCTGAACAAGCAAACTCCAAAATAGGAGAAATGTCCTCCTTCTCCACAGGGACTTCATGCAGCACTCATGCCTCCAGACAACCAGGGCAAACAGCTCATTCATCAGAGGAGGATGGTCCCAGTTTCCACATTCTCTCAAAAGGGCTGTCTATTAGCACTGGAAATTTAGAGCAACCCCAGCTTTAAACATCACTGGGAATAAATGCAATGAAGGGGAAATGGAGAAATACTGCTCACCTATATGAATCTGTGAAAGACTAAAAAATAAACCCATCAAAGACTAAGCTGTGCAACCAAGAAATACATCTATTGATTTGGGGAGAAAAAAAATCCTGCACAAAGTAAGTGGTGAAATCATGTGACAACACTGCTAAAAGTGTTCATGCCAAGCATATTAATCAGGAGTCTTTACAGGTCTAATGAACAGGATAAAGGACATTCCTCTTTTCAGCAGAATCAGACTCTATGCCAGAAGTTAAGGAAGAAACTACTGTGTCATTCTTTAGGCCAGGCATTTCTTTAACCAATTAAAAAATGCAGGCAAATCTGAAGCTATAAAATTTCAAATTTATAAATAAGAGTAATATAATCTGTTGAATAGAAAATCGAACCTGCCTTAGGACTAATTATTTCAGCATCTTCAAGGTGACTTCTAGGTGACCCAACAAAAACAGCTTTTCTGTACCTGTTTATATGGGTGTTTTATACAACATCTGATCAAGTGAAGGGGTCACAAAGGAAGTTAGCCCTTTCATAATCAAGATTGCCGGTTCATGGAATATAATCCAAGGAAAAAGAGCCTTTCCTTCTGGGGGAAGAAGAATCTAACATACAGATTAGGCATATATAGGCAACTGACCGGGGGGGATCACATTGCCCTGATTCTCGGAGACTCTCCAATATTCTGTGCTTCCCTAGGAGAGCCAAGGACGACCCAAGACTTGGTTGAGAAAGCCTCGTCGCATGGAGGCTGTATGTCTAAAGCACATAGGGTGAGTGGGCATTTTATAGACCTTCAGAAGGCTCTCAAAAAGTTCTATCAATGTCCACATATCCTCTACCCTGTGACATCCAGACAAGTTCTCAGATCCCAGGCACTGCCCATGATCTTAAGTTTTGTGTGGCCTTATGAGTGTTAGCCATCAGGTCCATAAACTGTCCAGATGAGCATAAGACTTAATATCTGAAATCTTCAGGAATGGGGGGAAAAGGGTGATGTTGCACATATTACACAAATACAGGTTTACTCATAACATCAAAAGTATCTCCAAGCTTCCTAGGACTGTAGAACATCAAACTGTTACACTTTATCTGTCCACCTCTCAGAAAGTGTGTGTTCTGACAATTCTTGTGATGAACGGATTAGCAAGGAGTCCCCTCTGGATGCTTAAAGTTTCTCTGCCAAGGGAAGACTGTGATGTCCGACTCACTTACCATCTTCCCAAGGTACGACAGGTATGTCCACCCACATGGACACAACTAGGAGCTGGAGGCTTTGCTAAGCAAGCACTAAGCCACAGTCTAAAAGCAGTGTTTTAAATCTCATTACCACCTATTCTCCATTATTTCTGGGTACTTTTAAAAAAGATTCTAACATAAGCTATTAAAGTCACATAACATAGCTCAAAGAGAACAGACTTGCAGTGGAACAGACCAGGGTTCTAAACTCTGGCTCCGACACTACTGAGTGAGCTCCAGCAAGTGCATTTATCCTCTCTCTCTCAGATGCAACCTGTAAATGTGGCTAAATACTACCCGCCCTGCAAGGCTGTTGTCAGTATTACTGGTTGCACTTGTAGAGTGCCCGGAAAAACCTGAGAAATGAGACAGATCCTCAACATAGAGTGAGAGGACAGGCGGAAAAGTGCTGATGAAGGCCTGGAAAGGGGAAGGGGGTGAGTTGGGGGAGACCCAAAAGGCCTGAATCAGAAGCAAGGGGATCAGCCTAGACTGGGGTACAACAGCTCCTAACTCAGAGTGGGGAGGAGGGCAAAAGTGGACAGCAGTCATGAAGACAAGGGGCCAGATGACAAGCCAATGAGGTGGCGGGTGGGGCGGTCAAGTGGACAGAAGGATCTACTGGAGACAACACCTCCCACATCCATTACTGTTCAACCACCAAGAGGTGGGGAATTGGGTCTTTCTTGGTCACTACATTTCTTCAGCATAGTCTAGGAGATCAATATTTGGCAAATGAATGAACCAACTAGTACCTGTTTATCAGGACAATGTGTTAAGTGCTTTACAGAAATCTTCTCTTAGATCTCGTAACAACTCTCTGAGGTGGCAGTGTCATTCCTGTTTTATAGATGAAGAGACCAAGGCATGGAGAGGTCAAGTAACTTGTTCAATGTCATCCCAGTAGGAAGTGGAAGACCTAGGATCAAACAGTAAATCCACGCTCTCCTGATCTGCTAGAAACTAGCTACCCAGGTGAACTTCCTGTCCCAGTCAGAAGCTGGTCCACATGTCCCCACCTGCCAGGACGCTGCTAACTCTGAATCATGCTTCAAACCCTCATTCCTGACACACGCCTGCCCAACCCACACTGAGGAAACACTCATTCTTGGAGCTGACCTCCACTAGAGCTCTCATCACACTGTATCCCAATTATTTTTCTATCCTCACCCCTAACTGTGAGCCCCTTAGAGGAAAAACTGTATCTATCTTATTCTGGCGTGTGTGTGTGCAGTGCTGGGCTTAGGGTAACTGCTGAGAGAATGGCAGCTGAACGTTCGAATCGATGAACACATCTTTCCACTGAGGCAGAACTGAAGGCCAGTGCCAGGCCACCCAGGAGGCAGGGAAGTGGACACCTGGCCAGAAGGTTCTGATTAAGGCCAGATTCAGGCATGACGAGATATGCGAGCCCAGACCATAAAAGTCCGAGTCAGAAGAAAATTACAGCTGGTATGGGCCTCTGCTACCAGGACAGCACATCCTGTTCGACCACATCCTGCCAGCCAAGGACACTTTAAAGGGGGAAGAACAGCTGACAGAGAGACCACACTTGAGATCTCCAAAGTGGAAAAAAATCACTGTGGTTTCAGCACCTCGACCTACCAAGACCACAACCCAGAGCCTGAACCCTCCCCCCAGGTGCACGGTCAGGGTTCTCAACATCAAAGAGCAGAGAGCCCACATGCCAATAATGAGGCTTTGACAGAGAATTCGGCAGCTCTGCAGTGGGTTCTTCCTGGCAGAACTCCACTGAGATGGTCATTTGTGGGATGGGGAAAGCAGGAGACGGTAAGGCTGACAGGGCAAAGGCTCACGCAAAAATGAGCAGTAGTGAAGGGTTTTAACTTTGTAGAGGGGATCTTTTCCAAACAGTAAAACTATGGTGCATATACAGGTGTTCACTGAACAATTTTTAAACTTTCTTATAAGTTTGGAAATTTTCATTAAAAAATTATGGAAAAATACCTCTTTACAGAAAGCAGAAATTATCAAGAACAAAATATGAATTTCAGTGATTCAGAGGTGTGGGGACACAGGGATCATAATGGCACAGTCTCCTTTTCAAAGTGTAGCCCTAAGTGACAAGGAGTATCAGCCCAAAGTCACAATATGCAATGGCCACGTTCTTCACTTAGATCAAAGCTTGAGATGTACACGAAGGAAATAAAGAGGAAAGTGGCTCCTACTAACCATCAACACAGTTTCCCTGGGGCATGTTACCTAATATTTATGAACTGCAATTATGCAGTTAGAATCTTTTTTTTTTTTGAGGAAGATTAGCCCTCAGCTAACATCTGCTGCCAATCCTCCTCTTTTTTTTCTTTCTTTTTCTTTTTTTTTTTGCTGAGGAAGACTGGTCCTGAGCTAACATCTGTGCCCATCTTCGTCTACTTTATATGTGGGACACCTGCCACAGCATGGCTTGCCAAGTGGTGCCATGTCCGCACCCGGGATCCAAACTGGCGAACTCCCAAAGGGGAACATGCGCACTTAACCGCTGTGCCACCGGGCCGGCCCCTAGAGTTAGAATCTTTTTAACACTGAATAAAATCCATCAACACCTTCAGTTTTCGAAGTCACAGAAGAGAATCCAAAAAAAGGGAATGAGAGCCTAAACAACAACAATGCCCAAATGTTTAATTCTCGTTGATACTGGAGGGACACAAGATAGACGACCGATGATAAAAAGTATTCTAAAATATATAAAATTTAACTTGCACACATTTGCTTATTACTTGCACTTGTGTTCACAGACTGTCCAAATTAGGGAACACCATCATCAAAAAGCAATGCAGAGTGTGATACAGAGAAAATATAACACATTCACAACTAGGAGATTAACGAGTTTGCTCTCTGGGCAGAAAGCCCAAGCAGAGCAGTAAACAAGGCTCACTGACCCTTCTGTGCAGTCTGGGCAGGTGGGCTGGTCAACAAACCCACACAAACAACAAACCATAAAAGACTTCTGGTCTGTGCTGGAAAATCTGTTATGCTTTTCTGCAAAGCTATAAATAACCAGCTTTCTGACAACAGCCAGTTTTCCCAAACCTAATTTTGCACAGCCAAAGTAAACACGGCTCTTACATTGTGCCCAAAGCACTACTGAACTCCATCAACCGCTCTCCTTTATTTTAAACCTGAGTTTCACTTCAGAGGTTTGATCCTCCTTCTCAGACAGGAGCTGCTTTCGACCATTCCCACCAGTGCACTGGAGAGCTGGCTGCCTTGATGGCGTTCTGCCTCCCACATTAGCACTACTTCTTCTAGTTACAATCAGGCCACTATTTTCTCCGTACTCAAGTTCTTTTTTTTTTTTTTTTCTGTTTATATCCCACATTTGGGAATATCAAACTGTCAGAACTTACATTCTATCGATTGGGATGAAGTCACCACGCTGTGGGTAATCTCTAGCACTACGTACAACCTCAATCTGCTAATGTCTCACTTAGCTGACCCACTAAATGAACAATATGGTACTACAACCTGACGGCCGGAAAGGCACAGAAGGCGGGAGGGCATCCTCAAGCTGCTCAAGGTCTAGCTAGAGAAAAAGCATCTGTGCACTTGAAGACACAGCCAACAACCCGAAAGGAACAAGCTGTGATTGAAACAAGTCTTCCAAACAGAACGTGCGATATGAACTCAGATCACTGGGGCTCAGGTGAGCAGAGGCGGCTCTCCAGGGGTGGGGCTTAAGACAGACTAGAAGCACATGTAGAATTCAGCTATGCAGTGGAAGGGGAAGGGCGAGCTGCCTCATTTTCACAAAGGAGTGACAGCAAAAGCTTAAACCGTAAACTCGGAAAACTTCCATTTCACTAATGCTTAGGCATTCAAATTCTTTAGGCTTTAATAAAACCCACTGCTATTGAAAGAGGAAACGTGAAAATTAAAAATGCTACTAGCCATTAATATATACATGGAAGAAATATCTATTTTTTGAAGTTCGTGAAGAAAGCATGCAAATTCTCCAATTTATTAAAATACTGAACTACTTACTCTCCTAGACTTCGGTCACAAAAGGTAAATGCATTTGGGAGAAAAACAACAATATTCAGTAATAGTACAACAATTTAAAACAAAATAGAGCATGCCAAACCGCTACTAATGAACTTTATGCTCTGTTAAGTAGTTTAATAGAGTTATTTATCTAAAATCTACTATCTATACATTCAGACACATTATAGACAAAGAAACCAATTTATGTTAAATTTCACATTACAGTATCCACACTGTAGTGAATATATCATAAAATTACCTTAAAAATGTACTTTTTAATAGTTTTTTAATGAGCTCCCCAAATACTAATTATCACTACAAATGTGCTAGTATGTTCAGAAGTGATTATATGAAAGAGAACTAAGGTTTTCTGCCCACTGGAATGCAGCTGTAAGAAAATCTGTCTCCTGACATTTTACGGAACACAGTCTCAGGGCTGAAAGATTCAGATGTCACCCGTCACCTGCTGATGCCCACAGGGGCAGAGGCCATGTGTGTCAGGCAGGGGAAACCAGAGTTCCAGGTAGAAAATCAATGGCATGAATAACCAGTGTCTGTGCGACAGAGACACTAAGAGCTACTCATCCAGCAACTGACAGCGCAAAAGGTTTACACACTACCAGTTAAGGCCATGCCTACTGTACATGCTCCCCCTACGAAGTAAGCATATTTAAAAAATGGTTTTATAAAACCAAACTGAAAGAACAAATGAAATGTTTTGGTGCTGCTTGATATAGCCCCATTCCTCAGTCCCAAAGCCTCTGAGACATAGGTATAAAAACACGGTCTTTCAAAATTAAACCCCCTCACCTCTTTCTGTTCAACCTGCAATGCCGATTTCAAAATATCTCGAAGCTGTATCAGCTGCCTTCTTTCTTCATCCTGGGCCTGTTTGATCTTTAAAAACAAAACAGAGCGAAGCCTGACTGAGGTTCGGTGAGATGCTGGAGTTCACAGGGCATTTCCACATGAATGAAATGAATGCCTCTGTCACTAGTCAAAGCCTCCCCAACCAAGACAAGACAGAGGACAGGAACCAGGACTCGGTACTCCGAGCGGCACCACAGGGCTGTTAGCCTGTGGCTGCGCACCATGCAAACACAAGGTTAGACGGAAGCAACATTTAAACGGAAGTGTTCGCTGCATAAAACCTGTTTCAGCTCTAACGTGGGAGAGAAGCTACTTACTGTGTGCAGATCTGTTGAAAGTGTTTCAATGGAAGGTTTGAGGCTTTCAACCGCTTTCAGTCCATCCTGGAAAAAACTAGGGGAAAAAAGGAGAAACAAAGATTGTGTTTCATAAAAGAGGAAACAATTTTGTTAGATGGAGAAAAAACTTCTTTAAAGGAAAGTGACTGAAATCATTATTTAATTCCTGGGGGAAAAGACTGTATGAACTGAACGTTAAAATCTCAGGCAAACCAAGAAGAAAATGTCACTCAAAACTATGCGAAGTGAATAGAAAAGGAACTGCAATAAGCCTAAGAATTTGTCATTTTTCTTGACTCATATAAAATGAGCCCTAAATTTTCAGTTCATAATGGGAAACAGGACTCTACTGACAAAGTGCAGCAAAGGCTTTGGTTCAGGAGTGGAGGAGTCTGGGGCCAGGAAAGCAGGGGGTGAAAACAAGGATAAGACACTCAAAAACTTTCCTTGACAGGCAAGAGCTAAGTGGAAAAGAGAAAGAATGCAGGAAAAAAACAAGCAAGCTCGCCGCACATGAATGGCATTGCCCCATCTGCAGAGTAGGAACCGTGGTTGGGAATCTGAGATCAAATATCAAAAGGAGTTTTTTTTTAAGGCTCAGAACTCAATGCTTGTGAAGTCATTTATAACAAGTGATTCAGGAAATACAATAGAAGCTAGACAAGCTTTTCTGCAGCAACAGTAGGCTGATGTTCAGCACTACCTCTGAAGCGTGTTGTGTATAACCCTTTTGAGAGAAATGAAGAAAAGGTTTCTCAATGCGTGCAAGACCTGTAACAAAGCTTGTAATGCCTACGTGATTTGGGCCCTGCCTCTGTCTCCAAGCTTCAATCCACACCATTTGCCCTCATTATTCACTAGGTCCCAGACACATCAGCCTTCTCTCTATTCCTCTGTGGCCACCAAATCCTTCCTGCCTCAGGCCCTCTGCACATGCTGTTTCTTCCATCTAATGGCTTCTCCCTGCAGCATATCTTCTGTTTTGCCTGGCTGATTCCCACTTATTCTTCAAATTTTGAGTTAAATATGGCCTCATTACTGAGGCCTTCCATAATCCCCTACTTTAAAAGAGGTCTCCTTGTTATATTCTCTCAGAGCATTCTGTCTTTTGCTTCAAACACTTACACAAATGCCATTATGTATTCATTAGTGTGATTATGTAAAATATAATTCCCCTGGTAGACTTGAAGTTCTAGGAGGGCAAGGACATGGTATCCACAAAGCCTGGCACATTTCAAGCACACAATATTTGTTGAATGAAGAAATAAATTAATGAAGGGAAAAAGGAGAGTCTCCAACTTCTGCCAGTTTATTGTATACTGAGGAGACTACCTCCAAAGTGACCTGGGTCTCACATGTGTTCATGCGAGGTGATGCTTATTAGAGTCAGGTGCCACTTAACAACCTTTCCGTCAATGAGGGGACCGCACAGGCAACAGTGGTCCTCTAAGATTAGCGCCACAGAGCCTAGGTGTGTAGTAGGCTGTACCATCTAGGTTTGTGTAAGTGCACTCTATGTTTGTACAATGACAAAATCATCTAAGGATGCATTTCTCAGAACGTATCCCTGTTGCTAAGTGATGCATGAGTGTACTTTTAAACTCGGCAACCATCCTGTGGGACTTTCCCATATCGAGTATGTAATAAACAGGAGGGGTTGTAAAAACAATGCAGCATGACACTTAATAATTCCAAGGAGGAAGGAAGGGGAAACCTACAGACAGGATGTGGGTTACGACCATTACAGTTAGTTAGTGGGAATCATAGAGGCTGGACTACTTGAATTTTCTTACCTTAACCTTTAGATATATGCATAATTCTTTATTTTATATTTTCATTCCTGTATTCTACCTAACCCATTTTTTCCTGAATACAGAATATGCTTCTGGTATAGCAATTGTGTCAGAGGTTATAATGATATCTCACGTGTCTGCTTCCACTGTTGGGGCAGAAATGCCATGTCTTATGCATCTCTGTGACTTGCTCTCCTAGTACGTGGCCAGCACACAGCAGGTACTCCTTTTAAATGGAAAAGGAAATTTGGAAGAACAAACCCAGGAGTGAGAAACCTAGCTTTCCCCTCGTCATGAACTCATCTGGTTCTTGTTTTGTTTCAGTTCTATTTTCTCTTTTATAACTATTTTATTAATCACTTCAAATTCTTGTGAAGTATGTGGGAAAGAGACAGAGAGAACACTAGGATAGGGAGCAGGAAAAATACCACAGGAGATAACGTGGAAATGGTCCTTCTCCTGGGAAAGGAAGCAGGCGCACAGCCCCCAGGATCCTCATGGTGAGGAGAGCCGTGGAGCAGAGACAGGTGCTCAAAGAGGTGTTTCTCATCACAGAGTGGTTTCAGGGCGCTTGGAATAATGATACAAATTTGCATTTCATCTTTGTCATCACCCAGCCAATCTTGATCATCTACCTGGAAAACCTCCTCCCTCTGATTTTCAAAATCCCTGTTTTTCTGTACCCTCCTTATTGAGACATGTTTCAGCACCTAGGTATATCTTCACTGAGCACCATGACTGTAACATTCCCAAGCACAAAACCCTGGCACGTTTTCTTAGGTGGAATCCATTAACACTTTCCTAAGCTTCAGTAAAACAGTGTTTATCAACAAGTTACCAAATATCAAATATTGTTTTTTATTCAATGTTTTATAGCCTGTCAGACCAAATCTCCAGTCTTTAAAGTATACCCCCTGAGATTCAATCTTCCAGCTCCCACCAAGCAGGGTGGCTTCTCCCTCCTCCTACAGCCTACACAACCAGCACACCATACTTACAGCCGGTCACCTGTCTGCCCTCTGTGCCCTGCCCCTCCCTGTCACTAGAGCAAGCTTCTCCAGGGCACCAGACCCACGTCTCATTCAACTCTGTATCCCAAGTTCATCAAGCAACAGCTGGTCAAGTGGTTCTCAGCAGGTATTTGCCCAAAGAACAAGTCACTTCAACACTCATTATCACTGTTTAGAACACGACTGTTTTTGTTTGTTTTATTATCGTTTTAAAGACTGCCCTATTTCTAGATTCCATTAGAGGACAGAGTATCCTCACTCTTCAGCAACAAAAGCTAGTAAGACAAATTTTCGGGATATTCCAGGAAATAAATATGCAATTCTTTCTTTAAATGAAATAAAAGACAAAGAACATGAATTACTCTTCAAGAACACTTAAAGTAAAAAGCAAAAATGAGTAAAAAGCAAAATAATGTATATCTAAGCAATTCTAAGGGTAAACACCCAAATGTGGTTCCCAGAACCTACTTTACACACAGAGGCCTCTTCATACCTGCAGAGAACAGCAGACGTGAGAAAGTGTTCTTGCTAAGCAGGCTGCCATTGGGGCACAGCACAATGTGTTCCAGGGGTGAGGGGGGGAGACTGGGAATGCTAAAGGGGGACATACAGAACTCCCACACATGCATAAACACATGCATGGCCACCAGCTCCTCTGTCCAATGGCTGAGTCACTCAGGCTCCACATTTTATCTTCCAAAATATGAATTAAAAAAGTCAAAGCTGTTCAAACGATTTGAAGAGCATGGAACACACACACATATATAAACTCATCCAAAAAGGAAGTAATGGAAGATTCATCATTTTTAAAGGTTACTGAGCTCATGCCCATAAAAGGCCACATAGTTCACTTTTCCACAAGTAGTCCGTTGCTACCCAACTGATCAGTTTGGGCAAAATAAAGAAAAAAAAGGAAATCCCAGAATAGCTTCTTCTGAAAAATAAAATATCAGCAAGGAAGCGACCCACTTCCTACACTGCCTCACAGAAGGTTACAAGGATAAGAACTGAAGAAGTAGTCTGGATGTTAAACACAAAGTAAGAACTTTGAGTCTCTGTAAAACAATTCATCTTGAAAAGTCTACAAATCAGTGGTCTTTTTCCGTCCTATGAGACTGTTTTTCCAAGCTTGGGGCTCTTCTTTAACCCAGGATGAATCACACAGCACATCTTCCTTTGCTGTTTGACATCAATTGCTTTAGAAATGCAGTGTCACCAAGGCTGCCCTAGGAATCCCAAAGCAGGGCTCTATAGAATTCAACAGTGCAGTCCATGGCTGCAGACATGTGGCAGGTGAACGTGGTACGCATTACAGATTAAAAAATAAATGTCACGGCCCCTTTCCTTAAAGAGTATACAGCTCAGTGAGAGACAAGACACAATATGAAGGATGCCATCATGGAGATATGTGGAGGGTATAGTTGTAACACAGGACGAAGAGAAGTAATTCCATGAGGGGAAGACCAGAAGGACTTCAAAGCAGCAGCTGCATCTGAGCTGGGTTTTAGTGGGAACAGAAGTTGGGAGAAGGCACAGAGGGAACAAAACGACATTCTAGGAAAAGGGAACAATGTGCGCAAAGGTACATCAGCGTGGGGCATGGCCTGTTTAAGGAAAGGAGAGTAGATATATGCGGCCATTCAACCACCAAAGATTTCTCCCATCAATCTACACCCTCCACTTGCACTGTCACCAGGCCAGGCCAAGCCAAGACAGCATCATCTCCGGGCTGCCCTAGGACAGGACCTGTGTACCTAAGTGATGGCCCATGTCCACTCCTGTCCCATCTGATTCCTCTCCACAACATGCAGAGTGACCTTGTTAAGACAGAATGGAATTGGAGGAGCCTTCCGGGATGTCTCTAACCAATACAATTCTCTCTCCTCATCATGCTGTTTTGCCTTTTCACAGCCACACTCACTCCCCAAAACACTGTCACATATTTGCTCAAGTATTTACCGTTTGCCTCCTCCATTAGAACTGAGGGTCTGTGAGCATAAGAAGCGTGTTCTCCTTCTGACTGTATCACCTGAACCTCAAATAGCGCCTGCACATAGCAGGAGCACCATCAACACAGGCTGAATGAAGCCTCTGCTTAAAACTTGTCAAGAGCCCCCCGATACATTTAGGATAAATGTAAAACCTTTAACAAGACTTTCAAGGAGTCTGCATCTCTCAGGCTTTCCTGTCCGGTTTCCTTTCAGGCTGCTCTCCCCTTCACTCACTATGTGTGAGTCACACTGGCCTCTTCCTGCCTCAAGACCTTGACTTGGCCCAGAATGCTCTTCCCCTCCTCCTTATCTGCTAGCTCCTACTCATCCTTTAGATTCAGAATACATGTCTCCCCAAAGAGGCCAGCAGCTAATTCAAGGAGTACTTGAATATCTACTATGTGCCAGGTACTGTGTGCTGGCTGCTAGAAAATACAGCAAGGAACAAAACAGAAGAAAGAGCAGAACCAGAAGGACCTACAACTAGAACACACAACTATGTACTGGGGAGCTTTGGGGAGAAGAGGAAAAAAACATAACAGAAAAAAGAACAAAAGCCCCTGCCCTCAATCTTAATCTAAATGAGGTCCTTCTACTATATTTTTAGGTTCCTATACTTCAGAATACTTTTTAAAATGTCCAATTGTAAGTCTGTTTGCTTAAGTCTGACTCTCCTACTTGATGTGAGCAGGAACTACACCTGTAATGTCATTACTTCATCTCCAGCATCCAGGACGGTGCCCAACACACAGCACATCTCAGCGAAAGTGAGTGAATGAGACAGGGCCTGTTTATAGTAGTGACTGGGAGTCAGGGAGCAGGGGGAGGATGAGAAGAACGAACGACAGTGAGGCTGAGAGGTGAGGCCTGGTTGAGAAGCGCTGATGCACATGGCAAAGTGGAGTACTCGAGGCAGTCCTTGGACATGGAATTTCTCCTTCTCTTCTACATACAGCCTCCTTTTGCTCATCACTGTCATATAGGATTTTATAGGATAAGGAATATATGAAAGTATTCTCTTAATTTAATACATCGCATTAATACCATCTGATTTCTCTGTTAATAAATAAAAACATCTGAGAATCTGTAGCTTGCCTCTCTACAAAAAGAGCAAAAATGAATACATTTGATAATTACTGTAGATTTTCATATTTTTATTTTTTATTGAGATATAATTCTCAAACCATAAAATTCATGCTTTTAAAGTGGTTTTTAGTATATTCACAAAGTGGTAATAGTCATCAGCACTGTCTAATTCCAGAACATTTTCATTACCCCAAAAAGAAACCCTGCACCTATTAGCAGTAATTCCCACTTCCTCCTTCCCCTAAGCCCTGGCAGTCACTAATCTGCTTTCTGTCTCTGTGGATTTGCCTATTTCTGACCTCTCAAATAAATGGAATCATATAGTATGTGGCCTTTTGTGTCTGGTTTCTTTCACTTAACATGTTTTCAGTGTTCATGTGTTGGAGCATATGTCGGTACTTCATTCGTTTTACTATAGATTTTTTTTTTTTTTTTTTAAGATTGGCGCCTGACCTAACATCTGTTGCCAATCTTTTTTTTTCTTCTTCTTCTCCCCAAAGTCCCCCAGTACATAGTTGTATATTCTAGTTGTAGGTCCCTCTGGTTGTGCCACGCAGGACACCACCTCAGCATGGCCTGATGAGCGGTGCCATGTCCGCGCCCAGGATACGAACCAGCGAAACCCTGGGCCGCCGAAGCAGAGTGCATGAACTTAACCACTCAGCCACGGGGCTGGCCCCTAGATTTTTAAATGAGTGTTTATTTTCCTCAATACAATACTACAGATCTACCAGAAGTCATAAAGAAACATCTGAAATAACATCACAACAAAGAAAAGGAACTTACTTGCATTGGGCATGAAAATATTTGATCAGATTCTGAAGTAAATCCACTCCCTTTTTAATCTTAATTTCATTGACCTTCAGCAGATACTGTTAAAAAACAGAAAAAGGAAATGACATGGATATAAGCAGAATATGAGTTTACTGTGAGCTTCTTAGGACAGATCATCTCTTCTACTTGTCTGGTATCTTTTACTATGGGTACAGCCTATGTACCCATATTTTCCGAATGCCATAACTAAAAGTTTCTTTTAGTTCGGTGCCATATGAATTGGTCATATTGAATTGGTGCCATATGATGGTCAGGTAATTAATGTTTAAGTGCCAAGAACTCATAATAAGGCATTCTGTCTTAACCTGCTAGGAGAAATGTTCCTTTTAGCTGCACAGAAGAATGATATGGTTAGAATGAATGGGATTCTAACCATCTTGAACATGCCTGTCTGCAGACTCTGTCCCAGGTCCCTTTCTTTAGACAGGTCATTGTCTAGAACACTAAGCTTTTGTAGTGTCTATAATCCTAAAAGACTTCTTTGACACTTAAAAAAAAGTGACTGTTATAAAAACCAAATTTTAAATTGAAATGAATTAAAGCCATTTTTAACTTGGGGAATTCATTAACCACCACAAAGACATCAGGAAGCCCCAGGATCTATAAAACCAGCACCAGGAAATACATTTGTTCTTTGCTAAAGGTTTATAGAACAAAGACTCCATAAATTCCCTATCCCCTCCACCGTCAGGATACGGTATAAAGAACCTGAGAACATGTCATCTCTGAGCCTGGATGCCTCTGACAGAACCACTGACCACACAGGCTTTTGAGCTGTAACCTGGGAAATTCACATTCAAGTGTTCTCTCAGGTCTGCCATGCAGCTCTAAGTAGGAGACGGGAAGCTGTTCTGAAAAGACAAACTACAAAATTTTCTTTTACCTACATAAATTGCCTTTAATGTCTTCTTCTCCCTCCTTCTTTTTGATATTTATTCACTGTAAATTGAATAAGATGTCTGGTAATGTATCAAAATGGTTAAATGGTTAATTAGATAGTTGGCAATGTGTCAAACTTTAAAATGTGTGTACCTTTGACCTAGAAATTCTACTTACAGGAACTTGAGATTCTAAGAAGATAATCATGAAAGCTTACAAAGATAAAATAGAAAAGAAGATTCCCTGCAGACTTGTTTGTAAAAGTGAAAAATGGCAATAACCCAAATGTAATGAATGGGGAATTAAATATGGCGCATCCATACAAAAAAAAAAAAGCTATGCAGCCATTAAGCCAATAAAACAGAAGACTTCCTGATATGGAAAGATCTCCACGACATACTACTGAGTGAAAATAATCAGGTTACAAAGCACCAGTAGAGAACAATCCTATTTATATAATTATTTTTATAAATGTATACATAGGGATATATGAAAGATGTTTAGTTAGATGTGAAAGTGGTTATCTTTTGGTAAGTAAAATTTGGCGTTATTTTAAATTTTTTAATATATTAAATATTGACCATATATATATATATATATATATATACACCAATTTTTTAAAGTACATATTTTTATAACCATAAATAAGCAAGACAGGCTCTCTCATACCTTCTCTATCCACAGAAGCTCTGTATTACCTACTTGGCATACTGAACTTCTTTATAAAATTCATTTTGAAGAAAAAGTTCCACAGCTTTAAAATAAACACCTGAAAACCATTCTTCTAGATTCTTCTTCCTGAGCAACTAAAATTTAAAACAGCTAAACAATGTCAAGCATTAAAAAGCTTGAGAGCTTCAGTTTGCAGAAACAGTGAACAATTTAAAATCATTTGAACTGCGGCAATCGATCCACTTTGAGATGCTGGTCCTAGGGGAACTGCTTTCCCAATGCCCTTTCCTACCCGTGGGAAGCCCTTTCCAGCCTGTGTCTGGCCAGTGTCTACTCCTCTTCAGATGTGCCCCCTATGTCAACTCCAACTTCACTGCCAGTCAAGCCCACCTCTGCTTTTGTACGCAGAGCCCCACTCCACTGACTGCCAGCTCTGCAGAGGCAGGAACCCCGCTATGCTTGGCACAGATTGGGGCCTGACAACTCTCTGGGACCCACTCAACAGATGGCTCACGTGAATGACTTAGAGGCATCAACCAGACAGTGTATTTCCAATAAAATAAACTGCTTGACCAGCCCACACGATCCACTCACCTAGACCCAGAAGAGGAAAAGTACCTAGTGCTGGGTGCAGACCAGAAAGCAATGACAGAGCTGAGTGTGGAACTGGCACCCCTCACTTCACGGACATGCTAATAACATGCTGACTGAGTTTCATAACACACTAACCACTTTTTAACAAGCAGTCTCCCAGAGTTTAGGTAAACAGATTTCCTCCTTACTGGCCAGAGAGCACAACCTGAACACAAACACACACCCTTTCCAAATCCATTCTTTGTAAAAACAAGAAAAACTACTACTTAATTTCACCCAGATTAAATAAAAACAAAACCTTGCATTTGTACAGCACACAGCAATTTCCTAGTCCCTGACTCCTTCTGCCTGGGCTGATTTCTACAAGACTATGTGGAACAGGCCAGGCAGGCATTATATAGGATGTCTGCTTATAAAACATCCACTATAAAACAAGTATAGAAAAACATCCACTCTCCTATCTACAATAACACTTTAGCTAAAAATTAAAAATATATATTAAAAAAAACTTTCTAAATTTTCACTTAATGAAAACCAAAGCAGTAAAGGAACAACAGAGGAACAAAAAAATGAGACATAAAAGACAAGAAAACCAGCAGACGTAAATCTAACCACATCGATATTAACACCAAATGTGAATGGATTAAACAATCCTACCAAAAGGCAGAGACTGGATTAAAAAACATGATCCAAATATAGACTATCTATAGCAAACACATTTTAGATTCAAAGATAGACACAGGTTGAAAGTAAAATGATGGAAAAAGAAGTTCCATGCAAACAGAAACCAAAAGAGAGCTGGAGTAGCTATACTAGTATCAGACAAATGTCATAACCCTGATCCCTGAGACTCGTTCTCCTCCACTGACCACTTAAGACGTTGTTCTGGGAATAACAACGTATTTAAATATACTCCTAAGATACACATTTATAAAGGCTAAGCTCCTCCTGCAATTAAGAAACAAACATTCCAAAATCAAAAAGTGCCTTTTGGATTAGCTTTGCTGTTGACTGCTCACAGGGAATCAAGATCTGGCTGAACTCAGTTTCAATACCTGTCATAAATATCACCCATGCTTTTTACACATTTAAAACACAAGTCTGCACTGCTGTAAGACGAAACACAAATGCCGTCAAGCTCAAGTGGCTTCACTGCCACAGCCAGGAGGAATGAAGCCTCAGGCAGAGGTGGGAAATGTTTCCACATGCCGTTTTTACAAACAGACCCACAAGCAAGGCATAAAAAGGCTGGAAGCAAAAGCCTTCATGCTTGGTCTCTGATTTCTCCATCCCTAAGCCTTCCAGCAGAGAAATGTTCTCAGTGTCAGCCTGCGATTTTCCCCTCCCCAAAGCAAGGGCTCAGGCTGCAGGAGAGAGCGGAGCAGAGGAGCTCCCCAAGGTACAGGGCCTCTTGCCTTGCTGAGCGTCTGCACAGTGAGCTGGTAGAATCTGGGTGGAAGCACTTTCAAAGGCAGGCGGCTTGGCTTCTGTAATATGCTCTCACACACTTACGCAGAGAGGACGACAAGCTGCATTTTTTCCCAGGTGACGTCCCACAGCCCGTCCCTGATCATGGATTCCATTGGTACAATGGGAACCAATACATTTCATTAAAAAATACCTAACGAGGGAGTTTTTTAGTTCAGTTCCAGTGGGAGGAGATGAGCCTAAGTATGTATGTGAGGCCAGAAGGGACATTCTTTAAATTTAGTTTTTCCCTACCTTTAATAAAAGGTTGGTGTTAGATTAATCTAATCCCACCATCCAAGAGACTAAGGCTCCCCTAATAATAGAAATGGAACAGAGTCCAATAATGCACATGGTGTTTTCTCTGAAGCCCCTAGGAGAAGCCAGAAGGCATGCTCCCCGGGACACGGCAGGCTCACCACAGCACGCGTGAAGGTGAAGGCTGGCTGCTGGCAGCCGTGGCGCCTGGCGCCTCCCAGCCTCTTACCTCACACATCTGTAGCTGGAATAACCGCCGCTCCTTTTCCATCTCTTCAGCAATTTCAGCCCCACTGATTTCAGTACGGATCATCCCGTGGAGCTTGGCATGTTCCTTTTTCTCCTTTTCTATTTTGGTTCTACATGTGAAAAAAGCAAGGGTAAATCGAGATGCCTCCGGCACGGCGCTCCACACTGGACAGCCTTGCAGGGATCCCATAACCCAGCCTGCAAGGCAAACGCTCGCCGAGCCTGGCAGGAACAGGACAGCCTCTCACCTTACTGGAAAGGAAAATGCATTTAGTCATCAAAATGTCAAACTTGGCCTTTCTTGTTGAGTATTTTCTCAACAAATACTTCCTAAGCACCTACGTTGTGCCTGATGTGGGTCAGAGGAGGTAGAAAGTCTGCTTGTGCCTCACTTGTGTGTCCGCGTGCAGCCCAAAGGGGACTGTGCGGCCAGTAACGGTTCTCCACCTCCCAGTTCTCCTCCTACTCCTAAGTCAGTGAAGTCACGAAAAGGACAGTGCTCATCGCCACAGAGGGAAAAAGCAAGCTTCTCAGTTCTTAAGCTTCACTCCTCTTTCCACATTTATCTCATGCTTGAGCTGCATTGCGTAAGTGTCAAGTGTGCAGCTCAGGGTATAAACTGACCAACTGGAGCACGTCCAAAGAAGAGTGACCAGGGTGAGAAGCAGCCATGAAATCACAGCAGTTAAGAAGCAGTTAAGAAGGGCTTAAAATAGTCAATGAACTTTTATTCTAGAAAAAAGGAGACTAAACAAAAACCACAGAAAGCACTCAAAAATATAAAGGCTGCCACGAAGAGAAGGGGGTAGACGTTTTCTGCAGAGCCTCAAGGCAGACACTAGAAGACACAGGCAGCATTTCTTAGAAAGCTGTTCAACAGGAAATGGGTTACTTTGGGTTCGAGTGTCCCATCATTTGGGGAGGTGGTACTTAAGAAGAGGCAAGAAATATCGTTTCTAATTCTTGTTTTTTACCTTGAGGCACAGCATTGGGCAGACAGTAGGTACTCGACAATTGAATGAGTAAGAATATAATAAACACACCACCATAATGTAGGGATATTTTTAGATGGACCCATGCACAGGGGGGCTCGAGGTTCCTGGGACTACAATTACACAGCTCCAAGGCTCCCCATGACACCATCTCAGAGGGATCAAGACACAGGCCAGACATCGGTCATACCCATAATAATCAAGTATGGAACAATTGTACAGGAATTTCAAAGATGTCTAAAGCTGTTTGTTACGTATCATATGGCCTCTTGGGATAAATCAATCTCACAGGTAAATAGATAAAGAGTTAATTCCTTTATCTATCCTAGAATTACTTCAAGTTTTAAATGGTGTTGCTCCCTCATTCTCAAATTCTGCGATTTTGTGAGTAATTCGGTCCCCATCCTACCTATGTGTGTCGTGATTTTACAGAATGTGATCTCATTCCCCTTTCAGAACCAGAAGGCTCTCGGGCAACCCTCTTCAGAAACCCCTTCACACTCTGCTTCATGCACAGAAGCATTTCCTCTAGGCACTAAGGGTGGCAGCGAGAGCAGCTGAATGAAGTCAAATGTACCTCGTAGCCCTGGCTCAATGGCCAGTAGCAAACCACTGAGTCTTGGTTTCCCATCTGTGAAGCAGGAATGGTGATCCTTCCCCTATTTATGCACTGAATTGGTATGCACATGAAGGATGCTAAAGGGCCAAGGATAGCAAGATGGGAGCCTCTTGGGTTGAGCTGATCCTCAAGGTATTCTAGTTTAACACTCTGCCTGTGCTTATACATGAACATATGCCATCAGTGAAACTCCAGAATTTGAGGATCCAAGCAACTTCCAGGATGGAAAGTGAAGACTTCCAGGATGGGACAAGTATCAAAGGTTTGGTTTGAGCTTTGTGATTCTTCACCACTGAATAGATACCCAAAGCTGGTGAAAGAACGCAAACCCAATTAAATACTTGTAGTTATGTCTGGAATGGCCTTCTTCTTTATACGTCTTACTTTACCAGATGGTTTCATATTAAAGTTTCTCTTTCTACCCAGAAAACTCTACGTTATTAACCAAATGCACAGCGATTACAAAGCAAACGAGACATTTAAAAATATTTTCTATTTTACAAGTGTTTAAAATTATTGAAATCATTATCCCCACAATCACTAGCCCAATTCTATCTAGCTCAATTCTCTCTATTCCAGGAATGAAAAACTGATCAGAAATATTACAACTGCCTGAAGTCAACCAGTAGCAGTAGTCTTGCCTTCGATGGAAGCTGTGAGGCACATCCAGGAATCAACAGACCCATTCCTCATGTGCTTTTGGCAGATGAAGCAGTCAAATTAAGTGAAGGGAAGGGTGTTCCAACAATCTCTATTTCTAAAACCAAGGGGCCAGGAGTTCCAGACAAATACAGCCACAAAGTGAAAGGCAGATGGCTTTCACAAATCACCAGGAAGATAAAGTCTGAAAATTGTGCTGCTGTCATAAATGGTGATAAAATGGAGAAAGTGATTCAGAAAAAAAGGAAGGAAATACCTCTTGAGAGAAATTGGCCTTACCTTCCTTCAACTCACTTTCCTGGAAATAATATTCTGTAACCATTATGACATAATAGAAAGGAACAAGGAAAAATGTGTTTAAAGAGGTTAACATCATTGAATTTAGACACCAACTATGAAAGCATTTGGCATGCTAACAATCACAGCAACACTGTTCTAATGAATTCTTTCCTTGATTAAGGTTTCTTTAGACAATACCTTCAAGCAATAAAAGCTCGATCTGAAACTGAAATATTACCTACGCTTATTTTCTGAAATGCAAACACTTACATTTTTGTTTCATAGTCCTTCCAAGCTTTATCAAAAGGCTTTTTCAGATCCTGTAAACAGAGAGGCATAAATTAAACAGGACTAATCATTAACTTCTGGGCAAGATAAACTTACTTATCCCTAGGCTAGTCCTGAAAGGCGCATTAATTTCTCTAATAAATGATGTATGTGATCCCATGAAAAATAAAGACCTTAGAGCACAGGGTTTTAATTAGACTAGTGGTGGTACTTCCTTTTTTCCTTTCTCTTTAAAAGTTTTTATTATAGAATATACCAATGTACACAGAGGAAAGTGAAGAGAATCATGTAATGTACTCATCACCCAGTTATAACAAGTATTAACTCATGACCCATCTTGTTTCACCTATACCCTACCCTCTGTCCCAGGATTATTCTGAAATTAAACCCAAAAACACATAACATTTACTCTGCAAGTATTTTAGTGTATCTCTCTAAAACAAAGGGACTCTGACTTTTTCTATTAATATAGGAATCTCTCCAACACATGTCACTCTGATTTGGGCCCAACAATAAGAAGACAAAAGCCATTCGTCTTCTCCTGAGGTCTCTCGATTTCACTCTTCTGTCTGGAACATAGGACCTCATACATAAAGCCTGGCTCAAAAATATACTGAACCATTAGAAATTCTATCAAACGGTTCCACCTATTTACGCTCCCTTTACAAGGTTCTTTTGGAAGACAGAATCCTTTTTGTGGAAGGGGCTCATTTTTTTATTTTTTGGCTCTTCATTGGCCTTATGCCAAGGCCCAGCCCCTCAGCCTGGCCTCGAAGGCGCTCCACAAACTGGCCCTTCCGCCTCGTAAGCCTCATCTCCCACACCTGCACCTCAGCCAACCCATGGCTTCAAGCTATACCAAAAGCTTCACGAGCAGTGCTGTGTCATACTTCTATAAATCTGCATGTTTTCCCTCTGCCTTCCATTTTTCTGACTAACTTGGCTGACATGTTCTTCAGGTTCCAAGGGGATGATGAGCAATGCTCCCCAGTGTTCTAACAGCTCCCCAGGCCCACCCCACCCACCCCAGCAGCTCTCCTGGCACCCTCTGTGAAGGAGATACTGAGAGGTTCTGCAAAGGACCTTGAGATCAGCCAGCCTGGGCTTCCAAATGTGCCCAGATGTGACCAGGAATTATGGGCAGATCCAATCAAAGAACTCAGTCTCCTAAGAACTCAGGCACAATCATCTCCCTTTCACAGCACACAGCTGTTCGTGCCAAGGACATGCAAAAGCAACTTACTGCTTAGCATCTGGTACCCAAAAACCACTCAAGCGCTGACTGTTTCTCACTCATGTACTCGTGAAACAATTCAGGGCTCCAGTGTTTATACATGGCAAAGCACTTTCTAAACAACCAACATCCTTCGGAAGACTGAAAAATAAAGTCAGCTCAAGCTTTACTGGCGCCATTTCCCATCAGGAAGCTACCTTCTTGCAAGGATCCTTTTCCCAGTGGTCAATCAGTGACACACCAGCTGGAAAACCAGACTTTTCCACACAGGTTTCACTGCCCAGCTGACAGAGCCCCAAAATACTTTACAATTTCCAAAAGCGTGGTTTCTTTCCCTTCACATCCTCCTAGACTACCAGCAGGACGACGAGAAAGGCCACAGGTCATCACTGTTAGGGCTGACAGGTGGTGCTAGGATAGCAAATCAGGGAAACTGAGGCAGCAAGCAGCATCCTGCCATCCCAGTTAGAACGCATGAATGTGGCTGCTCCCCTGACAGGACAGTGTGACTGTGATTCCACATTCCACAAAAACAGTCCCGCAACGAGCAGGACTTTTAACGTCATACCCCTTTCACTCCTTTTAGGTCCCCCTTCAGCAAACTGTCCAGAGGGAAAGAGATGATGTTGTTCATATTCTGAATCTAAAAAACAAAAACAAAAACAAATATTCAAGTTCCTTTTTAATCTAAAGTGAGGACACAGTAAGGAGGTTAGAGAACACTTGGTAATAATTAACTTGCACTTAAAAGCTGACCAGCCCAAGTCTGACAGCCTTATTCTTTCTGACATTCTTTGTAATGATTTTATCTCACAAATGAACATACAGACTAGTGAAAAGTCTACATGTGTCTATTTTTCAGAATAATAATAATCTTCTATTATTAAGTCATGAAGCTTGTGAAAAGATAATAATCACAATGAAGAAAAAATAATTCAAAACAATCAATGACAGAACCACTTTAAAGATCCTGGAATACAGATGCACACCCCTACTTCCTACTTCCTACTCGCTGGTGGCTCCATCCGACGCCCTGGGGCTGTGCTCAGTTCTCAGGCCCCCAGATCCCAACCTCCCCAGCACAGCCCCATCAGGGGAAGCCAAAAGGAAAAACAGAATGAAGAGGGCTCTGTCTCCTGTGAACATGTATGGCTAAATGTTGAGAGAGAACAAGAAAAAAACTGAGTGTGAGTGTGCATGCGTGTGTCACTGGGGAGAGGAAGATAAAAGAGGGACACAGGGTCTTGAGGTCCCTGTTCTTCTCCCTGAAGCAAGAAAAGAGATGGTGGCTTAGTAAGTTGTCACCACGGATTAAACCGAGCAGAATCAAACCTCCTGACACACACTGGGAGCACACTCAGCGCAAGCAAGCCCGTCCCTGCTGACAGTTCAAATGTGAGCAAACTGAGAAGCACGGAGCTTCGTCAGGAAGGACCTGCAGGCACAGCCCCGCCGTGTTCTGAACCCTACAAGACTCCCTCCCAGATGAGAAAACAAGCTGAAGACCTACTTTCCCACCCCCCAGGCTCAGACCGCTCCCTTAAGTCAACACAACTGCCAGTTGGCCCTGCTGGGGCCTTGTGGCACATGTGTCACTGTGGGTACATGCACTAGATTACAGGCCTATAAAAGGAGAAAGACAAGAGTGAGGACTTTGGAACCTTATGCATTCATTCCTACAATCAAGCAAAGAAAATTTTATTTTTAGTAGAATTACCTTGAAATGGAAGACCAACTATAGACAGAATTTTTAAGGCAATATTGGATCTGATTTCCATACACTATTCAGCATATGAACTTCCAAAATGGAGAAAGAGGGGCTGGCCCTGTGGCTTAGTGGTTAAGTTCAGCGAGCTCTGCTTCAGCACCCACGTTAGGTTCCTGGGCACGGACCTACACCACTCATCCGGGGCCATGCTGTGGCCATTTCCACACATCAAAAAATGGCCATTTCAATATAAAATAGAGGAAGATTGGCACAGGTGTTAGTTCAGGGCAAATCTTCCTCAGCAAAAAAACATGGAGAAAGAAATTTACTTGAAAAACACCGGGAAAGTGTGTAATAATGCCTGCACCAACCACCAATCCTGCCAAATAAATAATCAATTAGTAGCTGCCATTTCAGAAATGCCTTTTTTTGGGTAACTTTTCTCCTGGGCATACAGAACTCAACATTCGTCACACACCTGGCACTCCTCCAAGGTGTAATGCAGTCAGCCATGACTTGGAAGGATTGGCCTTAAGAGGTAAATTCTCAAATACTGAAAAGCTGAGTTTAAGGCGAGGTCTTGTGGATGACTGGGAGGAATGGTGACAAATAAAAGGCATGCTGGTGAATAATCTCTGACGGCAAGCACACCTGGGTTTCCACGTAAACCGCGGCAAGAATCAACACAAGTGAGGAGCACAGGTCGGCCACAGTCCACACGTCTTGTTCCACATTTCCACTGCCTGCTAAGAAGCATGCTGGCAACTAGCGTGCCCAAGCCAGCTCGGCCACCCCACGCCCCTCCTTGCCATTCTCACCACCCTGCTCTTCGGCTGGGCCTCACTGCCCTTTTTCTGGCCTGAGGCAATGGCTTCCCCTGCTCCTGGCCGCCATCTCCTCGTCTCTGCCCGCCCCACTCCTCCTGCGCAGTCCTGTCAGATTTATCTGGTTGTCCCTAGTCAAGCCTAAACTTACTCCTGCATTTGAGACCCTCCAGAACGCAACCTCCTTTGCCACTTTCCACCTTCACATGCGGCCAAATGAAACTCTTTGCTGTCCTCCGCTCCCCTGACTCTACGCTTGTGCTCCATTTGTTCCATCCAACGACACGTCTTCCTCCCATCCCCACTGTTCAAAGCCTTCCCACCCATCAGGATTACTTAGATGTCACCTTCTCCATTAACATCCCCAGTCTCCCAGTAGGAAGTGACCCCTCCCTCCCCAAATCCTCCAATATCTTCCTCTTAAAAAACTTCTTAAGGTACTTGACAGGCTCTACCCTGCATGCATCTTATCACTCACACCATAAATCCTAAAGGGTAGCTTCACGCGTACCTCATTTTTATATTCTCCAAAGCACTTAGCAGAGAGCTTGGTCCAGAGCAGATCTTTGATAAACATTGGTTGCATAATCAATACAGTTAAGTATTTTTCTGAGCATCTAATATGCAAGAGACAGAATCTAGAGACACATCAGTACTTTTAAACCAAACATCGTATAGGGAAGGCAAATGTGAATTTGTTAATTCATTCATCATGCAGATATTAAGTGCCTATTGTGTAGACAGCAACAAGCTAGCTACAAAATAAACACAATGCTTCCCATCTTGGAGGAAGAGTAAATATATACATATGAAAAATTAAAAAGTCTAAGACATGCCACACGCAGCTATTTTACAGATCCCAATAGCTCCTTGTGGAAAGAAACGATGACTTTGTCTTTGAACAGTCAGGCAGGTTAACCTGGGCTTGGGAAGAAGGCGACTGTCTCGGTTACTGAACCTTGAGACACTGCCCATTCACCCACATGACCGTACAGAGCCACAGCTGGAGTCAGACGCACAGATCAATGCAGTCCTGATGGCTGCGTGGAGAGGAGCCAATGCAGCACCATCTTGGACAAGCCATGTGCAAGAGATAGGGCAGGAAAACAGCTCGAAGGGGAGGGTGAGAGCTGTGAGGGTGGCAGGCTGAACCAAAGGCACCAGAGCAACTCAGTTCACGGCGGGTTGCGGGAAAAAAGAACAAGGTACTTGCAGATTAAAAATCCTATTTCTAGGAAGAACTTTAGTAGGTTTTTTTACAACAGATGTATCTAAGCATGCATGTATTCATGAATGAGGAAAAACAAGATTCTCTACAGCAGGGGAAAAGAACCTCCATCAGAATTAGGTTTGCACATCTACTTTAAGACTATTCGTTAAGTCAAATAAGAACTTAGGTACTGATGACAGATATCAGGGTAAGAAGAGGTAAACTAAGGTTTGGTATCCAGAGTGAAATATGAAAGTGGAGAGAGTGAAAATTTGTGGATATGCAAACACACTTGGCCGGCTTGCTTTCATTCTAGACGTGGGGCCCACAAGCTAGTGGTGAACACGACATTAAACAGCCATTACAACTGTGATAAATGCTACAAAGGAGATGCGTAGACCCTTAGGGAATGACAGGAGATGAAGCTGGAGAGGTACAGAGGGGTTAGGAAAGAAAGATGGATTAGACAGAACCTCAGTCCTCAGGAACTCAGGGTTTAATAGGGGAGATAAAGCGCCTACTTAAGTAAGTAAACTGCCAATGTGAAAACTCTAAGAGCCATAAATAAAACACCGTGGGATTTCCGAGAAGAGAAATTACTTTTAGTCTGAACACAAGGGAAATCTTTGCTGACCAGGGTTTATGTGAGCTAGATCTCCAAAAGACAGGGAGAATTTTGTCTTGAAGATGGGGTGGAGGGTATTCCAGGCAACAGGAACAGTGTGGAGCAGCAGGCAGAGTCACAGACGTGGGAGCACAGCAGCCATGTGGGCAGAGGGGCAGAAGAAGATAGTATCTAAAAAGAGAAGTCTGGATGCCAGATCAGCTATGGGGATTCTGGCCTTCATTCCAATCAATTTTTCTTTCTGGAGTTATTAAAATAATCTAAAATAAGAAACTATTCCCTAACCAGAAAATAATTAGCTAAATTATTATAAAAGAAACAGAAAGTAGTTTAGCAGTTGCCTGGGGCAGGGGCTAGGAATGGAGACTAACTGTAAGAGGACATGAGGGTCCCTACTGGGGGAAGAAAATGTCCCCAGACTGATTTATGGTGATGGCTGCACCTCTTGGTAAAGTCTCTAGAAATCACTGGCTTCTATACTTGCAATGGGTGAATTTTATATGTAAAATATGTTTCAATAAAGCTGTGTTTTTTTAAAGAAATTATTACAAATATAAACAGTCCTCATCAATGGATTTGTTAACAAAGCTTCCATACTCCTGGACGTTAGCCTCTGTCTGCCCTCTGCTTTTACACGCTCTACGTATGTCACCGGCACAGCACAGAATCATTTTGACTCAGGGTGAGCGTCTCAGGAAACGACGGCTCTTGTCTCTACCCAGGCCCCGAGAACAAGTGCACTGGAGCCCAGATGTCCTCTCTTGGCAAGAGTGCCCTGAAGCACGGAGGCTGGGCTCTGAATCCTTCTCTGACTATGTGTGTTGGGGCAGCCCAGGATCCTCAGGCTCACAGCTAAAAGAACCATCCTCCATTCTGGCCAAGTGAGATGAAAACCACAGCCAAAAGATTATTATACATCCCTTGTGCTCAGCAGCTCCAGCCTCAATTTATGAGTAATGAAATTTTTATGATCTATGAGAAGAATTAAATTATCCCTGGGCAACCCAACTAGAATATTCTCCTCAGCGCCAAGCAAGAATCAGGCTTTCTCTTATGCTCTGACTTACTTTTAAGAAGTATGTTATGTAAAATGGCTTTTTAAACACCACGCACGGTCTGGATACAAATTATTAACCTTAATCACTGCTATTAACTATGGATCTAATACCAACAGCAAACATGCCTTCTTTAAAGTAACAATCCTCCCCTCTCTCTCTCTGTTCCTGGGTTCATTTAGATATGTCTGACAAGATGAGTCAATAAGTTGTCAAAGGTCTGTAATCTCACAAGGAGAAATAAAATGATTCAGTCAGCAGGGCAGGCAGCCAAGCAGGGCTATCAGAAACCAAGAACCACCTCAGGATGCTAATGTCACAGCGATTGGCAAACAAAGACAGACAAGGAGATTGGGGGGCTAGGGAGACATAGCGGCCAAGAGCCATATTTCATGCTTTTCTTCCTAATTATTTTATCATTCTGGTCTTAAAATTCCTTGACTCTCTCTGTTACTTCCATACTCTCCAAAATCTTCCCGACCTTCCCCTCAAAACTTCCTCAGCTCACAGGGGCACTGTCTCACCTGCTCCTTTAGCCCCTGGTCACTGGTTACCACCAGCTGCTGATCAGCCAAAGCTCCACCTTGGGCCCACCTGCAGCCGTGCCTCAGGGAACCACAGTGCTGCCTCTCCTGACTTAGGCAATGAGTAAGTCTGCTTTGCCAAATGATCTTGCCCAGGGGATCCGTCTAGAAGCCTCAACCTAGATAGGATTCTCACATCATAGCTCTCTATTTTTAAGGAGCAGCCAAAAGAAGACAGAATCAAAACAGAAAATGTCCCTGGGTAGACTCTTCTTGGCTCTAGGCTCCTGAATCTAGAAAAGAACAGGTGTCCTCAGGGTTGTCCCCCAAAACCCTTAATAGAGCCTAACTCTCTTTGCAGATTATCAGCTTTTCCTTAAAAGACCAATTTATCGCTATATAAAATATGGCCAAAGAATCTTTCCTGAAACTTATTTGTGTCATGTAAGTTCATTTTAATATGCCTAATTTATGAGAAACTTAGAGGTAGAAAAGACACTTTGAGATCTGCAGGGTTTTTCTTTTTAACTTAAGCAAATGCTGCTCAATCCCAGAGTTAAACAGATAAAACCAAGGCTTCAAAGAAAGACAAACCACCTGTTCAACCTTCCATAGGGACAGCAACACCTCCTTGTCAGAGGAGGGAGAGCCGCAAGAAGACCTCAGACCTCACTGCTGCAGTTAAGGAGAATCTTAGCAGAGCTTTCACGTCAGCAAGGACACGCACATACGAAACAGCCATCACCAGCTGGGAGCTTCAAGTCACCTCCAAGAGCTGGAGCCTAAGACCCAGGAGGGTCTGGCTGGTGTTGCTAGGGGTGATATAGTAGCAGGTAAGGCATTACACCTGTGCTGTCCAATATGACAGACACTAGCTACAAGTGCCCATTCAAATTTAAATAGGTTAAAATTAAATCAAGTTAAAAACTGAGTTCCTCAGTTGCACTAGCCATATTTCAAGTGCTCAAAAGCCACATGTGCCTAGTGGCTTATATTTATATTGGATAGAGCAGATACAGACCATTTCCAGCAATGCAAAAAGTTCTATTAGACAGCAACACTTTAGACCAAGGGCTTAAAAAACTTTTTTAAAACAGCTTTATTGAGGTGTAATTGACATACAATGAACTGCACACATTTAAAGTGTACAATTTGACAAGTTATGACATATATATATATGTATATATACACACACCCAAGAAACCATCACCAAAATCCAGACAGTGAAATAGCCACCATCCACAAAAGTTACTTTGTGCCGCATTTGCAAGCCCATCCCCCAGCTCCTCACTCCTCAATCTCCAGTCCCCAGGCAACAATGATCTGCTTCTGTCACCAGAGAACAGTCTGCATTTTCTCCACTTTCATATATGTGGAATCACATAGCATGCAGTCCTCTTTGTCAGCTTCCTTCGTAATTGCTTTGAGATTGAGCACACCTACTTTGACACGCGTCCACGCTGTTGCATCCAGAGCTCAGTCTTTCTTGCTGAGCAGTATTCCATCATCTGGCGATATACTACAATCTGCTTATCCAGACACCTGTTGACACACTTGAGTTGTTTCCAGTTTGGGGGCTACTACAAATCTTAGAAATAAAGCTGCTGTGATTATTTGTGGGATGGGGCTCTCAAATAGTGGCCAAGAGGCCTTTTTAGGAGGTGACATATGAGCAGAAGGTGAAGGAAGTGAGGCAGAGAGCCATGTGAACATCTGGTGGACGAAGATTCTCGGCAGAGGGAATTCCTAACATGAAGGCCCTGGGGCAGGCGCGTGCCCAGTGAGTTCAAAGAACAGTTTTCTACGTTCTTTCCAAAGGCTGCTTATCTGAAAGAATGGTTACCTAGTCAGAAAATTTTGGCGAGAAGCAGAAGGTAGTAGGTAAGATGGCCTGAATAAATCCTTAAATGGCACAGGGCCATTTAATCTCATTTAATCCTTAAAACTACTCTGAGAAGTAGGTGTTATCCTCATTTTACAGATATGAAAACAAAGAAGGTTAAGCCACTCACTGTGCTCCCAAATTACACAACTAGGAAGTAGCAGAGCTGAGCTGTGAACAGTGAAGGCAGAGCCCCATCCTTTTACTACCAGGATGGCTGACCTTAGAGTTCAGTCTCACACTTGACACAAGACCAGAGCCGGATAAGCTGAGACTGAATACACGCTGCCCTCCCAAGTGCCGTCCACGTCAGAACTTCCTTCTATCCCTGTTATACAGAGCAGTTTGTCAGATGCGTGTGAGGAAGCTTCACAAAGGAAGACCGTCTAGTTACTTTCTTTTTTGGTGTAAGAGAAGAGACTTCTTCCCCGGAGCATGACAGCCCTGCCTAAGGTCTACTGCACGCACGTGCGCGTGCACACACCCACTCTCTCTCACACCCTCACACAGGGCCCTTGTGAATATGTGCTCCCAGGGCAGGTTCTTTGGCAGCAGAGCCACTCTGATGGTTTAATTAAAAAGGAGAGGGGAGAGCCCTTGCCAATCTTGAGTGCTTAACACAAACTGAAAGATCAAAACCAGCCAGCTGCCAAAAACACATTGGTAACTTTCACACCAGAAGAAAGAGGGGAAACAGCTGACCTGGTTTCTGCCTTTAACGTCAAGTCACTGGCAGCCAGGCTGCTTTGATCTTTCAGGTTCTAAGTAGAAAGAAAACACTGACCTCCTGCCCCCCTCTTCCACTGGAGAACAGATGATGAAACTACACACTTGGGACTACCTACAACCCTGCTGAAAACCCACAGACGGCCAACTCGGAGAGACAGACAGGTCAGCACAGAAGAACCCAGGATCCATGCAATCCACAACTTCTAAAAACCACAGGATGCTAAAATATTTAGTTAAGCCATGAACCAAAAATAAAAGCATCTTTTCAAATTTATTACCTCCAAGAATCCGAGGTTAGGAGGTATTTGCTGGCATCAGCTGGACCCTGGCACCCTGGCCTCAATCTCCCCAGGGGGAAGCGTCGGAAGCACTGCACCAGTATACTCTACATGTACGTGTGTATACAGACAGTCCTCCAGAGCAGCTGATTCCTCACCATCGAGGGCAGCATCCCTGGGGAACTCACCAGAAATGCAAATAGAATCAGAAACTCTCAGAATGGCGCCCACAAAGGAGTGTTCTAACAGCCTCCAGGTGCTGCTGATGGAGTGAAGGTTGAGAACCACATCCAGTTGGGATGGTGTGGGGCCCATGGCTTTTCTTCTAACAAGTTTCAGGTGATGCTGGTGCTAGTCCAGGGACCACACTTTAGAACCCCTGCTCTAGGGCAATGCTTCTCAAACTTTAATGTGCCTTTTCACGCTGTGGGGATCTTATGAAAACGGAGATTCTGGTTCAGTAGGCCAAGGGGAGAAGGGCCTGGGAGTCTGCATTTCTAAGAAGCCCCATGTGATTCCACTGAGTGCAAGGCTAGGGCTCCTGGGGGCGCAAATGAAACAAACTATGTCCAAGTGCTTTGTAAACTAGAATCTGGAATATACAGGTATTGATACAGTTTGCCAAGGTTTAGATTTTGAGGAATGATTAATAAACAGCTGAAAATTCCCAAAGAAAGAGGAACGCACAAGAAAAAGCTAGGACTTTGACTTCACCCATATAAATTTGCTGATGACTCTCCCCGGAGAGGCAGGGGCTTGACTCTTGGGTAAGCATATCACCAACAGAAGGAGACACAGGATGCACAGCCTTCACAGCTCACAGCCCCTCTCTTCTGCACCATCAGCCTCTTCCAGCCACCAGCTCCTTCCCCTGAGGCCTAGAAATAGGCTCAAGTCTCTCTCATCTAAAAACCTTCCTTTTTTCACTTTCTCCTTCCGTTATGAACTTCCCCCCAGAACAGTGAACACCTGCTGTCTCTCCTCCTCCGCGTGATGTCTCCTCATGCTACTGCAACCTGTCTTCTGCCTTTACAGCAGAGTCAGGGAAACAGTCATTGTGGCCTCCCGATCACCAAAGCCAACAGTTACTCATCAGAGCTTCTCTTCCTGCCCCTCTGCTGCCCAGGTGGTTCTCCACCTTCATTCACATCCTCCTAACCCAGCCTGTCCACACCTTCTCCCTTAGGTTTCACAAAAGATTTTTAAAAGCCTGAGGTCCCCTACACCATGGTGGTTGTCCTTCCAATAGCCAGCAACTGAGAAAATATACAATGACAAAAGAAAACAAAAAGAAACCCTGTTTTGAGTTCATTAACGCTTTCAAACGATTATTTTATAACAGCATGTCCTCCACACATTTGACAAATCGTTAAAGAATACGTGCAAGGCGTGTGTTTGTAAGCTTTGCAATCATGCTTGAGTGCAGATGGACCTGAGGACATCTTGTGATAGCCCACAGGACTCCCCTGCCCCACCTTCATCCTAGGGACTCAAGGACCCAAGGCTGGGCTGGAGTCACTGCCTCACCTTCTGGGGCCTCACCCTCAGGGCACTGTGGCATCTGTACAGTGGCTATCACACCACACATTGCATTATAATAAACACATCTGTGTGTCTCCAAGCCAGATGAAAGTTATTAGCGCTTACTGCCCCGTATAGCACCAGAGCACGGCCCAGCTCCCAGCAGGTGATCAGTCACTCTTTCAGCTGAGTTCTCCTCCCATGCCCAAGGCGTCGCTCCCACCCTGTCCTCTCCCCCAATGGCTTTTGCCACTTTCTCTGACCTCTAGAAGTCAGTGTACTGTGGGCATTACAATGAGGTAACACTGCTTCTCCCAAGAAAAGAAACAGCATCAAAGTACAATTTACACATATTAGATGGCTAAGCTACCACCAAAATCACAGGGCTCTGACATTAGCCTTATTGTTACTGTTGTTCTGGTCAAACTAAGGATGTGCTTTCATTTTGGTCAGGGATTCTAACTGTAAGAAGTAGCTTACTTTGTCTTGCGAGTCTCAGACAAAGAATTTCCAAGCAGACATTAGGCCTGATTAAAACATCAGTGGCAAAGGTTGCTGGGTGTCCAAAGTAACTGTCGGTAGGTCCATCCATGAACTCTATTCCCCTCCAGAAGTCCTAGCCCTCAGCGTTCCTCACTCAAAGCTCACAGATTCTTACTTTGCCTACAAGTCTAACAAGCCAAATCATCTTGTTTTCCAGCTCAGAGTGCTGTGGAACAAGAAACACTGGAGACTCTGATAGTGGTAAAAACCAGCAATTAGCAGGGAAAAGAGTGTCAGAATATTAAAAAGCAGATGTCGGAAATGGAAAGTTGATAGTCTGGTGCCAATCTAGGGCAGATATTCCCACATACCACGTACAAGCCACTGGGGCTTTCTCTAGAATTCAGCACAGTTCATTAATCTATGTCCAAAACAATGGTAAGTCTTCCCCCTAAAAGATGAAATTATGCTCAGTGCCCCTGTTTAATAAGAAAGAATGCAAGACATTTTAAAATACAAGACATTTCAACAAAAGCAGTTAAAAGAGAAGAAAGTTTATGGAAGTACTGGAGGTGAGGACCTCTGGTTCAAGGATCTCTGTATGAAGCAACGAGCTAAGTGTTATTAATATAGAGAATCAGCTCATCTCTCACCTAAGATTATGGTGCTGGGAAGAGAGGCTGCTGCACTATTCCCAATGCAGCAGGGTGGGAAGGCCTCTCTGCCAAGTACCACGTGCATCATACAGACAAAGCCGCAAGCTACCACTCACCCCAACAGAACCTTATCAGATCTTTACTCCATGGCTATAATGTCTTCTACCGCCAATCATGCGTGTAAAAAAAATTCATGACTTATGTGTATGTTGGTCAGTGGAACCCTCAGGTTCCTCTTTTGATGTGAATAAAGTGAAATTCCTCAGCCCTGGGGCTGCTCTCAATTCTCGCACTGGAACTCCATCCTCAGCTCAGCATCCGCTGGCCACTACTTTCACCTAGAGCAGCTTCTGTGCACTGAGAGTATAAATTTCACTACCAATTCTCTGAAATCAGAGACAGAGACCACATGTCTGTAACGGACCTTTCCATCCTTTAATGCAGCAATTCATTAAAAAGCCACTTCTCAGCACAGAACTTGCTCTTGGAAAATCTTTCCAGGATTTTCACATCAATCTGGTAAGAGGAAAAGAACCTAAGATGTTGGGTTGACTTTATAACCAGTTTAATTTCATACATGTTACATTTCCAGAGCTGCCTTGCTTTTCCCTTTTTCCTGCATTATTTGCAGAAAAAAATTCATAGACTCTCTGAAGGTGAGAATCTCACCCATTAGTAACAAAATCTCACTTTATATTAAGTTGGCCTTTCCTTGGAGATGTTCCAACTGCTCCATGAACATTCTTTCAGGCTGCAAAGCAGGTAGATGGGAATTATTGTTCTTTCTGGACAAGAGGTAGAAGTGGGAATCTTGGCCATGCAGAACTGAAATGTTTTTTAAAGGTGTTTACTGTTTTTTTTCTTTTTGAGGAAGATTAGCCCTGAGCTAACTACTGCCAATCTTCCTCTTTTTGCTGAGGAAGACTGGCCCTGAGCTAACATCCATGCCCATCTTCCTCCACTTTATACGTGGGACGCCTACCACAGCATGGCGTGCCAAGCGGTGCCATGTCTGCACCCGAGATCTGAACCGGCGAACCCTGGGCTGCCGAGAAGCAGAATGTGCCCACTTAACCGCTACGCCACCAAGCCGGCCCCCTAAACGTGTTTACTTTTTTAAAAGTAAAAGCAAGGCTTTAAAAATAAGAGACAGGACAGATATAATGAAAAATAGGAATAAGAATGGTATAGAAAACGCCAAAAAAGGAGAATTCTCCCATAACCAGCTCACTCTCAGCAGCAGCTCTCAGAAGAGGCCACTTGGAGCTCTGAGGGCCGTGCAGCCTCAACACCGGCATTGGCCTGGAAAATCAGGCCTGGTGAATGCTAATTTTGGCACAAATAAGAGCTTTTCTCTCTCTCTCTGATATTTGCCGGGAAACAGGATCAACAATCCTAACTCCATCAAGTAAAAGCCGAAACTAAGGTGATGCACATGGACTTAGAAAGCCACTATAGCCCGGACATTAGTAGGTCAGCATAACGACACTAAAATGTCACCCATGTGCTAGGCTTTTAATTTACAAAACACCTTTCCCACTCACTCCTTTTAACTTGATGCTGGTCCTATGAGGTCCTATGAGGTAATGGTTTCTCATTCTTCTTTTAAGATGAGGAAACCAAGGCCTCTGGCTGACCCACGGCCACTGCAACAGTGCGGCCCCAGTCTGCATTTCTCTTTATGTTACACCTTTCCCTGCACTGCATTCTCTTCTGTTCAGTCTTTTTTTTTCCCCCAAGGAGTTGACAAGAAGCCTTAACTCCTTTAAATACCACAGTGAAAAGAGCATGGGTTTGGAGTTTTAAAACCTAGACATGACTCCCAACTCTGTCCCTTGGGGGCTAAAAACTCGGTAAGTTACTTAATGTGTATGCGCCCCACGTAAGATGAAGGGAATATAAGCTATCTCGTACAGCTATTAGGAGGCTTTAAACGAACTACTGTGAACTACTTCACCCTTCACGCCTAGCCCAGTGCTTTCTGCACCATGGTGCTCATCAAATGATGGCCACTGATAACTTACTCACTGCAGAAGGGTGGAGAACAACTAGGCCTTGCAGGGATTTCTGAAGCGCTCCCAAGTGGTAAAGCTGTGGGCTGGTGGGCAATGTACCAGTCATAATGTCCAGGCCCTGGACATCAAGAAAAAGAAGGAGCTGCTTTCATTTTACCTGTGTAGCTACTCATGTTGATAACTGAGTGCAAGTTAGTTTGTTCAGGATTCCACCATATGGCTCTTCTACACCTGGAGGCACACGTGCAAAAGCTGGCAAGGACTTAGAGCCGTCCCAAGGGAGAGATGAGCTCTTTAAACCACCCAGACCCTCAGTTATCTAATCTATAAAGTGGAGATAACACCAACTCACATTATGGGATTGTTATAAGGACTAAATAAGCTAAGACGTGTAAAAGCAATCAGCTGTACTCTATATACAAAACCAGGTTTGGTGTTACCTCCATTTTACAGCCTAGAAAACCCCGGTGTAGAGAGCAGCTGAATAAAGACAAAAGAGCTAGTTGCTTGGGGTCAGGGGAGAGACCCCAGCCTTCTGCCTCCCTGTTTCCTACACTGCCAGATCCTGGGCTGGCTGTTCTCCGAGCCACCTGCTCGGCCGCCCTGTGGCCTCCCTCTGCATCCTCCCGGGATCCCTTTCACTGCTTTCTTTCTGGCTGGATCCTGTTTCCTGACTCACACATCTTCCTCTTTCTTGGCTTCCCTCTTCATTTTGCTAAAGCACATCCTTTAGGAGTTTCAGAGAAATAACACATGGGAGCTAAAACTTTTTGAGCCTAGCATGTCTGAAAATATCTCTAATTCTACTCTCATGCTCAGTTGGCTGGGTAGAATTCCAGGTTAGAATTACGCTCCTCAGGATTTTAGTGGCATTGCTCCACTCCTTAAACTTTCCAGTGTTACTGATGAGACGTCCGATGCCATTGTGATTCTTAATCCTCTTCGTGCTTTCTGGAGGTAAGTAAGATCTTTCGCAATTTCACAAAGAGATGCCTTGGAGTGGGTGCTTTTCCCTTCTGAGCCAGGCACTCTTGAGCCCCTAATCTGGAGATGCAAATCCTTCAGTTTTAGAAACTATCTTTTGTACTGTTGCATTCACATGTCCTCCTCTCTGATTTTCTGTTCTCTTTTTGTGAAATGCCTGTCAGCTGAATGCTGGACCTTGAGGATTAATCCTCACTTCGTCTTCTATCCATTTCCCACTTTTCTGTCTTTTTTGTCTTTTTGATCTATTTCCTGAGAGATTTATTCTACTCCAGCCCTTCTCATAGAATTTTTACATACATTTTCTTACACTAATTGTCTCCCCCTCTTTGATTAACAAGCTGCGTCCCATTTCCCGTTTCGCATACAACGTCTATTCCGATTTCTCTGTGGAATTAAATCAATTTTCTTCAAAGTTTTCTTCTGCTCTTGGCATTGTCTCTGTTTCCCTCAGTTCTTTTTTCTGTTTATTTTGGTCTCTTTCATTCTGGAGGCTGTTCATTCACATTTAAGAGTGAGGCGCACTAACAAGCTGGCTAGCAGCTCTGCATGCATGGGAGGGGCTTCTCCATCAAGGAGCTGGGAGACTAGGTGGGAGGCTGACTTTTTCACTAGATCACCCCCAGCTCAGCATCTACAGATCTCTTCCCTGTGACCATTCAGTTTCTCCACCTAAGAAAAACCCTCCAATCTGACTCAGTGGTGAGACCCTAATAAGCATGTTTGTCAGGGTCCAGGAAGTGGGGCTAAAAGGGGCCAGGGCTCCACTGCTCAGTATGCGTGCTGTCAGCCTGTCTGGGGCAGTATTAAATGGGCAATGAACTTGATAAAAGCCCCAAGAGATTTCAAATTAACCCAAGTAAAAGATTTAAGCACAGCAACAGCTTTTTATTTTTTCTATTTCCAACTGAAATATTTTACAAGTGAAGACAGAGAGAGAGAGCAAGAGTCTTATGATCTGGTTCTTTCCCCTTCCTGTTACTAACTTATACATTATGTTCCCTTGTTTCTGCCCTTCTAGGGCCAGACTTACAAACCCGCCATCATCACCATTTCAAGAATGATGAGCTATTTTTTCACTTGTTATGAGCTTGTTGACAGGAGAAATGAAAAAGACACTGTTGTTTGCAACCTACATAGATAGCATTATTGAGTTCTTGACTTGGTCTGGTTGTCCACGACCATTAGGACAAGCTGGGGGAGAAAAACAGGAAAGAGAAGCTGGGACAATCCCAGTGCACATTCCCATTGTGGAAGAACCACCCAGCAGGGTCACAGACACCCTCACAGGCTCCCACTTCTTCAGAATTCTGTTCCCACGACAAGGACGGCGCAGAGCTACCAAGCGCAACAAAGAACTTCATTCACCCCATGTCACCAAGCACCTACCACAGGAAAGAAGCACCAACTCCGTATTTCCATTTGCTGAAAAAATGAAACTTCTTTTTGGCGCTGCATTTGGAGCATAAAAGGTCTTAAATATTCATGGTAATTTCTGTGCTTTGATTATAGGTTACCTTGCTGTGTAAGATGGGTCTAAAACATTTATTAAATATTGTAAGTTTAAATGCCTACTATAATTATCAGAAACACACTATTCTACACAATTTAGAAGCTATTAAATATTGAAGTCAGAGGCCCTTAAGACAACAAATGCATTTAAAATGCCAAATCGAATTTTAAAACTCTTGTTAGAGTAAAAATTACAATTCTAAAATTTATTCCAAAGTGACCTAATGTGCATAGAAAACATAATTCCTTTAGGTACCACATGAGCTACGAAATATATCCTAGCTTATCAAACAAACCTTAATTCTCCTCTATTGAGCTGCCTTTCCAACTAAAGTAACCGGAGGCATTTCACACACTGCCCGATAGCTGCATGCATAATGACACTTACCAGGTTTTTGAAAAGCGCCGTCAACTCCTTTGTAAACACTGAGAACTTCAGGAACGCGCTTCCCAAATCCGGGTCATCTCTGCACACGCAGTTGCCACCAAACTTCTCCAGAGCTTGGGTGTACTGCTCTTCGTTTTCCACATGAGCTACAATAGCAATGTGAGATACTGTTAACTTATCAGCCTCACCATCCCACCAGGGTCTTCTTAGCTGTGAATAAAGTCAAACACACTAGAATAAAAATCTGAGAAAAGTCAAGTTGCACCAGGAACAAAAAGAACTCTGCTGTCCCGACAGCATCCCACTGTGCCAGCAACAGATCCCAAAGAACAAGCACAAGTCCCAGGAGGGAAAGAGCCTCACACGAGTCCTGAAGTCTCCAGCTCATCGGATGAGCCTGCCAAGGGTACCCCGACACTTTCCACATCTCCCAGGCCTACAAGATGGCAGGAGTCACCAGCCAAGTCAACAGACTCAGCCCTCTCCTAGAAATTCAGTAAGAAAGAAATGCCTGCTCCTCTCAAGCACGGAGCTCACAACTCCAATCCAGAGCCACACGCCGCAGCTTCTCCTTTCAACACAGGAAAAGCCACGATCCTTGGAGCACAGGCCATGGCTGCAAGTCAGTTGAGTGCCTCTGCGCGTCTGCTTATGATGTGTCCCCTGCTCACGGCTCTGCCTTCCCCAACTCCTGTGCATCCCACAGACTCCTCCTTCTACTGGGAAGCCCGCCATGACTCTGCCCTAGGCCCCGAGTATCTGGCTTTGGCGCTTTCCTGTCCTTGCACTTTGCATGTTACATTGAAATTGTGTGATAAATGTGTTCCCCAATATGTTGGAGCATAGGGACTAAGTTTTATTCATCTTTGTGCCTGAAATATAAGAGAAATCACATGCTGTTTGGAAAAAAAAAAAAAGCAAACCCTTGGGGGCCAGCCAGCCCCATGGCAGAGTGGTTAAGTTCGCAGACTCCACTTGG